CTGATCGTTGATGCACTCCAGACAGATGCGTCGATCCTGAGCACGGCCAGTAACATTATCAAAGTGTTACCACCTCAAAAACAACTTTAACACGCGATTGTTCATGTTGGCTCATATCCTTTTATGATTTCTGTCTTTTATTTGTACCTGATGCGTTTCGCTGCTGTGGAGCGGAGCGCATCACCTGTTTCGTCCTCCGGTGACTTCACCTCAGCGGTGCGGTCTGCGCGCGGCACGCACTCCGCTACTTCTGCGGTCGGTAGATCTTTTTGATCTGCAGTTCAAAGGTAGCTCATGCGGTGAAAATATATGAAGCCAGGTAGCAGTTTTTATTTAGGATTGAGAGGAGATGCAGGATGACAATAGAGCAGTGATGATAATGAAGTAGGGGAACAGTAAAGATGCAAAAATTACTATTGTTAGAAGAAATGCGTACTAACTTTGAAAGTGTGGGCGCATTTTTTAATTGTCAAAAACTCCAGCGAACCAACTGGACCCCCCCCCCCCCCCCCCCCCCCCCCGTTCGTGTTCTGGCATCTGTTTTGCCTTTAGTGAACTTTGGTCTGACGTGATGGGGGAGCGCGATTTGATGGTACACCGTACACCTGTAACGTTTGATTTACAAATCAAGCATTGCCTGTAATCCTGTGATTTATTTAGCCATTTACAAAACAATTAATCTAGTTGTAACAATAAGCAGATAAGGCTCTTTGCTGAATGACTTAGCTTCACCCAGACTAAAAGTGATCTGCAAAGTGATGCAAGGTGAGGGTGTAGCTTTTGCCTTTTGTGAGACTGAAGTTCAGCCTTCATCTCAGGCTTTTATAAACACGTAATCCCATTATCAATCGATTTCAGAGCTCAGTCTATTATCAGTTCTCCTCCACTGTGTTTTCTCCGTCAGCCCTCTGTTAGTGCAGATGGATTGTGTTTGTTCTGGAGCTGTTCTTCCAGGAGGACGAGGAGCAGCAGAAGCTCTGGATCCATCATGTTAAATAGGAGCAAACGCTTGTTGTTTGCTGCTGGACGCCTAAACTCGCCAATAATCCTCAGGTAAAGCGTCTGCTGATTGTTCCTGAGACATCTCGGTGTCTCTGAGGGCCATGACTCCTTCCTCACCTGTTCCACACATTCAACACAAGAACAAAGAATGGGGAAAGAGAGATTTAATGTTATTTAATCTTACTTGAAACATCATTTAAACCAAACTGAATCCTGTAGATGACAGCGATGATTATTTTTTTTATTTTGTTTTGATGATTCTGTTTGTGAGTGGAGGACACTTTGCTGCAGCCGTGCTGTAACATCAGCAATTCTCACTTCCCTTATATCTTATGACCAGCCCAACAAACAGGACTTGCTGATCTCATAATGGCTGACATTACCCAGCTTCAGGAGAGTTTCTGTGGCAGCTTGTTGAACTTCTTGTTTGTCCATCTGACAAAGATACACCAGCTGATCGATGCTTTCAGTCGCCTGAGGAGAAAAATAAAAATAAAGTAAAGAAGCTGCTGTTAGAAAAAAGTTTAATTGTTTACCAGAGATACAAATACAGGAGCTGCTTCTACCAGGTATGTGTTCATTGAGATTATAATTAAATGTTTTATAAGACTAGATTTAAACACAAATTCTAATCAGTAAACACACCTAGAGAACAATATTGATAATCACTTTGACCTCCTATTTAAAAGGTACGACACAAGTTTGAAGCTGGGTGGAGGTAAAGATGGGAAAGCTCAGCCATGAACAGGAACAATAATTCTAAATAAACTTTTTCTTTTCCCCAGGATGGAAAATCCCATAATAGTGTTTCTTACCATGAGATATCCTAAAGCTTTACATCCACAAACTCTGACTTCCACGTTATCATCCTCTAACATCTCCATACAGTGAACCAGAACCTGAGGATGAAAGTAGAGTTAGAATCACAACATCAATTCATCACATATTCATCCATCAACCATCCATCCATCACTTATCAATCCACCCATCTACTCATCCATTCAAAACACACACACACACACACACACACACACACACACACACACACACACACACACACACACACACACACACACACACACACACACACACACACACACACACACACACACACACACACACACACACACACACACAGTCATGGTCTGTGTCTGCGTCTCCCTCATGTGTCTCCTTGTGTGCTCCACTCGAAGGATCCCCTTATGTGTCTCTTTGTGTTCCTCATGTGTCCCCTGGTCTTCAGCCCTCCAGATTATCCCTCCTAGGTCCTGTGTTCCTTTGGTCTCCCACAGTCACCCCTCTGCAGTTTTTTTCTATAGGTTCAGCTTTTCATTTTATTTGTCTCTTTAGTGTGTTTCATTCCCCACTGGTTGTTGTAGTTTTCCTTCCCCCTTAGAATATTAGTTATTTTTCTGGCTCTTCCTGTCTTTAGGGTTTTTACTCTTAGGTCATGTTAGTTTCCTCTCCCTGATTAGTTAATTGCTTTCACTTGGTTTTTCTCCCCACACACCTGCAGCCTATCTGCCTCCCATCATGCCCCAGTGTATTTAACCCTGTCTGCATCTGTTTGTTGTTGGGTCATTGTTCTTGTCCCCTCCCGATTTTGGTTTTTTGATTCTCTAGGTTTTTGTTATTTTTCCACCCTGTTGTCATCTGGAATTTCTTCATCTTTGGGTCCTAACCTCCTCCTGGCTCCTAACGTGACATACAAACATACATATGACCATCCATCCATTCATTCATCTCCCATCCATCCATCCATCCATCCATCCACCATTCTTTCTCCAGCTCAACCAGGGCAAAACTGAAGTTTTAGTCATCGGTCCTGAGGCCCAGAGAGAGAAACTTTTACCTAGACTACAATCAGTGTCTTTTTATCCATCACTACAAGTGAAGAATCTGGGTGTTATTTTCGACTCTGAGCTGACTTTTATCCCCCACATTAAACACATCACAAAAATAGGTTTTTACCATCTTAAGAATATCGCCAGAGTCCGCCCCATTCTCTCTCGGGCCAATGCAGAGATGCTAGTGCATGCTTTTATAACCATTAGAATTGATTACTGCAATGCCCTGCTTTCTGGTCTTCCCAAAAAGAGCATCTCAGGTTTACAACTTTTACAAAACTCAGCAGCACGTGTCCTGATGAAGACCAGGAAGTGGGAGCACATCACTCCGGTTTTAAAATCACTGCACTGGCTCCCCGTATGTTTCAGGATCGATTTTAAGGTTCTTTTAATGGTTTTTAAGTGTCTTAATGGTCTTGGGCCTTCTTATCTTTCAGAAATGCTTTTACTATATAAACCCTTGCGGTCTCTACGCTCCTCTGGCAGCCGTCTCCTAGTTATCCCTAAAGTTAAGACTCACATCCACGGTGAGGCGTCCTTCAAGTCCTACGGCCCTCGTCTTTGGAACGGGCTGCCGGAGGACCTCAGGGCCAAAGGGAACGTCCAGGCTTTAAAGAATAGGCTCAAGACCCACCTTTTTAGCTTAGCTTTTAACTGATTACTATTTATCTAGTCTGTTTAACTGAATCGTCTGTCATATTTGTTTATTTATATATATACATATTTATCTCTTTTAATTCATTTTATCATTTTATTTACATCTTATTGTTTTCTTTTACTATCTTTATAATCACTTTTTATCAGTTACTTTTTATCCATATTAGCTTTTGTTATTTTTCATGTTATATATTTTAATCCTCCAGTGTTTCCTCTGCGGAGCCCTCCGCCTTGGGGCCGGTGGTTGGCGGCGGAGGCCAGGGCGCTCCTCGGGTAGTGGTGGGGGTTGCTGCCCTCCCCCACTGGGCGTCATGGGCCGGTGTCTTGGTTGCTGCCGTAGATCTGTTGCTGTCAGGGCAGATGGCTCTGCTGATGATGTGTTGTTCATTACCTGACCCATCTGAACTCAGCCTATTGTTTCCTCTGTTGTTCGTGTGTGAGTGTGAGTGTGAGTGTGTGTGTGTGTGTGTGTGTCGACTATGGAAGTTGGGTGCGGGAGGGGAACCGTAATTGTCAATTGTTTTATACTTGGGGAGGGGGGCTGGGATGGGAATGTGGGATCTATGGGGCCATTTTAATCTGTGAAGCACTTTGAGTTGCATTTTTTGTATGAAAAGTGCTATATAAATAAAGTTGATTTGATTTGATTTGATTCATCCATCCATCCATGCATACATACATACATATGACCATCCATCCATTCATTCATCACCCATTCATCCATCCATCTATCCATCATCCATCCATCACCTGGTCTCTCTGTCTGGGCTCAGCAGCCAGGATTCTCAGAACGGAGCCGGCAGCAGCCGACACTTTTACTCGTGGATCGTCCAGTAAATTGGCCACAGCTTGAACTCCTTCCCTCTTCAGGCTGCACTCAGTAGGAGAGTGCAGCACACTTAAGACCACATCCTCGTCCCCTGAAGACAAGTTCTGCAGCAGCCACACTGATGGAAGTTTATCAACTATTAGTGTTATTTTACAAAGGTTCTCTGTATTCCTTTCACATAACTCCACTGTGTGTTTAAATTCCTAAAAGGGGGGGAGAAATGAATCCTGGCATTCCAAATCCAATTGTAATACTGTTCACAGCTAAGGGAAATCCGAATCACACATTGAGAGGTGACCTGCAACAGAAACCATTAATCCACTCATTTTTCCACATCAGGTGAGTGAACTGGTAAACATTAAGGCTAAATAAAAATTCAAAATGATTCATGAGGGTTTCTGTCTGCATCGTCTCCAGGCCTTTTCTCAATCTTGGAGCGCTCCAGGAGTTAGATCACTAATTGTTCCTGTGAATGCTTCTTTAAACACCTTCTTCTTGGATTTTTCACTTCGATGCACTTCCTGATTTTAATTTTGCTACTTAACATTTAGGTGCACCAAAGAGTCCAACACTTGCTTTTAGTGCGTTTATTCCTGTTTCCATGCAGGCATACCTTCCTCTGCCACCTCGATGAGGTGCGTCTCCATGTCACTGATGCCATTAGACCCCAGGTAATTCCACAGCTGGAATATTGTCATCATCAGTCCATCAGTGTCGTCTTGCTGTGAAAGCCTTTGCTCCAGAATCCGCTCAGCCAGGCACAGGACAACTAGACAAACGTGTGTAGGAGTGTTAGTAGAACAAGCACACAATCATGCACCTGGAAAACACACACACACAGTTTTGTACCTGGGTTGGTTCTTTCACTCAGCACACTGGAGTAGACTGTGGACAAGGTTGTCAAAAAGCTATCAGCAGAGACGGCGTACACGCTGTCGTGTCCCACACACTGCTTCCATAGTGACTCGGCTCCGTGACACTGAGCCAGCTCTGGTATCACTGTGAGAGAAGAGCTGCTATATGAGCTCATTTGTTTTAAAAAGGCCGCATGATGTGACTGCATCGGTTATTCTAGCAGCTGGTTTAGGGTCGTCACGGGTCTCATCCTCACAATGCTTTGGGTTCAATGTTACTTTGGTTCACAGCTGGTTTCACATTAGATTTATAAATAAAACTGACATTATTTTTCCCATAAATGTTTCATAGTTTTGTAGGAAAATAAGAAAAAGGTTCTAGAACAGACCTTCAGTAGGTTGTCTGGGTCTGCGGGGGTCGTCCTCAGTGATTAAACAGATGGTTTTTAAAACACGAGCCTCTCTCAGAAGTTTGTCGATGGCGTACGTCTCTTTACACCTCAGAGGACCCGACACACCCAGGTGCTGCACACATAATGTCACTTTACACCAACCAGGATCATCCACCAACAATCAGACACTTAATCTATAATCTGAAGGACAGGAAGTGGTTTATTTATGCAGTAATCCTACCATCAGCTGTGCTCCACAGTTGTTCAGGTGAACAAGCAGGCAGCAGTCCAGAGTGGTGCAGCCTGTGGTGAGGTGAGGTCTGTAGGTAGATGTGGTGAGAATCTTTTATTAGTAAATACATTCAATAACTTATCAATTCCTAAATATATTCATATCAGGCATCCCTGGACTGCAGCTGATTAGTTTTCATGTCTCAAAGTGATTTAGAAAAAATGAGAATCGCTGAAGCATCTCTCAGGTCCCACATTGTCCCTTTTTCTGTAAAGATGTTAGACACCACTTATGTGTTTTAAATACATTTGCTCACTTTAAAAGTTTCCAAGTCTGCATTACTGAAAAGTAAAATGAACACAGTGCTGGACTAATTATGTTTCATAGTAGAGCACACATCGAGAGGAGCCAGTTGAGGTGGCTCGGGCATCTGGTCAGGATGCCTCCAGGACGTCTCCTTGGTGAGGTTGTCCGGGCATGTCCAACTGGTAAAAGGCCTAAAGGAAGACCCAGGACATGCTGGAGGGTCTCTCACCTGGCCAGGGAACGCTTTGGGATTCCCCTGGAAGAGCTGGCCCAAGTGGTTGGGGAGAGGGAAGTCTGAGCCTCTCATCTTAGACTACTGCCCCTGCGACCCGACTCCGGATAAGCGGAAGAAAATGGATGGATGGATGGATGGATGGATGGATGGATGGATGGATGGAGAGCACACATTTGTCCACACTCACCTGCCATTTGTGGGCCTCGTGCAGCTTGTCCTATTGTTTACACCGTCTGATGCACCAAGGAAGTCGAAGCTGCTTAGAGCTCTTTCCACGGAGCTGTCCGCGCTGTCCATGCTGCGTGACTGCCTGTGGCTGCAGCCCTGCTCAGACACACAGAACCATATAATCAGGTATAAGTCAGGAATCCTACATGTTTTCATCTGCACCAGGAAATACGTGTTATAAAGACCAGCTGTGTCCCCTTCTCAGCTTTAACCTGAAACCAACGACTGTCTTGTAATAAATTAATTAACACCTTACCGTTAGTGAGCTCTGCAGCAGTCTGAGTTCATGCTCCAGTTTTTGTAAATCACAGAATTGTTTATATTCCTCCAGAGCGGAAATCAGAATTTCCAGAGTGTCCTCCAGGTCGCTGTCCACCAGGCCAGACTCACCGTATTCTGGGGGCGGGTTAAATGCATAACCTGCTGCTCCCACAGGTGGATCTGCTTGCTCATAGACCGACTCCTGTTTTGTTCATAGAGTAAAATAAAACACTGGTTCATTTTTAGGAAACTTGATCATTTTCCTCAACAAGTGAATAAAAAAATCCACTTGATTTATTGAAGCATGAGAAAGTCTGATTGCAGACTTAAATTAAAACGTTTCACATTCTACCTTCTGAGGTCGGTGCCTCTTTTTTTCCGGTAAAGGAGGTGGAAGGTCGAGGTCCGGTACTTCATATAAATCATCATCAATTGGGATGTCGAGACTCTAAAAGAGAATATTTATGCAGACAGGATGAGTTCTACCTGACTCGAGTCCTTGCTGCAACAAGTCACCTCAAAATTCCAGAAGCGGTTGATTAAACCAGCTGGGATTAAAATGAGGCATGAAGACAAACAACCTCATATGGTGCGGTATGGGGGCCAAAATTAAGACTACTGCCCAGCAGCAGGAGGCTATATAAATTCTGAAGCAAACTACCGACCTGATTAATGATAAGCTGGTGCCGGTAACTGAGAGGCTGGCGCTGCTTACTGAGAAATAGCACCTTTACCGGCGTTACTAATAGATACGCTAGGGACTAGCAGCCCTCGGCTGGTCATTGACTGGTTCAAACACTCCCTCTGCTGTCTATTAGCATGGATAGGCTAGCGTTAGCCTGGACGGGCTGGTGTTAGCATTGGAGAGGCTAGCCATCAACGTGCCTAGGCATGCCACTAGCTGGATTTCCTACCCCCTTGACGGACCATTAGCATGGATAGGCTTGCATTAGCATCGGAGAGGCTAGCCATCAACGTGTCTAGGCATGCCACTAGCTGGATTTCCTACCCCCTTGACGGACCATTAGCATGGATAGGCTTGCATTAGCATCGGAGAGGCCTAGGCTGGCCACTAGCTGACTAGTGACTCTCCGAGACACGCTAATGGCTAGCCTCTCCTACGCTAATGCCAGCCTATCCATGCTTAAGGTCCGTCAAGGGCGTAGGAAATCCAGCTAGTGGCATGCCAAGGCACGCTAATGGCTAGCCTCTCCGATGCTAACGACAGCCTATCCATGCTAATGGTCCATCGAGGAGGTAGGAAATCCAGCTAGTGGCCAGCCTAGGCACGCTAATGGCAAGCCTCTCCAATGCCAACACCAGCCCGTCCAGGCTAACGCTAGCCTATCCATGCTAATAGACAGCAGAGGGAGTGTGTGAACCAGTCAATGACCAGCCGAGGGATGCTAGTCCCTAGCGTATCTATTAGTAATGCCGGTAAAGGTGCTACTCCTCAGTAAGCAGCGCCAGCCTCTCAGTTACCAGTGCCAGTGTATCATTAATCAGATCAGTAGTTTGCTTCGGAATTTATATAGCCTCCTGCTGCTGGGCAGTAGTCTTAATTTTGGCCCCCATACCGCGCCATACCTCTCTACCTTTTGAGTCACAAGTATCTTATGAGCTTAAATGCATCTTTGTGCTGGATGACTTCTGGCCGACCAGTTTATGTAAAACCGTCATCATGGATGAGTTTCATATCAGACACAGCTGCAGGTCCGGCTCTCACTGACCTGCATCAGTCTGCAGCAGAGGTTGGATGGAAGTGAAACCTCAGCTCTACTTTTGCTAAAATCTGGATTATTGATCTGAGGTTTGATCAAACACGTTAACGAGTCCACGAGTGGAGGTCGGTCTCTGGCATAATGAATCAGACAAGTGTTCATAAACCTTACAGACATTTTTAAATCTTCATAGACTTTATAATAAATAACATGATCATGGGCTGTTGTGTTTGATCTCCAGGAGTTTTATGTTGATCTTATCAGACAGGAAGCTGCTGCAAGTCAGACATTGCCTCAAAAGGCTGAAGAAGCAGGAATAAATAAATGTTGAACAGCAGCAGATGTTTTAAATTTATCTTTGAAGCAGCTTCAGCTTTCTAAGGTTTCACGCAGGTGTTACATAAAAATGGACAAACTCACATGGTTTTCATTTTGAGGCAGAGTTGGGGAGGAACTTAGGGCTAGAGTTGATATTTGGGAATTCTCCACATCTGTGAAGGAACCTGAGGAATCTTTGGGAACTGGACTATGGAGACATAAAAAATAAGTGTCACGTGCAGGAGCAGATTGAAAAAAGTAAAATCCTTTATTTAGGAAGATAACCAAATATCCAAAGAGGTGGAGGCCAAAACCTAATAACTAAACTCAGGCAAAAAACCAAAAGCTCACTTAATGAGACCTAGAGACAAGCAGGGCGGGACAAACCAACATAAGACAATGGACCGACAAACACAGAAGGACAAGACAGGGTTTTAAACACAGAGGGAGGTGATCAGGGGAACAGGTGACAGGTGTGAGTAGTGAGAGCTGGAGGGAAGGCAGGTGTGGTCAATAATCTAAATGGTGGCGAGAAACAAGCAGGAGGGCAGATAAACCTATACAACACAGATAACTACACTTAAAGACTGAGGGCAGATATAAACAACTAATAACTAGAGGGATGAGGAGAACTAATATAAAATCAAGTGGGGACAGCAGGGAGTGATTAGGAGGACACCAGAGGGAAGGCTAGAGAGGGCTGAGGAGAGCCTGGTGGAACCAATTAACTGAATGGGAATGAAGGAGCTTGGCAGGGGAACAAAGGGGGACAGAACATGACAATAAACAGTTGTCTTCTTGAATGGTTAAAGAAAAGCTGACTTAACAAATTCTGCAAAGCTCCTTTCTTAAGTCCATCAGTAGAAGAATCTACTTACTACCAGGTGACCTCCAGGACCATCTTGATGGTGCCCGGGTCATTAACGTCTACAGCAACCTTCTGAGGCAGAGGAGCAAACAGGTCCTTGGTCTCACAGACGATGTTTCCTACAACCACGTGATGGGCTAAGCTCTTCAGCTCCGTCACCTGCAACCACAGGTCAGGGTGTGTTCAGTGACCACGGCTAAACACAGACACCGGTCCATCTGGTTACCAGAAAGGAAACAAACCTTTACACAAAGAAACTCGCCAATGAACGGAAAGACCGCCACCTTTCCGTTGTCCCAGACTTGATTATTATTTGCTTCTATACTTCCATGCAGCTTCCATCGCTGTCGGCCATACTTCATTAAGATCTGAAGGGAGTCCAGGAAAATCTTAATGAACAAAAATATCTTTCTGAATCGTGCAAAATCACACATGAAGGATTGTGACGGCACACTGAAGTACTTCCAAGCCGCACAGACCTACTAAACATAGATTTCCTTTAACAAGCCACATTGTTTTGTATGAAGATTTGAAAAAAAAAAAAGAGCTCAATATTATTAAAGTAGTAGAAAACAAAGTGACAGATGCAAGTGGAAAGGGTCTTTTGACAGAAACAGGAAAAAAGAAGATGGAGACAAACCTCGTACTGGTCTCCTGCACACAGCCTGGCAAATCCAGCCAGACCTGAAAAACCAGTAAGAACAGGTGAAGTCATCTAAATGTAAACTCCACAAGGAGCTGCTAGAAAACACCCCCACCTCCAGATAAAGTCTAGCTAATATTTCTGAGTTGTTGAAGAGGGTTTCATCCAAACCCGCTCAGCTTTCCTGCTCAGACTCTTGAATGTGAAGTCTATAAGGACTAATAATCCACCATTCTTACCTTTCATCTTGATGTTGAACTGTCCCAGCTGACTCTGTAGTGTATTCTCCAACGCACACATTCTCTACAGAGAATCATGGAGGGACATGTTGCTTTACTCTGATTTAGTCTGGTTTTCCACAAGTTTCCCAGTATTCTTCATTGATGGATCAGTCTCACCTCAGAGTACTCCTTATAATCCTTATTTGCCTTCACAAATCTCTCTTTGGTTTCTTTGCCTCCTGAAGCGGATTTGTTTTCCTTCATCAGCTTGGTGGCTTCATCTCTCAGTCTCCTCTGCTGGCAGTAGCCTTCATAAATCCCCTTAACCTGAGAAAAAGGATAAAAACTTCATAATTTATGTTGTTTTGTGTGTTTTATAGTTTTTTTTATTTCATGCCAGTCATGCTTTATTACTCATCTGCACCTGTATGACTCACGCCTCACTGGTTTCCTTCTAGTTTTTGTTTGTGGCTTGTTTTCGTTATTGAACCTGTTACATCGCACCTTGTGCCACGAGGATGGAGGCCCTTACCTTGTTGAGGTGAACCTCCAGACTTCTTATGTTATTCTCAATCACCTTAACTTGCTGTGAGAGTAAAGCAGAGTCAGAGCCCTTCATTCTGGTCTGATTCAACAGTTTCACAAACATGAAGAAATCACAGCAGCTCACCTGGTCAAATTCATAAAGGAAACCCTGGGAAGAAAAAAAACCCACCATGATGTCATCAGACCAGTTATCTGTGATTGACAGTTTTACCTCAGAGCCCAACGTACCAGTCTGGAATTCCTTTTGGATTCTTGGATTTCTCTGTTTAAGTTATCCAGGTCTGTCCTATGAACATGCAGGTAAGACCTGGGAACACACACACAGGTTAATATAAAGGATAAGATGAGTTGCCCTCTGCATACCGACAGGTCTACTTACTCGAGGCCTTTCTTTAAGGCCTCATAGACTTGATCTACTCTCTCTGGTTGAGGAACTTTAGGAGCTACGGCGGACCTGCTGGGCATCTTGACCTTCCCTCTGGTTCTGGTTAAGCGCCTCGTGATTTTTATCTTGAGAGGCGCTATATAAAAGATATTTTCTTCTTTTCTTCTTCTTCTTCTGCTGAGACAGGATTATTCAGCACTGTCAGATTCCTGCAATTAGAGATACTGCTAAATATTCCAACATTACATAACAAAGGAAACCCTCCTGAGATGTCTAAAGTGATTTAAAAAAACATAAAGAATGATGTTTTAGTTTTGTTCAGTGGAGATGCTTTTAAGACAGTTAACTTTTATTCCTTTATCTCTTTATAACCTTCTTATTCATCAGTATGATCTGTTTGCATTGCACTCATTTTGGTAAACGTGCACAGATTGTCCTGCTGTAAATTCTCAATGTTGTTGATGTAGATCGACATTCTCTAACATTTCTACATTCAGATTTTTACTAAAATGCCCACTTTTACCTATTTTTAGGAGAGCAAATAAAAAATTAATCATAAAACAAGTTTTGTATTTTTAATAACAGTTTTGAAGCCCACCAAGACTATTAACTTGACAGTTTTGGTCTTTGTCTTGAAAGGTTTTGAACACTCCTGCTGTAAACCTCTAGATTTGTTAAAGGAGAAGAAATCTGCTTTTTTGGTCATCTTGTTTCCACTAGAAGTCACACCATGAATATTTTCCTTCAGGTAACGTGCAAATTACAAAGTCGCCAGAGGGCTGAGGGCTGCATTCCACTTCTACTGAAACTGCTCTTATCTGTAAGCCTCCAGAAGGAATGCAGCCCCTCATTAATGGGCTCGACACACGGGAGGCGACTTCGCCTCTCCTCCATTCATTTTCAATGAGACATGCGTGACTAAGCGATAATCGTGGGTCTCCCTCCTACCAAGCGAAACGCGAAATCGTGCATGTGAAATTTTGCGCTTGTGCACGTGTCATGCACAGGCGACCCAGCGACGCGATTCCAGAAAGTTGAAACATTTTAAACTTTTCATCGCTGTCGCTCGGACGAGGACCAATCAACGGAGGTTTCATTCACTGACCAATGACTGGACAGGATGCTCCGCACACCTCCGAGCAAACATGGAGGAGAAGTTGATTATTATTATGTTTTATAGTAAAATCACATGTAAGATTTCACATAACTCCAGCAGCACCTTGTGAAACATCATATCTATCGCTTTATTAACTCTGAACCGCTTAAATAACCTTAATTCCCTCCAACCTGACACAGCCAAACAAAATCAACGAAAGTTTCAATTTCGCCATGGAACAGAACGCGTAGACGGCTTTGCCGTTGGCCGCAAAGCGGATCGTCTCCCGTGTGTCAGGTAATAAAAGCGACAGCGACAAATTTCGCTGATCGCGATCGTTTGTCGCCTCCCGTGTGTTGAGCCCATAAGACACCTGTTCCTTCCCTAGTTCATCAGCTCAAACGATTTAATATAAAATAGACTTACACTAGTTTAAATGTATTTTAAATATACAGTTTGTGATAAACAATGATTATCCTGTAGCTCTTTCAGTCTGGAAACACATTGTTTTGGTAAGAATGACAAGCTAACGGCTAGTACAAGTAGGGTCAAGTATAAAGAGGAATGTTGCAGTCTTTAAGCAGTTTCGGCCTCATATGTTGCATAGTTGGTCACACAAGCATGGAATAAACATTCATAACGTGATCTGTTTAGCAATATGCTGTTAATCTGCCAGAGTTGTGTTGATATTCCTGCTGGAAGTGTTCCAGGACGCACCAGATGTGTTACAGATGTGCTACAGCTAGCTGCTGACCAAAGACTTCTAAATAAATAATAAAACAAATTAACATCAATGTAAAATATTATAAAAAGATATTATATAAATTTCTATAAAATATTTTAGATTGGTTTAAGATGCCATAAACCACCCTGCTCAGCCTAGCTGTTAGCTCATCAATCTGGTCAAAATTATTTTTTTCTAAACAAATTCTTATACAATGTTATCTAAAATAGGTAAACCATCACTTGTTCTAATATTTTCCACAAAACAACAATTGAAAAGATTTGAACAGCATGAAAAGAATCAAGAACCCGTTCACCTGTTTCTCTGCATCTTCATGCTTTTAAACTCAGACACTGAAGCAGATAACAAATACAGATAATTCCTATTTTCTATTCACACTAAGGTCTTATGAGCAAAAAGATGAGAAAGTAAACGGTTTAATCAAACTCACCTGAAGCATCTGTGTACAAACACCAAAGTGTTAACTGCCAGTGACGAAATTAAGTTTAAGGGAATAAGACAAGAGGCAGGGCATGCAGGAAGAACGGGAAGGAAGATATGACAAGCTGAGCGAGCTTTTTCCTGGCACCTGACGACACGGCGGCTTGTTGCAGTGTTGGTTACACACTCCAGCTAGAAATGCTGCAGAACAGGAACCTGCATGAGTGTGAGTGATATGGGTCCCCACACACATTCCTGCATTTTCTGTGTGTGTTGTTTTTGAGACTGTGTAAGAAAAGCTTCTCTGTATTCATAAATCAGCTGATTAATGTGTTCACAATGAACAAACTAATAATAAATTACAGAGCCCAATGTGAGAGGTTTGGGTGGAGTGAAACTCCTTCTAGAATAAAGATTATTAGGATTAAAGGGGCTTTGCTGTCATTACGTCCTGAAATATTTTACCAGTTAAATTTATAGGAAAGAATATTTTCCTTTTTTTTTTTTTTTACCGTATCCTGTCTGGCTGTGAATCAAACAGAATTGATGTCTGAATGCTGGTGACAAGCCTTACAGATTTACTCTCAGGTGGAGCATCAAAGCGTTTGCTTTTAATGTCACGCCTGATACTTAAAACTTTATTGTTATTGCTTTTGAATGCTTTGTAATTCCGACCAGACACGGAGATAGAGGTGAAAGAGAAAGGAAAAGACAAAAGGTGGGGAGGGGGGGGGGGGGGGGGTCCACAAAAATGAACAATAATGAACCAGACCAGCAGAAATAGACTAAAAAAGAGCAAAAGAACAAAACAAATGGGACACAACAACAATACAACAAGAGCAAGCTATCACTGCGTCAACTTGATGAAGAAATATTAAATCAACATTGCTTAACTGAACAATCACACGATAATAAACAACAGTGCATTAAGTGCCCACCATAGTCTTAAGACCTGTGTTTAACGTGCCCAAGTCCATACTTTTGAGAGCACCATGTGAGCACCTGTGTGTGTACACGCACTTGTTTATGTAAGGTTTCTCTATAGGAGCATCCAATAGAGAGTGTGAGGGACCACAGATCTGCCGCCCAAAGATGCGTAGGAGACGGGGGGAGGGGGACGAAGATCTATATCATCAAAAGAAGTTCCAGGAGAGGGGAGGAGTCAAAGGCCCCACCTGACATAGACAGTCATACACAAACACAGTCACACACTCCCTCCCTCATGCTCACACATGCACATAATGCACATGCACTTTAAAAATCATCTAAAAACTCACCTTTTCATCCAGGCGTTCCCTCCCTAAATGTTCAAAAAGATGGCTTTGTTCGGGTTCACACCTTCACTTTGTTTATACTCATGATTTTATTTTCTGTTTTATCACTGCTATTGTTTTTCTGATGTTTTTATTGGTTAGAGGTATTTGCCCTGATCTTTATCATGTTGTACAGCGCTTTGTGATTTATATCTGTGAAAGGCGCTAAATAAATAAACTTTTACTTACTTACTTACTTACAACCCAAGACTTACAAAAATGCATGCCGGACACCCACTCATGCTCCCCATACACACCCTATTCACTCTGGTCCTGGTACTGCTGCACATTGGAAAGAATATTGTCATCAGACGAACACCCCAGCTGGAGGTGTGGCACAACATGCATCCTCAGGGCAAAACTGTCAGGCACAAAAAATTTATCACAAATGTGAAAACTAAACTTACATGGCAACTTAAAGAAATCTGTTGTTTCTTTTAAAATCTTCCTGCCCAAATTATTCATCTATATGGGAATCAGAACTAGTAGCAGAAATTATTTGCCTTTTATGACATTTGAATCTTATATTTATCATAAATTGTTATAAATAAACATCTTTCTTTGTGACCTCATGATATCGAACCATTACAGCTTGTTAAACGTTTATGTATGATTGTAACTATGATAAGTTGCAGTAGCAAGTTGGATTTGTAATGTACCTTCTCCTGAAAAGTAAATGTTTTAACTCAAATTTATTATAAAAGCTTTATTGCTGCTGTTTGATCATAGGTCACACCTGAATTAAACTCTTTAGAGTAAATTTATAGACGCAAAAAAATCCTTGTTTCAAGTATTATCTAGTGTGTCATTTAAAAATACTCCAGTCTTTAAAAAAGTCTAAAAAAGAGGAACTAATAAACACCGACATCTAGCGCTAGATATTTTTGTCGCCCTCTTGTGGCCATTTGGTTCGTAATGGATGTTCGGTGTCAAATCGCTATCGAGGGTTATCGTTATTCTTCATATTTAGATGTTTTTCACTTCCAACACACCTGAATAAAATCTACAGGTAATTAACAAACTTCTGTAAAGCTTGATAACCCGTTGAACACATTTTTCAGATCAGAAAAACAACTTAAACATCAAAATGGCATTATTTAGTCCACTTATGAGAGAAATCCGTGTTTGTTTGTTTCATGACTGGTTTCTAATAAACCCCTTCAGATAAGAACATCCCATTTTAAAAACGCTGAACTGACCGATAATAACATTTTGAAGTTATTCCAGGCATTTCGAAATGTTCTATTGGTTTACTAAATACCGTAGTCACATGGCTTGAAAGTGATAGGTGTTAAGCAGATATGTTAAAGGTAAAAAAACGATGTCCCGCTAGTCTCTGTTTGCGGTCATCCGGGTGTTGCTCTTGCAAAATAAGTTGCGATTAAACAAATGGTCACAAAGAAAGCATCATTACGTTTTGTACTGGCAAGTTCATTCAATGACATAACTCGAAACTAGTGTTCATGGAAAAGCTGGGAACGGTTTTCAGTGGGAGACACATTTCGACGTAACACCAAAAAAGTTCCTCTATAGGGCGGGGCTACAGTAAACTGATCTCTGATTGGTTAATTTCTGGCAGAGACGCCATGATAGACCTGAGCACAACAATTGAACATTTTTACTTTCGATTTGGTTTGTTACGCACTTGTGCCTGTTTGTAGGCCAATAGAACAATTTTGTTTTTCCAGAAACATTCTGAAGAACAAAACCATGAAGGAACTCGTCTATGTCGTGGCTCTGCTTTTCCTAACAGAGTTAATATCAGCAAAACTAGGTAAGAGTTGTGATTGTTTACACCTCACTGTTCTCCTCACTGATGTTCTAATCTGAGGAGAAAATGGCGCTGTGCTTTCAGCAGGAAGTACTGACACTGTCAGGACTTGAACTCATGGGCAGTTTTTATTTTATTTATTCATTTGTTTGTAAAATAAGAACATGTAGTTTGTGAGAAGGGCAAAAATGTTACACTTATGGATAATGTCAACCCGTCTGGAGAAAACTTCACGAATACATTTAAATAACCCTCCTCTTAAAGTCAGATGACGTTTTTGTTTTGGGAGTTTTTACTTTCTTTTTTATTATTTTTGGGTGTTTTTATTTGTTTTAATCACACGTATGTGAGAGCCAGGTACATAAATGTGATGCACTGACGCAGACGGAGAAGCATGAATCAGGCTTTGGATGTTGGCCAGCTGCTGGTTTGGTGTTATCACGTCACGCATGCGCAGAACATATTTTTGTTTTATGACTGTAGTAAAAATGTGCTTATCTGTAGTACCACATTATTGCCATGGAGTCTTACTGTCAAATTAATGTTATTTTAAAGCTTTTGGCCAGGATATTAAAATTTGATTATTCGTTTTTATGAATCAGACTGGTTGCTAGTTTTGAGTTGTTATGAGGTATGCTTTGGGTGCTTATAAACTTTCAGGTGTTGATTTTATAATGTTGGAACATAGATTACCGTAATCTACTTAGATGATCAATAAAGGAACATAGGACACGTCCATGACAAGTGGAACGGGTCCATCTGGTGTCTACAGCAGCATTCTTACACAGAGACATCAGGAGCTGTTAGTTAGTCATCCTAAAACTATATGATGGGGGTACTAAAACATACTTTGGTTGTAATGTTTGAATTTAGAGGACAAGCATTTATTTATTCCTACGTTTTATATTTTATTTATTTACTGTAGTTAAAGTTTAATTCAGCATTAGCTTACTTCTAATAGCATGAATGAAAAACGTGAAGTTCTTTATTGTTTTGTTTAGGAAGTAGTTATAAAGTTATAAATAAAGTTTTGCGTCTGAAGCATTTATAAAGTTTTAGTTGAATGATCAGATGAGGTTTCAGACCTTTAATAGTCTGCTGTCTGATAAACACAAGACTAAAATGTTCAAACTGAAACTCTGAAACACTAACTGACTAAAGTTAAGAGAGGAATATTCGTGTTAGCTAGAAAAGTGATAGAACTGGAGGAACTGGTTTGTTTACATTTTGTCATGAAAGCAAACACAAGCATACACACTGAGTATGTGGAAACAAATAAAAGCTGCTAAAACACACATTTGTATCAAAGCTTTTCAAAAATAACAGTTGATGTGACTTACTGATGTGTGCGAGTGTGTTTGAGTTAAACCAATAGAACAGATGTTACAGTTTGTGTGCGTTTGTTAAACGTTTTCTGTTTTTTTATGTATTATTTTGGCAGCTGAACCACAGGTCCAGGTGTACAGTCGTAACCCAGGACAGTATGATAAATCAAACGTCCTCATCTGCCACGTCAGCGGCTTCCACCCACCAGAGATCCGCGTTGATCTGCTAAAGAATGGACAAGAAATAACCGCAGCAAAGCAGACTGACCTGGCCTTTGAGGAGGACTGGCATTATCACATGACCAAACACGTGCCTTTCACTCCGAGGACCGGAGATAAGTTTGAATGCAGAGTATCTCACATGGGGAAGACGAAGCATTACTTTTGGGGTGAATATTCTCTATTTTTATCATTTATTTCTCTTTCTGCTCACATTCATGATCATTTTAGGGCCAGAAGCTAAAATGTTTGGAAACCACTCACCTGTCTTATGTTTCTGAGATGTAATAATCATGACATGCAGACAGGTGGTGCAACTGATTTTACAAACAAATCATTTATGCATCAGGATTACTTTATTCCCTACTAAAAGGCCTTTGCTGATGGTTAAGCAGCACACACTGACCTAATGCATGCTCTCTCTACAGAACCAGATATGTAAAAACCTACAGTCACCTTTCTCGGGTATGTACCACATTAATTCTAGGTACTTTATTCTATAAATCACACTTTCTGCACTGACACTATTTCCTCCTTTTTAAACTGAACCCACAGGTCTGATGACGATTGGAAATCAAGAATCAGCGTAAAAGACTAAATGCACTTAAGAGTTGGTGAGATTGTTGAGTTGAACAGGCGGCAATGTAAATCCTAAACTGTTTGGCACTTATAACCCAGCTCACTCGCTTTGTTTCCCACCAGTTTGCTTCTGAAACATGTTTCTTAATAAGAAAGTCTGCATCCAATAATAAACAAATGACCAACTTAACCTTTTACAAAAATATGGGTGGATTGGACCAACATGGTTTAATTTAAAGTAAGATTAGCACTCATCAGAGATCAGTAAAACTAGGTTTTAAATTACTTAAACCAGGTTTAAAGTTAAGCAGAGCTGAATTGCACCACTTGGCAGCAGCAGTAGCTCAACAGGTTGAGCGGGTTGTCCAGTAATCGGAAGGTTGCAGGTTCGATCCCGGCTCCGGACAGAGAATTCTGCTGTTGTGTCCTTGGGCAAGACACTTAACCCACTTGCCTGCTGGTGGTGGTCGGAGGGTCCGGTGGCGCCTGTGCTCGGCAGCCTCGCCTCTCATCTCCACCAGTGTATGAATGTGTGTGTGAATGGATGAATGATACACTGTAGTGTAAAGCGCTTTGGAGTCCTTACTCTGAGAGGCGCTATACAAGTGCAGGTCATTTATTTAACGTTAATCTCAGTTTAGTTAAACTCAGTAACTGATTCAAGTCAAAAGACGTGGGCATCAAAATAAACATACTAATTAAATAAGGCACGATATTAACTATAAACACCGGAAGCGTGTCGTTAGACCCTGGGCTTTAACAAACAATAAAAACCTCCTCTCTGCTCTTCTCACCCGCTGACTCGTTTTGGTGCATTTAACAGCGTTTGTTTATTTAACTTTCTCCGCTCCTCCTTTGTTTGTCTCCATCTCAGAACATCGAGCCAGCCCAGCTGTTGAGGCGCTGGTTTTATGGGTCGGTCAGAGTGATGTCTACATTTAAACAAATAAATATAAGGAAAAGTCTGGGTTCTGTCGACCTATGATCGATGGTCAGTCCAGCGGATGGTTTTAATGGATCGACGTGTGACTTAAAAAGAAAGACATCGCTCAGCTTAAGACCTGCTGAAAAACACAACAGCTCTAAAAAACATTATTTGGTTAACCAGGCATTAGCCATGAATTAATCTTTGTCATAAAATTCAACTAAACTGCGCCTGTTTGTCAATTTTCTGTAAAGAACTTAATAGTTTTTTTTTCTCAAAAATACAGCCATGGCTAAAGTTAAACCTCCTCATTAGATGGTTTAAAATAAATCCCAGATCATAATTTAAACTGGGGTTTAAAAGTCGGGTGTAACGGGCTTAAAATTAAACTTTATTTAGTGTAAAAGTTAAATCCAGCCGGTAGATTGCACCAACAAGGTCTAACTTTAAACTCAGATAAAATCATAATTTACATTTAAATTCCATTGCACCAAACTTTAAACCTAGTTTAAAATTAAGACGGATTACATTTAAACCCGTTTTAAACCCAGTTTAATTTTTACACTAAACCAAGTTTAACTTTAAGCCAGTTGCACCAGAACATTGAACCTCAATTGAAACTATGATCTAGGTTTAATTTTAAACCTGCTAATGAGGAGGTTTAACTTTTGCCATGGCTGTATTTTTTAGGTAAATCTAGAAAAAGGATGATGATATTCAAAGAAAATTGAGAAACAGGCTCAGTCCAATTGGATTTTATTATAAAAATTAACTTTTGGTAATATACTGGTTTACCAAATAGTCTATTTTAGAGCTGTTGTTTATTTATTTATTTTTAAATCAGGAAGCCCTGAGCGATGTCTCTTCTCCTTTTAAGTAAAAAGTCTCTGAACCTCCAGTTTGTTCACATGGACATACGTAGGTCTGCAGATACGAAGCTGGTCCAGTCAAAGCACAATACACCTGCTCCCTTTCTAAAGCTGCACTGCTGTATGGAGCTAACGTAGCTCTGCAGCTGAGCAAATGTTATGTACTATCTGCTCTGGAGTGTGGAGCTAGCTTAGCTGTAGGCTTAGCTAACATGATTTATTGGATCTTCTGAGAGAAAACGCAAAGGAGGAACAGAGAAACCACAAGAAATATAAAAAAAACTTGCTCTTCAAACAAAAGCTGCTATATGCACCAAAGATGAAAGGTTTTCAATCCAGGTCCTAACAAGCTTCTGAATGTTTATATATTAATTGCGTGGCCCGTTTAATTAGTATATTTGAATTTGACATCCACTCCCCTTAATTTAAATCAGTTTAAGCACAGTTTAAAAACATAAACTGAGTTTAACTAAACTGAGATAAAGTTTAAGTGGTGCAATGCAGCTCAGCTTAACTTTATACCTGGTTTAAGTCATTTTAAACCTAGTTTTACTTAACTCTGATTAGTGCTAATCTTAGTTAAAATGAAACCTTGTTGGTGCAATCCATAAATGTCGTCGATTTAAATCTTTGAAGTCTTCAAGATTTTATCCAACGAGACAGAAATATAAACATCTTAAAGCTTGATCTTAAAATTAAATGTTGTGCAAATAAAAAGATAATCTTCTGGGAAAACGTTTTACAGTAGAATCAAAATCTTTCCATTCACCTGGAGTGAGTGCTGCCCATATTTACTGCTAAGCATAGCTTAAGTGTGTGATTTTTTTTAGAGTGTAAAACAAACCCTTAAACTTCAGTTTCAGACTGTATGTGTTGGATTTTTTCAATACAGAAATAAAAAACAGTTGAAACAATATTCTGTGTCATGAATTCTTGTTTTGATCTTTTGTGTAGCTTCTCAGTTGGTGGTGACCTTGAAGGTTTAGTTGGAACAACGGGACTTCTCTTGTACGTGAAAACTGTCTCTTCATTCTCAACCACAACGTGCTTCCTTTTAAAGCCATAATGTTCAACTTTTTATATTTATAAATCCTTTCCTTTAGCCAGTATGTGCTATAATGACCCCTAACAGGGTTAATGAAATGTCACTTAGACCCCCACCGCCCTCTGTGGCCAGAATACCACACCTGCAACTTCAGACTAGCGGGCCGCTCTGTTGGGACTTTGAAAAAAATTTAGCTGATGTACTGTTTATGTTTATTTATTTGTGTAACGGAATGGAAGACTGTGTTTTTTCCCTTCTTTGCTCAAGAGTAGTCTGCATGAGAGATAGTCTCAAGGTCTCATGCATTCCTTCTAACCTGCTTATTTCCAGCTCAACAGAAGAACGAACAATGAACTCTTTTCTTTTAATTAATCAAAGAACTTTATTTTAATAAAGCTAATCCATCAAAATGTTAGTCAATAAATAAGATGTGACCGACCTGTGAAGTCAAAATATTAATTGCTTTATTATGATCCTATAGAAATAATAAGTACTGTGACTTTAAATGTTCCAACGTAGTGTTAAAAAGACATAACACATTATTTTCACTGATCCAATCAGAATCTTACAGATCTGATGGAGGCGTGGTTCTGATGGTGTTTGGTAATTTTTCATTCGACAATAAACCATAACATCCGAAGTATAAAACTGCCACGTCAGCTCTAACGCCAGTTCAAAGCGTTCCAGAGAAAGTGACGAAGTGGCCAATCCTGATCTAAACTCTTTAACCGAAAGAACCAACGACAAGCTGAAAAATCCAGTCGCTATACCAACCAGCGGCAGCAGTTCCTTTCAGAATAAAAGCTCAACCTTCCAGACCCAGGCTTGGGTTTCACCAGACGCCAATAACTTGACGTGTACCCGGAAGTAACTCAAGACGGGTTTGATCGGAACCGCGGCTTTTCCTACTGGCTCGGTTCCAGAGAGTGTCTACTGGACCTCGATATTCCTGATGTACAGAGGACTTCCACTAAGGGTAGGTGGACCAGCATGATGGTGTCTCATGTGTTTCTGAACTTCCTAACCAAAGCTTAATGCGAAAACATCTTCAGTTCCCGTCAGAACAATCGCTTCTTCGGATTTGTTGGTTCTGATTTAACATCACACGTCATCCATTCACCGTCCCATCCATTTTAGTTACATTATACATTTAGTTTTAAAGTCAGTCTAGTTTAATTTGTTAGTAATAAAATTCTTAACTTTTAAACTTGACTCTATTCTGTTGTCTCTGAGTGAATACGTAACGGTTATCTAATCCAGTGGTTCCTAACCCTGGGGGGTCCCGACCCCCACAAGGGGGCGCCAAATCCTCTCAGTGGGTCGCCAGGACCTCTCCACTTTAAGGGGTTAAAACTTCATTTATTACTTGTTTATAGCCTACATTTTGCTCACATTTTTTTATGAGAGAAAAGTTTACTGATATTAAGACAAGAAATAATTAGTACAGAAAAAGTAACACACTTTTAAGAACATTTTGCTCAGCTCACTGTTTTATTTTCAAGTGTCAAAAGTTCATTAAAGATAGGACTGGTTGATTAATCACAGCCTTTACAGTAAATAATCTAGTATAAACAGTAATATACACATTTAAGTACATTTTGCTCAGTGTATTTTTTATGTGTCAAACGTTTATTGAAAGGAATGATTGATTTATCAGTGTTTACAAGAAACAATGTGTTCAGAAAAGTAACACAAACTGTCAAGCACATTATGCTCTGGTTTCGTTAATGACTTTGTTCTGTACTGGAGCCTACTATTACTGTTATCTATTGAATCAAAGCATATTAAAATGTGCTTGAACAATTTTATCATTTCTTAATACTGTTTGTATTGGAAGAGAGAATGGGAGGGGGTCGTCAAAAATTTTACTGGTAAAAAAGGGGTCCCTTGGGAAAAAGGCTGGGAACCACTGATCTAATCCCTGCAATAAAAAGATCCAATCTTCTGCGATTATAACCCTGCGATCCATAAGGTGGATTCCATATTTCCTATAGAATCCCACGCCTTATGGCTCATAAAAAAACTAATCTATTTCATTACATTTGCAGATGCTTTTATCCAAAGCAACTTACAATTTATAACCTATAGGGCATGTTGTACTGTTTCAAGCACGTTTCCTGCAAGTTTTAGATCATGAACACAGCTGATTTGTTTTATTTAGTGATGAACCGCTCCTGTAGACACTAATGAAGGCTGGGAGACATTTTTGCTGTTAGATTAAGGTGTTAAAAAGACGAATGCACAGCGAGAAAAGTTTTGCTTTTGGTTTGGCCACAGAGAATAAAGGACACTAGGGGGTGCTAAAAGCAAGCAAGTGTGCCTTTAAGATGCTTGTAAATCACAGTTGTACTGCCATGGAAGGCAGCTTCTACCTTGCAGATGCTGCACCTGTTTCTCTTTACTTTTATAAAACATTCCCAAACTTTCACGCTCTGTTGCTGCCAGTTTGCCGTGACTGTTTAAGCTCGTCCAGTGATTCTGTGGCAAATCATTGAGAGGAACAACAGCAGTTTTGAGAGGAAAAACAAAGCTTAAAAAGGGAAGATGATGCTGATTATACATAGGCCGTTGACCATTTTGGTAGTTGATGTAGTCATGACTCATGAACTTATCTTGGAGCACTGCTATACACAATTCACTTGAAGCATTTTTATCTTCACATGGTTGGAATAAGACAACTTACGTGGAAAATATTCAATACTAACAACATTCAGAAAAAGAAAAATGACACGGTTTTAGGATATCATGACATGCTCAGACAAGAGTCTGTATTTTTAGTTTTACAAAAATACTGATGCAAAGTCACTTTCAAATTAGGTTTCAACAAATCAAACAGAAAACAACAAACATGTTTTTGTCTGTGAAATCTGCAGAGCCCGTCAGGACAAATGAGAGTAAAGGAAAAACTGCAATGAATTTAACGAAATGTGCATCAGACCAAGGCAAGCTCATGCTGTTTCAGCCTTGTGACCACTGCATCTCCTGTGTTATTTATCTGTAAGCGGTCCAAGAACTCTGCTGCCTGGGTTTGACGTGTAGGAACTGTTATCTGGTGGTTTTTACTGATTCTATCGGCAGCTGCAGTCAGAAACCATCTCTGCATCCAAGCTGCAGCGGAGAGTAATCTTTAGTGGCTACTGGGTTTATTTAACATGCAGCTACAAAAATACTCAAAACACTCTTAAAAACTTTGAACTGAAATGCTGTCTCAGCTGGAAAGAAAATGTTGCTGTCTCATTCTTTTAGTCTCCAAAATACACATTTTACACAGCCGGAGGCTCCGTTGTCCTCTCGGAACAATTAAGCTAATTAAAACAGGTTTCACCAGAAATCTAGCTGCTTGCATCTTAAAATAGCTAAAGACGATCAGTGAAGTGTTAAAAAAGCTACGAGCCTATTTTATTTATAAAGCACTTTAAAAACTGTGAGCACTGCCCACAAAGTGCTGAACATAGAAAAAGAAAGATTCAAATATAAAATACTAAAGATAAATACATTTTGAAAAACACCAACATAAAAAATCTATGAAAAGCCAAATAAAATTAACATTTTATTCATAATCCAAATTAATGTGTGTTTCACCTTTTTGTTTGTTAGAAATCATCTAACCATTTGTAAAAAGACAACAGGTGTGCTGAAGCAGGGAAGCGTCTATAACTAGCTGGATAGGGGCCAGGACTGGACACCAGATCTAACACTTTAGCTGCTACATAAAGGGGAAAGGGGAAAACTTAGAATATGGTGCTAAAGCAAACTTAGACTGAGAGACCATCTAAAGGCTCAGTAGCTGACTTACTCGTCAGATGAGTAAAGGTTAGGTGAGCGATGATGCTCTGAACTCTTGGCATAGATTGAACTGAGTGATGATTGGTTTGAGTTGACCTAATTTTATAGTGGATTGTGATAATGTGGATAATTTGTGGGATGCTTAGGCGATGAATGATGGAGTTCCTGACAGTAACCCCTCCGGCACTAAATAGGTGACCTTAGTAGCACACTGTTGGCGGAAGTGAAAATCTGTGAAAAGGGAGAGGTCTAGGAAGGAGTGAGCCAGTTCCCAAGAGTGATCCTCAGTCCTTCAGCCCTCCTAGTCAACCAAATATTTCTAGCCTCGGCCCTGACGACGGACGTCCAGGATGCGTGACACTGTGTAAACCCAGTTGCCATCCATAAAGTAGCAGAGGCTGAGCAGGCGGCAGTGCCAACAAAGAGTCAGATTGTGGCTCAAATTTGGGGACATGGAAGACTAAGTGGATTTTGAGGTAGGCAGGCAGACGGAGGCAGATTGTGACAGGGTTGATCTTTCATTCAAAGATGTAGGGACCAATGAATTTGGGCGGGAGTTTCCTGGACTCGGTTCACAAGTGTAGGTTGGTAATTGACAGCCAAACCTTGTACCCAGGCTGGTAGGAGGGTGAGGAACAGAGACGGTACTGGTGGGCATATTGGGTGTTGACACAGGGATGGTGGCTTGTGCCTTGATCCAGACCATGGGACACCGTCCGACCAGAGTCTGAGCTGCAGGAACCTGATAACTCCACCCAGAGATAATGAGGCCAGAGTGAGGGCTGGGCCGAGATGAAACATCTCCGTGAGCCAGAGCGGGGAGACAGCTGGATGGGACCTGGGTCAGGAGACAGGACTGAAGGAGTGAACTGCCAGGAGTGGTCATCAGCTTTGTGGTTCTTGGAACCAGGTCAGTAGGCTAGTTGAAAATTTTAGGACTCAAAGAAGAGGGCCTAGCAGGCTTGACGGGCCGAGCGGTTTTGTGTGCTGGATGTGGATGGTGGGACTGTAGTACAGACCAAAGGGAATGACCTGGTGCTCCCGATAGGGAGCCTAAGTCACTTCTGCATCATGGGTCCCCGGAAGAACGAAAAAATGAATGCAAGTCAATGGGGCTAAAACCGCTATTTTCTAATTCTGCTTGTTTTGTGCCATGGATTTCACATATGATGTCTGTGAATTTTAAAGACGCATTTTGATACCAAGAACACGCTTATTTTCGAACGGGGGGAACGATATTTTAGGTTTTGTGTGAAAATAAGTCTAGGACTACAAATGCGCTTCACAAAAGTGACGTCATCAAACCAGACACGGAGAAAACTGAGAGAAAAGGGCTGTAAGTTCAGCAAACATCCCACAGTATGAAAGAACCCTTCATAAATCTGGTCATTTGGTAAGTAGCAGCTACGTTAGGGAAGAGGAGATTATGTGGTGACGTCACATATGTGACGTGCCGATTTCTAGTTTGTAGTCATGCAAATTACAAACTTTTACATGCTATTAAATCTCAAAGTACGTGACTGGCATGTTCGAAACACTCGTCGTTACTTTTCATTTAACTTGTAGTACAACATTTGTGTGATCCAGGGTCTAAGGAGCGGATTAGAAAACAGCGTTTTTAGCCTCGTTGACTTGCATTCATTTTTTTCGTTCTATGATGCGGAAGGGACTTAGGCTCCCTATAGCCGGTGGGTGGTATAAAAGCGGCCTTCCATTCATCTCACTTTAATGCGCACCAGGTGTATGCACTCCGCAGGTCAGGCTTAGTGAAAGAGCGGTGACCGTCAGTGGTGGTGGGTGATGATCTTTGATGGTGATTTTATTGAGTCTTCAATAGTTAATGCAAGAGTGGAGATCCCCATCCATCTTAACGAAGAAAAACCCAGCTGCCCCTGGAGACGTTGCTGATGAATGAAGCCTTGTTGGAGGGCCTCTGTGACATATTGGTTCATGCCCTGGGTCTCAGCAGGAGAAAGGGAGAAGAAACAGCCATGTGGTGGCACAGTTCCCGGTTGAAGTTTGATTTCCATATCATAGTGGCGATGAGGTGGAAAGGTTGTGGCCCATGGTTTATCTAAGACCTGGGCAAGGTCATGTACTGGGAAGGAAAGGTGTCCAGATTGGGACTTCCTGGATTGTGAGTTGCAACTAGAGGGTTGATGGTAGTGAAACATCAGGGGCAGCAGTTGGGGCTCCAGTTTAGAAGCTGACCAGAGGACCAGGAGATACAAGGGTCATGAAGGTGGAGTGGCCTAGGATGCGGGGAGATGAGGGTGTCTTGACAATAAGGAACTGGATGCTTTGTTGATGTTCATGTCCGCAGTTATGGGTCCGGTGTTGGATGGGAGCACTGAGGAGCTGCCACAGAAAAGGCCCTGTCCCCCTTAAGTTTGCGCTTCATTCTCTGAACTTCCAGAAGCAGCTAATCTGCTGATCTCAGAAGAGCAAGGTACAGAGAATTACAAGAGTTAAGATGTGATGTAACAAAAGCATTAATAATCATCTGAAAATCCTGTTTTAAAAGCAAATTCTTAACCTTGGCGATCCTTCTCAGATGATAAAAACTAGATTTCACCACAGCACTGATCTGCCTGACCAGAACCAAGTCAGTGTCTATCATTACCTCCAGGTTAGCCACAATAGAGCTCAGAAAGAGAGCCAGTGGTCCCAGGTCAATATTACTGGAACCAGTGGACATGCTGGAACTAAAATCTCAACCTCAGTCTTCTTCTCATTAAAATGTAGGACGTTAGAGGACATCCATACTCTAACCTCCTCAAGGCATTGCAATAAAGGCTCTATAGTGTGAGGGAGACCTCACATAAAATATGAGATACAGTATGTGTGTAATGTTTGTTGTATCAACTCATTTCTTCTGGACTTGGGCGTAGATGTCGTTAGTAGCCTGTGTTTGGTTGTTGCTTTGGGTCTTACTCAGCTTCACTTGTGAATACACAATGTTCTGCTGATCTGTGTCGTCCTGCACCAACGCAGTAGTAGGTCTACGCACGGAGAAGTCAATCCGTCCATAATGGATGTCCTGATGTTCAGCTGTACTGGAGGGCTCTTCAAGAACTAGACTCTGCAAAATAACCATGTGGGGGAGAAAATGTATAAGCTGCTATAAATATTACTTTTTTCTTCCTTCACGCCTTGAATCTGCTGTTTCTGAACACCAACAGATAAAAATGACGATGTGGGTTGCTGAAGGATGTTACATCACATACTTTATGTGGGTTTCACTAAAACCCACATAGCTGGATATTTATCTAGCAACCACAGTAATGATAAGAAAAAGGGCTATTAAGAAAAAAATTAAATAGAAATACTTAATGCAGCTGGAATTTCCCACCTGAGTCTGATGTGTGATTGGACGTGTTGACTTCCTCCACCTGGAGCAGAAAAATTAAAAAGTTAAAGACAGTTAGCTGAACCTTTCTAATATAATTACATCCATTAAAAGGTCTTGGAAAAGGTTGTGGCTAAACAACTCACAGCTGCTCTTGATGAACATAACATCTATGATAGTTTCCAGTCAGGTTTTCGTAGAGCTCATTCTACTGAAACAGCTCTTTAGGATCTCTAATGTCCTTCTGACTCACAGTGATGCAGGGGACTGTTCTGTTCTGGTCCTGCTGGACCTGACTGCAGCCTTTGACACTGTTGACCATCACCTGCTACTGAAGAGACTGGGTAGGCCTATCAGGAACTACTCTGGTGTGGTTCTTCTCTTATCTGTCTAAGCGTTCCTTCTCTGTGGCCGTCTCCCAAGTTTAGGTCCTCCACCACCTCTCTGACCCAAGGTGTCCCTCAAGGTTCTGTGCTGGGGCCTCTACTTTTCCTCCTTCTTCCTCTCAAGCACATCATGCGTTCGTTTAAAGAAATCTCCTACCAATCTCCTTTAAGGCCTGGAATGTACTTGCTGTCTAACCTCATGTTGGTGCAGGCAGCAGGCTGCGTTTTTGTTCACATACTTGCTGGTGCACAGCACTGCACTGCACGTAGCATTAGAGAACTCAGGCTGGATAGAGAGCCAGGTTTGTGGGTACAACCAAAACAAACCTGGCGTCAATAAAAGAGATCACTAACTGGTTAACTCTGAGATCAGGACAGAAAAAAAAGACAGCAGCGATATCGTAGATGGTGTGAAAGACCTCTAAACCAGAGACGGAGTCACCATGGCGAGTGTGTCTTGCTTGTTTTGTCAACTACACTTACTGGTTACTCGTGGACTTTAATTCAGCTCTTCAGAAACCTTAAGGTGATGCAGCAAGGGTCCATCCAAATAATGACACAAATATTTACCAACAGATCTCTCAAGAAATTAAGCTAAAAAGTCTTCATTAAACTGTTTTTTACTTAAATCGTTGAAGTTGTCTTAATTCAAACGGAAAAATGCAAAAATAAATAACTAAACAACAACCCTCCTGCATTTCTAATGGGACTCACATGTTTCTATAGGTTTTTATTTTTTTTTTAAACTGTTTTGGGACCTTGCTTAATAAAGCTTGTTAACAATCAGAAACCCTGACCCTTCCTCATGAGGGTCTTTGTTGTCCTGGTCCACAGGTCAGATGTTTTTATCACGTACCTGTAGGTGTTGGGTTGCTGTGAAACTACCTGGGGTTCAATTCAGACCTCAGGCCGCTGTGCTGCCATAAACACACCTCACACACACCAAGGAGACAAGTGGTGCTGGGACATTTATACTTACCTAAAGACAATAACTGCACAGATGAATAAGATGATCCCAACAATTCCTCCAACAAAAGCTCCCGATGATGAAAAATGTCCTATAAATAAATAAAAGTAAAAGAACGCTTCTAACTCTTGATGAACTTTTACACCGTCTGACAATTTCAACATGTATCTCTTTACCTCAACTAAAGACAAATGTCATAATTTAATTGCACCATAAAAACATAGCTGTTGTAACATTGTATAATTTATTTGTATAATCTGTGTAGTATCATACCATTCCACACTATACCAGTTTATTTATCAAGCACATTTAAAAACAGCATGTGAGTGGACCAAAGCGTTACAGGGGATTCAGCAATTATACAAGACCAACAAGCACTCACGACAAAGAATAAAACATGAAAATAAAACCAAAAACACCCAATCAGCTGATTATTATAAGATTATACTAATAAAACACTAAAATGGTGATTCGTAGATCAATTAACACCGATTCAAGCTAAAATGTAACCCAGTTCAGATCCATGATTTAAAAGCCAGATGAATGAGACATTGTCCTAACTGTGAAATAAAAGGACATATAAACATAATAGTCTCCATGTGCTGAGTCTCATGCTGCTCCCATCCTGCTGCTACATGTTCAAATATTCAATTTTCTTTTCCATTTAAAAAACATCATGATTGTTTCCATTCATTTATTTACTTATTTTTATGATTTAATATCAGTTAGCCGTGGCAGCCATCTTGAACAAGATAATTGATTACTAATTACTTTGTAATTTTTTCATTCAAATCAGCCGAGTGACTCAAGAGGTGGAGAGATGCAGAAATGTTAAAAGTTACAGTTAAGACTACAAAGGATGCTTGATGATGTCTGATTACCCAGATCAAATACAAAACTATAAAGAATCAAAATAAAACAAGTGAAAAAAGAAAATGTGAATAAGTTACCTCCAACTCTTAGTTTGATCCTTGATGACGTCTGATTCCCCAGAACGTTTGCAGCCACACAGTAAAACTCTCCTCCCTCAGAGACGTCGAAGCTGTAAAGCTGCTCCTCAGATACTTGAACGGGTCCCTCTGAGCTGATCCTGAACCAGCTGAAGCTGCTGACGGGAGGCTTGGCTAAACTGGAGCAGCTCAGCGTCACCCAGCTACCTGCTGACACCAAACCTGATGGACTGATGGATGCTGAGGTGTCTTTAGGGGCATCTGAGGAAAATGGGACTCACTTGAACTTTATTGATCAGAAGCAGCTGAACCATGACGTGCTGACAGGATCACTTACAGGAAACATGAAGAGTCACTGTCTCTGTTGTTTTCAGACGTTTTCCTCCATCCACAGGGTATGAGACAGAGCATGTGATGTTGTATCCATCATGTGTGTCTGACAGAGTCACGTTCTCCTGGATTTTAGTTGTAGAGGTTTCATCTGGGTTCTTCTGTGTTTGTCTGCCAGAGTCTGGTTGGAGATTCCAGGTGAGTTCAGGAGGTGAGAGTGGACAGGGAGTCGGAGCTGAGCAGGTTATAGAGACAGACTCCTTCTCCTTCAGCTCCTCCAGACCTCCTGAGGTGGTAATCCTGGGTCTCCAAGGAGAATCTGGGATTTCATGTTAAACAGACCCAAATAAAATATTTAGTTTTTTCACTTACGCATAAATATTTGCCGGCATTCAGTTTTGGACCCCCCACCCCTCTCCATTATATAAATGAGGTCTATTGAGCCTGAAATTCCAAAATAAATGGAAATTTCAGATCATTGATCATTGAACACAAATCCCATTTTTGCCTGAAACCAGTTAATTTTCTGAAAGATTGTTTGCTGATCTGAAACATTTAAGTGACAATAAATCAGAAAAATGACCTTTCACCATGCTTTTTGTATAGATGTATAAATAACGGCTGAAACTCAGGCCTGCTCACCTTTGACCTTGATTTTAACAGGATTACTACAAGCCGTCGCCTTGAATGTTGCATTCTCAACTCTGAAGAAGATATCTTTTGAGTGATCTTTGGTTAAATTGAAGAACATGGTGGTGCAGTTGTTTTGGCTCAGATTTCCAGTCATTTCCATCGGATAGTCTCTCACTGACCCACTGCTGTTGAAAACCACATTTTCTGGGTAGTCCGTGAATTTGGGATTGTCTTTGATCCACACTCCAAAGGTGATCCCTGAGAGGTGGACCCCTTCTTCACCTTTGAAGTGACACGGGATTATTAAACAAGATCCACTCGTGGCCTTCAAGGTCTTTGAAGTAGTAATGAAGAGCTTTGCTTCGTTAGCAGCACAATGTGGGCTACCTGTAAATTCAGTATTCAGTTAGTGGAATGCTGCTCCGTTCTGATGTGCTTTTACTGTTAAAATCCAACTAAGATCATCAATAAACACTGTAAAAAACAAGGTGACAAAAATCTCACCGGACACAAAGAGGAACCTCAGGAACAACGTAGATGTCACCAGAATGAGAGACATGACGAGTCTGCAATCAGAACCAGTGTGTAGTTTAAAAACACATTTATGAATCATTTATAATAACTTGAGTAAGTGGTAATCAATCATCAGCTCTCCTGTTTCCACCATGTGCAGCAATGATGGGTGTCTTTTAATAAAAGGACATAAAAACAGTTGGAAAAGTTGTCAGCAGCTTTCTGTTTCTAATAAAGTTCAAATAAAACAATCTAAATCACAAATCTATTAGAGCAACACACACGTATACACAACATATATAAAGAGTGTTTTAGATAACTAACCTCAGGACAAGAAGTGTCTCACCAACGGACGTCTAATGGTCTGAGCGTGCAATCTTTTTTGAGAACCCACCTCTAGGGTGAGAGACGGAAGAAAGAGAAAGGGGATGTACGGTCGCGTCAAAGTTACTTCAGTTGGCTGCAAAACCAACAGTTACACAAGACTAAAATAAAACTAAACATCGTTGTAAATCATGCCTGAAGAGAAAGCAGGTTTAATCTTTGCCACAGAGAAATTTTCCAAGCTTTAAAGACATTACATCTGAAACAGATGACACCCAGAGCTGTTCCGTTACAGTAAGTACACATATTTGTATACGTGTACTGACTGTACACAAAAAATCTGATTTACTCAAAAAATCGGAATTGAGCACCAAGGTGTAGCCCACTGGAATACGTTCCATATTCTGTTTATTTCATTAAGGGTTGAACAATATAGGTCTCGAGAAATATATATATATATATATATAGTGACAAATGGTTTGGATGATTTCCCATTTGCCCCCTGTAATTTATATCTGTATCCTGCTGGCACTGTGATGGGGGATATTTTAACCAGACATAAATGTGAATATTGCACTGGTGTGGATGTAGTTACCATTTGGGATTTCATGTTTGCTTTGTATCCAGGGCAGGTTGTGATCATCCTATGATTGGCTGCTTCATTTGGACAAACCAAAGGAAATGGGATTTGTTTCTTTGGTCTTAGTGTGAAAATGTTTCTTGTATTGTAGAAACAGTTTTGTCTTTTGTTTATGTTAACATTTAGGTACATTTATGTGGATGTTTATTTCCTTTTGGATTTAATGTTGGAGCACTGATGATTGGGGCTGATTGTTTGCAGGTGTGATTTTCTGGGGTATTTAAAGGAAGCCAGGTGGAGGCTTGAGGTTTTTTTTGTGTGATTTGTAAAGGAAAGCAGTGAAATAAATGCCTGAGAAGCATTTTGGCTCTCAAGGAAAAATGTCCATGTGCTGCAGTTTGCCTCTACTTCTTTCAACTTGAAGACCTTCTGGCTGCTCTACATTCTCACATATATATATATAGAGAGACATGTCGAGTATATATATATATATATATATATATATATATATATATATATATATATATATTAGTTAATCTATGATGTTACCATCATCCACTCATCATCCAGACTTTAGTAGTTTCTACAGGAGTGGCTCATCACTTAAACAAATCAAACTAGGGAAGCAACAATACCAATTTTTCCCAAACCAATATGATACCCGATACTTGGATCTGAGTACTCGCCGATACAGATACTTCTACCACAAAAATGCAATGAATTGGAATACAGGTTTTATTTTCTTCTCTGCTTTCAACAGGAAGACTGTGAGGTAAATAAAAAATAAAATATATTAATACAAATGATCACAAAACTAAAATATAAGGTGAATGGAAATGACAAGTTATAGTGAAGCCACTTTCAGACAACTGCATTGGTATCGGTTCCTGATATTGGTTAACTTTTACCGCTACCAGTATCGGTATCGGTGGTATCCCTAAATCAAACGTAGAAACACACTCCAGCAACAGGTGTCAGCTCCACTTTTCCTAAGTACAACAGAGAGCAGACCGGCACTCTGAAGTTGCAAGTGGGGTATTCCGGTCACAAAGGGCAGTGGGAATGTGAGTGACATTTCATTAACCCTGTAAAGTCATTTTAGCACAAACTGGCTCAACAAAATGATTTAAAAATATGAAAAAGCTGCTTACTATGGTTTTAAACTCTTAAATAAATCACGGAGCTCCCTGAAAAACACAAACTTACCCAAGGGTTATTTTACACCCATAGGTAAACCTTTCAGAATAAAAGCATTAAAGTCTGTTTTTTTGCATCCACGTAAACACCAGTTTTGTTCTTTTGTGAGTTTCTGTGATCATTCACTAAAACACACATCAGCACACCATGTTTTCTACAAAAGTTTGTTTTTTATTTGAAGCACAAAGTTTGAGTTGAAATAATCGTTCTGCATTGCAGTTAAAATCCTTATTTAATATCTAGTATTTATAACAAAAACACTTCAAATGCATCTGATTTTTATTTATTTGCCTTTTCTAAACTTGCCAGGAGTGGCTCCAGTTTTCTGCTTTTTCTTTGCTGATCCTTTGGCCTCTGGTTCCTGAGAAAACAAAAATAAAACTGCTCACTGAAGCAGAGATAAAACACTTAATGGCTGCTGAAGGATCTGAGGGGATACCTTTCGTTTTGAGGACAGGGATCCAGTGACGGTGAAGAAAGAGTCCAGTCGCCCCTGAGTGCTGCCCTGTCGGCTCTTCAGGATTTTCTTACAGCCGTTACGGATCCTGTCTTCACTGCAAACACACAGATTAGTGGTCAAGATGACTAAAATCAATAAAAACAAAATTATAATCATTTTAAAGTGTTTTCATATGGGTTAAATTGTGTTTATAAATAATAAGGAATGTGGGAGGATTTGCTGTAAAGCGGTGAATGAACTCTCCCAAAAAGATAAAAGCTACTAAACATGACATAAAACAGGCCAACAGCACAGACTAATGGTCAAACGTTGTAAGAACAGCTGCATTAAGCACAGTGAACAGGATCTACAAAGACAATCAAACTCGGTGAAGACCGGGACAGGAAAGTCAACTTTTGACCCACTTGAACTGTTTCTCGTTGCACATGAATTGGATCAGTCCCGCCTCATCGGGCTCGTTCCACTTCAGCTCCACTGAGGAGCAATCTACCACCTCTGGCTCCAGAAACAAATTCCTGGCTTCTTTGTAGAGCCAGTCCTCCGGAGTGGGGTATTTCTGTAGGAATCAGATTCAGAAGCTGGTCTGACTACATAAGTTCCGGTTAAGATGGGATGAGAGGAAACAATAACTCACACTGGAGTCGATGTTTTCTAGGATCTCCTCGATGCAGCCGTGCTGTCGGATCAGGTCGATGGCTCTCTTGGGTCCGATTCCCTTGATGGTGCCACAGTAATCACAACCCAGCAGAATGCATAGATCTATGAACTGGAGACAGGAGAGATTTTAGTCTCATGCATGATATATTCTATCCTGTTAGGAGAAAAAGTAAAGCCCTACCTGCTCAGTGGTCAGGCTAATGTCCTGCAGGACGCGATTGAAGTGGAACTCCTGAATGGGAAGTTTCCTGAAACAGAAAATAATCATGCATAAAACAGAAACTGTCTCTACAGCAAAGCTTAAATCAGGAACTGGTGGTACATACTTGGCTTCACTAGCAGTGAGGTGTCTGAGCAGGACATTTGTCCCAAAGGTAAGACCGTCCATGTCCTCTGTTGCCGTGGCAAACACCTTTCCTGCTTTAACCAGAGCGGCGCAGGTGGCCTCCGCCTCACATGGAGCCTAAACCAAACAAATGGTCATTTAAACTTTATTTAGAAAACAGAAAATATCCATTTATCAGCGTAAAAATCTAAATAATGAACCAGAGCTAGCCAAAAGAATCATTATTATAGGCCTGGTGTGTTAAAGATATCAGCCAGAGGCAAAATTCCTCTGTGTAAAGAAGTATTAAAACCTCAGATGAAAAAGGTTTTTGGATTTTCACGGCTGGAATTTTAAGAAAATCTGATGTTTTTTACTGGCACGGGAAAAACAGAAACTAACTTCCGGTCTAAGCCCTGGGCACCTGGTGAGGTTTCACAAGGCGCTCTGCTGAAACAGCTGCAGTAAACAACGCCCGACTCCGGTGTTTCTGCGTTAGCGTTATAGCAGAGAACATTGTGTCATCAGTCAGATGTAGCTTCTGAAGCCTCTGCTAGTCGGTCAGATATGTTTTTTCTCTGGGATACGGCGACGAGGACGGCTATTGGATTACCGGAGAAGTTCAACCGAACTCCGTGCCCGGCAGCTGGAGATCAGAACCGGAGGTGCAGAAATGCTTTGGACCAACCCGCGGCCCGATTAAGACACCGGGGAGGATTCTGTTTGTCTTCTGAACCAAAATCGGTTCCGTTTGTTAAAGATTTCAAGCCTGTGCTCCACTGATAGTTTTCAGTTAAGTTCTCCATATTGTCCCAATATAATTCAGTAATCTACAGATGAGTAAAATAACATGTTGCCAGCTTTACCGCTGTGTGTATTTATTGATATAACATTGGAAAATATTTAACCGATTTCTTACCAGAATTAAACTTCCTGATGCTAACTCGCTAGCTCGGATTGTTGTTTTCTAATCCAGGATGACACGGAGGTTCTACCGGTCCTATAGGAGGATCTATTGTTGAAAAATGGGGATCATCATTTAGATTATATGTGCAAGTGTGTGTGTGTGTGTGTGTGTCTCGTAGCTTTCACAAATTACTTGTTCTTTGCCGGAGCTAACACGGTTAGTGCTGCAGCAGTCATGCTAACGGGACTCGCCTGCAGGAGTCCAGAAGTACCGGTGCGGTTCCAAATGGATTTATAGATGTAGGTTATTATTTTAGATCAAACAATTTTCTGTTTTAATCAGGAAGACGATAGTAAACAAAATACACCGATTTACCATGCTAGCAACAGCAGCTACCTAAATGGTAAATGGCCTGTATTTGATATAGCGCCTTCTAGAGTCCTGGAACCCCTCAAGGTGCTTTACAACACAATCAGTCATTCACCCATTCACACACACATTCACACACTGGTGGGGATGAGCTACAATGTAGCCACAGCTGCCCTGGGGCGCACTGACGCCACCGGTCCCTCCGACCACCACCAGCAGGCAACGTGGGTTAAGTGTCTTGCCCAAGGACACAACGACAGCGACAGACTGAGCGGGGCTCGAACCTGCAACCTTCAGATTACGGGTCGAGCACTTAACTCCTGTGCCACCGTCACCCCAGTTTGACCCCCTAGTATGACGTGTGTGTGAATGATGTATGCAAAACACGGTTCTTCGCTGCCTGGAGAAGAGAATGTTGATTTTCTGTAATGATTTATGACTAAATTCTTTAACAAAATCAAAAACTGAACCCAGTTCATATTTATATTGATGGTAAAGTGTAGTTATACTGTATTTCTACAATTTTAATGCCGAGTCTGGCCACTACCTTTAAGATCTCAACCCTAGCATTAAAAATACAAACCTTGCATACGTTATGTAAACAACAAACATGCACAATGTTGATTTTTTAAAAAGATATTTCCTCAAACTGTGTTTGACTAAATAATAAGACAAGGATCTCCTGACTGGTGTAGCATTTCACTGGTGACCAAAAAGAACAGCTCAGCTGAATGTGACTTCCTCTGGTAGATCTCCTCCAAACTCTGATTCCAGTTTATTTAAAATAAATAAAACCCGACAAAGGAGAAAAACAACAGAATCCTAAAATTTAAACAAAATAATCACAGCTAAAGAAGATAAGTTGTCTAAAATATGAGGACTAAAGCAACTTGTTGGTTATCTGGGGGTTTAAATGCTTGATTATGACTCTACGTGTTAAGAGTTAAAACTTTATTTTACCTCGATGTAAGGCACTCCCATCAGTGTCAGCAGCTGTTTGCACTCATCGTTGTGCTGCTTGGTGACTTTTACAAGCCGCTTGGAGAACTTGTCAATATTCTCTTGTTCCCCTGATTTAAGGAAAAACGTGATAAAGTTGTAAAAGAAACTGTGTAATGTCCAGAGTGGTTTAAAATTCACTTATCGGAATAAAAACGGAACATTTACCCATTTCCTGGGCTTGAGCGAGTAACTTCTCTGCTTCTGCTCTCCTTTCCCCTCTCTTCTCCAGCTAAATGATGAAAAACAGAAATTACAAACTGACAAAAGGTAAAAATCAACATGAGAATGAAAAATAAACCCGTTTTTATTATTATTCCTCCTCTGATGTCACACTGTAGATAATTCGTTTAGGCATTGGGTTCATACTGACCTCGGCTGACTTGAGCTGTGGAGGCTTTCCATCAAACACGTACACAGGCTTGATCCCGTTCTCCAACATGCGGATTGTACGGTAGAACATTCCCATCAGGTGGCTACGGAAGAATAAATGACAAAAGTGCCTTGTAGTTAAAAGCAATTGCTTCAAGTGCTAGTTTATCTTTAAATCGCATAAATATCATGAATGAGTCCCTGTTGTTTACACTGCACCTTGTAGTCTCTCCTTCTTCGTTCTGCAGAACATTCCCATCCTGTCGAACAGCTATCAGGAACTGGTAGATGCACATGGAAGCATCTATGGCAATTTTCCTGCCTGAAATGTGTAATTTAGGAAAGACATTAGGCTTTTCAAGAAAATGTGAACATTTGCGATCATGTTTAAGGCCTCGTGTAAATAAAAAGTTAAAATTTTATTTAGACACACAGAATAACTAGAGTATTTTCTCATTTTTGGAGTGCTTAATCATTTAAACGAAGGTAAAGTGGAGCTACACGTTTACCAAAGTAGTTCTTTATGTCTTGTTCCTTAATTGCACCAGGGGCATGGTCAGCGATCAACTTGGCAAGTCCGTGTATTCCCATGGTGATTTATCTGAAAACAGAAATAAACTCAACGTATTAATGCAGCGGCACACAGTGTCACATTCATACAGCAAGACAATGTGTTTGCACATCAGAACACGCTAACGAGTCAACACCTATCAAACCACGACTTTTAGATGACTCTACAGTCAGTAACTGGAAGCTACGTTCAATTGGGGGGTTTCATTACGATACACACGCTACATAAGAGGTTGAATTGATGAAATAACGTCAGTTCTGATAGTCCTCACCAGTTAGCAAAACGTAGTTTAACCACTCGGACTTATCAAGCGCGAAAATCTGCGTGTAACTCGCGGGAAATCAAATTGCAGGCATTAATACTAGAACTGTAGAACGTTGTCCACATTCAACCCGCACATCAATGATGCGGGTGCGATTAAACTGGCTGGAGATCGAGCAGCAGCATCAAACAAACACCTGATTGGTTCATCGGTGTTGAAGGAAATCCGGTTCGTCCTGTAAAACAGTGGAGTCGCCATGCTATGAGCTCTAAACGGTTTAATTGAGGGGTTTAGTGCTTTTAACGATTACAAATAACACTTTTAACTGCGTACGAAGAGAAACACATCCCCAGTCCCAAGTTTCCGGTGTCGTTTCGTGTGTTTTTTTCTTTTTTTCTCCGCCCACCCCCGGAAAACCAAACTGAGTCGTCGTTATTTTTATTTCTTGAGGTGACGTGTTGGAGCAGTTTTCTCGTGTGTCGGCGAAAATACCGAGTGTACCCGGATATGGACGCGGTGGTTATTATATAGGCTGCATGTAGGATGTCCGTTGTGTGCGTGGGTTGTGAGTGAGCCCCGCGGAAGAGACCGCTGCTGGGGCCCGGAGCCCGAGCAGGAGCCCGGCGGACGGACTGGTTCTGTTGGTTTGGACGCATCGGGACTGGAGTGACACGACAGCGAGACTGGTAAGTCACATTCTGGGAACTAGTCTAACATCTGTTTCACCTTTTGTCACAGAGGGAAGCTTCTTTGTTTTTACAGAGTAACATAAACAAAGCTATTGTGATCTGCTTGGCTTTGGTCTTATTTTTTTAATCTTAAAATCTTCAAGATTCTGTCTGGTAGGCGAAAGGTCATTTCCTAGTAATATTTTACAATACGGCGACTTTTATTTGTCTTTAACATTCCTTTTCTGGGTCCTCCCTTTAACTAAATTTAATCTTTTCTATTTTAAATCAAATTAAATGCTTCAAAACATTCATCTTAAATGAGTCCAGATAGCTGAGTAGAAACTTGTTTTTAGGATGATCTAAAGTTTAAATCACTATCTGGGTCTTGATTCGTTCATCCATCCAGTGTGATGAAGAGCACTGCAGGTTACTCACGGCCTCTCAGTTCTAGATTAGATTGTTGTGAGATGCAAACATGAAGTGGGACTCAAATTCAGCATGCCCTTTGACCCACAGGGGTTACGCGCTGTGATACCAGTAAACGATGGCTCCGGTCTGTGTCCTGATCCTGGTCCTGGTCGGCTGGGCAGCGGGCCACAAGCTGGGCGACAATGTGACCCTTTATGTCAATAAAGTAGGTCCATATCACAACCCTCAGGAGACGTATCACTACTACACCTTACCTGTGTGCAGACCGGAAAAGGTCAGTGTTTGATCTGTGTTTCTATGTAATTAGTGTGTTGCAGCACAGAGAAAGGAGGCATTCATTATTTTATTTAAGGTGTAATTTTATCTGACTGCAGCAATAAAAAGATGTCATGTATCGAGAGATGTTAGATGATATGTTGCTTGTTACCTTGGTGCTAACAGGATGAGTGCATATCAGCTTACTTTGATGTTTTCTTATGAATGCATATAATTACTGTGTGTATGTGGACTGTAAACCTTTTCATTTCTTTAAACTCAAGTTGTTTTAATTTAAAAATATCATTCAGTTCATTAAATGGTCATTAATCATGATTTCTGTTATTTAAGAGCTTAAATATCACCAGCAGCAGCAAAATGAAGCACCTCGGCGCCATCCAGGGGTCAAATCCAGCTGAGATAACTGCTTAACAGAGAAATGTGGGTGCTGGGGAGGAGTCTAAATAAAATAGTGTGAATTTGTGAGATTTATTAAAAGAAAACAGCAAAATAAGCTTTAAGTTTCTTAATAATGAAGGATGTAAACTCAGTTTCTCTGATCAGAAGCTTTTCATGAAACTCCTGACGATGATCAGTCAATCAAATTTTATTTGTAGAGCACCTTCCACAACGTTATCGGAAGCCTAAAGTGCTGAACAGCATCATCATAAGAAAAACATTCCCAGTACATGGGCATAAAAGCAAGATAAAAACATAAAATCATAAAATATCAAGCTAACAATATTACAAATAAAGAGAGATAATGGAAATAAGACTAATCGATCAAAAACAAATGGTGGACAAAATAAAATCAAGCATCTGGGTTAAAAAGAAGAAGAATTAAAACCATAATGTCAGGGCAATTCAAAGAACCCTAGCGCTAAAACGCAATCAAATAAAAATGAGTCTTTAAACGAGACTTAAAGACTTGAAGGGATGGTGCCTGCCTAATGCTCATGGGTCATATTGTATCAGTCCTTATCTATGTTTGTGTTATGCTTCGACAGATTTCAAAATAAGATGTGTTTTGTTCTTTTTGCGGAAGGTTTGAACTCCTTGTAGCTTAAGAAAATTATATTTTGTCGTCTAGCACCAAACTATCAGTGATGAAGGTTGACTGTTTTCAGTCTAACTGCATTAGGTTCTGTTCTGAGCTCATTTTTCTGACATAATCATCGTCACCCTTTAATGCAGGTGCACCACAAGTCCCTGAGTCTGGGAGAAGTGCTGGATGGCGACAGGATGGCAGAGTCGTTGTATCACATCCGCTTCGGAGAAAACGTGGGGAAGAAAGTCCTCTGCCAGCTCACTCTGTCCGAAAAACAGGTCATTTCCAGGAGATAGACTCCGTCATGAACGCACCTTAATTTGCCAACAACGTGTTTAAAATTCCAGAAATTGCAGTTTTTTTTAAAAGTTTTTTGTTGACTAACTTTTATGAACTCTGAAACGCTTGTTGGTGCTTGTGCGCGTCAGGTGGACGAGCTTCGCGAGGCCATCGAGGAGCTGTACTACTTTGAGTTTGTCCTGGATGACATACCCATCTGGGGGTTTGTGGGCTACATCGAGGAGAGCGGCTTCCTGCCTCACAGCCACAAGGTGAGAGGAGGAATCTGGTCTGTGAGGTCGGCTGTTTGTGCTGATCTCTTTCCTTTAACCTGTCGACCCCTTTGACCTTTACCAGGTGGGCTTGTGGACTCACCTGGACTTCAACATCGAGTACAACGGCGAATCTGTGATCTTCGCAAACGTCTCGGTGAAAGACGTCAAGCCTTTCCCCCTGGAGGAGGGGGCGGGTGCTGCGGTGGGTGGCATGGGAGTCGGGGGAGGCAGCCTGACGGTCACACACACCTACAGCGTGCACTGGTATGAGTCCAGTCTGCCCTACGCCCGGAGAGCTGAGCGCCTCCGAGACTACTCCTTCTTCCCTAAAACCCTGGAGATCCACTGGCTGTCAATCATCAACTCTCTGGTGCTAGTGGTGCTGTTGCTGGGCTTCGTCATCATCATCCTCATGAGGGTCCTGAAGAACGACTTTGCTCGGTTAGTGAGCAGAGATTTTAATCTCGCTGGCATCTCAGCCAGGCTCTGATGCACGTCTGTGATCCCTGCAGGTATAACGTGGAAGAGGAGGGCGGCTGTGATGATCTGGACCAAGGAGATAACGGATGGAAGATCATCCACACGGACGTGTTCAGGTTTCCTCCTTTCAAAAGCCTGCTGTGCGCAGTGCTGGGAGTCGGAGCTCAGTTCCTAACCCTCGCCACCGGTGAGTCTTGCGTCAAACAGCCCAAAAAACACCCTGTTGAATTCTAAAACACACCTGTTTGCCTCAGCCATCATCATCATGGCGCTGCTGGGAAGGTTCAACGTACATCGCCATGGCGCCATCAACTCTGCGGCCATCGTCCTGTACGCTCTGACCAGCTGCGTGTCGGGGTACGTCTCGTGTAGCTTCTACACTCAGATCAACGGCCAGCGCTGGGTGTGGAACATCATCCTCACGTCTTCTCTCTTCTCAGGTGAGCGTCTTGACATTCCACCTCACCTTTGGCTCACCCCACACGTTATTCATCTTCTAGATTTTTATCTTGCAACACTTTATTTCTACACTGTTAACCTTCACGCCGGTGCTGTTTTAATCTTGTACTGTACAATTTGTACTATTAACACATGTCTTAACCATTTGGTTCCTTACAAAATGATGGTTAATGGGCAGATAAATAAAATAAATTATGGTTTATTTGAAATAAAATTGATAAATCTGTAGAATGTTTGTAATTTTGAGTCACATTCCTGGTTTTTTAAACCAACAGCAAAATTGTTCAAGCAGGAAGAAAGAAACATAAAAACACACACTAAACATTAGTCTCAAATGTGTTTAATCATTATTTTTTCATTTTTCTAGTCGGAAACAAAAGTTTTTCAGGAGAAACACAGATTAGAAGAGTGTTCACATCATGAATGTATTAAAAATAGCCGCATTGCTCATAATTCTAATAGTTCACAACTCTTGTGTTGGCTGATCTGTTTTCAGATGCGTTAACCATGTATCACCACTAGAGGGTGACACATTATAATTCTTATGCCTCACACAGCTTGAATCCAACAAAGTTGTTCCAAAAACATGCTTAATATTCACCAATAAATGGAAACTCAGCAGCAAAACAAGCAATGCTAATTTCATGAAGTCCTAGGCTAAAATTCATCTTCCCTTTGCTGGTTTATGGTTGTAAAAATCCATGTTATAGTAAAAGAAACCACTTTTTTACCTGCTGGAGAGCTTTTATAAGTATCTGATGCCACATGACATTATTTTTTGGTTCTCCGTAATAAAAAAACTCCACAAAGTGTACTCAGCCGCTCTAAAATACCGTTGAAGAGAGATGCACTGGTGTTATTTTCTTAGCTGACAGGTGGAAATCGACTGAGGTTCAACAGATGACTTGTTCGCACACGTGCTGAGCTTTGAGGATTTTATCTCAGAAAATGTTCTAAAAGGAAAGAAATACTTTGAAAGTTTTTAATCTTTTCAGAAGCAAATAAAACATTGTCAGGGTCCATGTTTGCTGTGTTGCAGGTATTATAAAAGTTTTACTGGTACTGATTCTTATCATTCCAGAAATAAGTCTTGCAGTACATGCTGGACGATTTCAATGCTGTTATGTTTAGTCACACTGCCCGGTTTGAGTCTGTGGTGAAAGAATGAACATCAATGCCTTTTATTTGATTTCCTGGTGATTTTGCTTCTGCAGCAAATGAGTTGTGATGCTTTTTCAGGGCTGAGAGCTTTTGCCAACTCAGCATCTATTTATTTAGCTTTAGCCAATAGGAATCGTGCAGATGAGGGTGTTTGTCAACAAAACAAATTAAATTGGCCAATGAGTTTATGGAACTTACTTTTTATTTAATCAGCTGAAAGAGTTTAAATACAGCTCTCTAATAAATGATTAATGCTTTAATCACACCAGTTGTCCACTGGAAACGCTGATAACACATCTTATTAACCCGGTTTCCAGCTCCTCTCTTCCTGACGTGGAGCGTGGTGAACTCTGTTCACTGGTGGAGCGGCTCAACTCAGGCTCTGCCCGCCACCACCGTGCTCCTCCTGCTCGGCGCCTGGGTGCTGGTGGGCTTCCCCCTCACCGTCATCGGCGGCATCGTGGGAAAGAATCGGGCCGGGAACTTCCAGGCGCCGTGCCGCACACGTAACATCCCCCGGCAGATCCCCAAACAGCCCTGGTACAAGCACGCCATTATACACATGGCTATCGGCGGCTTCCTGCCGTTCAGGTGAGGAAATGTTGAATCTGAACATCACAAGTGTTAAGCTTCACACTGAACTCTACTCCAACGCCTCCCTCAGCGCCATTTCTGTGGAGCTGTACTACATCTTTGCCACCGTTTGGGGCAGAGAGCACTACACCCTCTACGGCATCCTGCTGTGCGTCTACGCCATCCTCCTCTCAGTGGGTGCCTGCATCTCCGTGGCGCTGACGTACTTCCTGCTGTCTGGTGAGGACTACCGCTGGTGGTGGCGCAGCGTGCTAAGCACTGGATCCACGGGCCTCTTCATCTTCGTCTACTCAGTTTTCTACTACCGGAATCGGTCTTCCATGAGTGGGCTGGTGCAAAGCACGGAGTTCTTCGGATATTCGCTGCTCACAGCGCTAGTCTTCTCTCTGATGCTGGGCAGCGTGTCGTTCTGGGCCTCGCTGACGTTCATCCGCTACATCTACCGTAACCTCAAGATGGATTAAAGCCGGGATTCGACGCGGACCGTCTCCATCAGACACACGTCTCCGGTTGTGTTAACGGGAGAAGAAACAGGGGCCTTTAACTTAAAATGAAGAGTATGTAAAATGGCTGAATAAGGAAGAGTTGGGATTAAAGCAGATTTAAGTAAATATGTTGGTGAAAAGGGACGATGTCTCCACGTTGGGGGAGTAAAAGACTACAGAGCTGGTACCTAATCAAGTGTGTATGTAAGCCAAGTGAGACCAAAATGTTCTAGACTGGTTGTATCGCCTCCAAAAACATGTAGAGTACATTTATTAAACACGCGAGTATTATTACTAGAACTGGTCTGAGGGAGACTCCCCACAGTGGATGAAAGGAAGGAAGGATGCCTTGTAGATTTTTGCTTTTGCAAAATGTTGGTGATGGGCGCAATATTGTAATTGTATCCATGTATTCTACGCTGGTTCTGATGTAAATAGTCTTTTCAATAAAATGCTTTTTAATATAAACCCTGTTAATGTCACCTAATTAGCACACACCTGGTTAGAGTTTAACACGAAAACCTTGTGGCTAAAGGTCAGCCAAACACCAAAGATCACAAAACGACTTTTCAAATTGAACACATGTATTTTTAAAAAAATACACTGGAAAGTGTTTTACGCACTCGTTACAAAACTGCAAAGCAAAATTAATCCTGTTGCTGTCACAAAACACCAAGCAGTTTAAAAATGGAAGAAATGCTTTTGAACATTTGAAAGTACAAGGAACACGTGCACGTCGCCTGAGGACAAAACCTCGGCTAACAAGGCAGCTATTGGTTGGCGTACAACAAGGGGGGGCCTTGGCGGTTTCTCGGCTCTCCATCCTTACTCTCATTGCGCACAGAGCTGAATGCATAGAGATTCGGCTCCAGGTGGCTGCTGGCAGGTGCCCCAGACCGCCTGTTCACATGAGGTATGGCAGCCTGAGGCAAGTTAACAGACCAGGGTGGGTAACCAGCAGATCCAGCTGCCAGGTAGTAGGCCTTCAGCGCGTGCTGGTTGCAATGCTGCCTGAGTGGAGGACATCCTTCGTCTGAATACTGAAACACACCAAGATAAATTAAGAAAAAACATCAAAACCAGACCACAAAGTTAGTTAAATAAGTTACACATATTTTAAGCTGAGTTACTCACAGGAGAGGGCATGCTGGAGAATGTAGGTGCATACACCGATCCATCTCTATTTTGGCCAGAAAACTCCAACTGCCAGTTGTTATCCTTCTGAAGTCTCCGGAGCTTCATCCTACGGTTCTGAAACCAGGTTTTCACCTGTAAAAGAACAATGAGATCATGGCTGTTCAAAGCACAAGTAAATGTAGTCACTCACCTGTTTGTAGGTCAGATTAATCTTTTCTGCCAAGTCCTTCATCTCTTTAGGAGTGAGGTACTTCTGAATTTTGAAGCGCTGACTAAGAGCATTCATCTGAGCCCCTGAGAAGGCAACGCGAACCTTTGATGTAGGTTTATTTGCAGCGGGGCTTTGAGGACAGTTCAAGTCAGTTTGGGGTGCAGCAAGACGAGTTGGATCATTGGTGCTCATGTTCTCAGAAGTGGAAAAAGTCTGGGGCTCATCCATGAGAGAGCTGGAAACATCCTCGCTGCCTCCTGCAACAGCTCTCTGCATCCACAGAGACGGGTCCGTCTGGGGAAAGCCAACTTCACGGCTGCTGCCAGAGCTCCAATAATCTGAACCAAGAGGAACAGTTTTACTGATCAATGAACTGCAAAGGTTCATCAACAATATCGTTTTATTGTAGATCGGTCCTTATTGGGGAAAAAACAATCTATAGACTGGAGGTATTAAACGTCATAAGTTCTTCATGAGGGTTTCCAGCAGGAATTATCAGAAAACATGACGTGATAAATTGACCTAAATCAATTTGTTGGTGCAAATCAACCACTCTGCCGCTAGATGTCGCTCCTTCGTGTGTTCTACGCCAAACTGGCGGGATGACTGCAAACCATTTTCCACCCAGAATGGAGCTGAACCGAACCTCACGGGCCAAATTTGAAGAGGCCATTTTTACTGTTCAGCGTGGACATGTAAGCAACAATTATTGCAAAGACGTTTTATCAGCCTGTTGAAAAGCTCCGTTAGCTTTGTTGGCAGTGCTAGCTCACTCACTGGGTGAGGTGTGCGCCTCCGAGTCGCTGACAGAGTCCTGCCTGGCCCGTTCCGCCTGGTTACCCCAAGCTTCAAGGGCAGCAGTCCGGTAGGGTCTAGCTGCCAGCAGCAGGTGACCTGTCTGGGGATTACCGACGTAGACAAGACCCGAACCCTGATAGCGCTGCCCGTTCACGGTGTAAGAACCGGAGCTGACCCCCGGGGACCCCTCCTCGGTCTGAACGGCGTTGCTGGCGGTGTAGCAGGCCTGTGCTGTCCCGGAATTATAGCTGAAATCCGTAGGGGCGCTCTGGCTCCAGCCGGAGTTCTGTTCGGGCGTATACACGACGCCGTAGGCATACGCGTGGTAAGAGTGGTTATAGTTGTAAGTTGTCTGATTCTTCCAGTCCGCCATTTTTCTGCTAAACGTTGAGTCTCTCGATAAAAAAGAAACACCGCTAAAATACCTCAGCAGGTGTTGCTGAGAATTAAAAACATGGCGCGGTGGTAAAGTCCGAATGAAATAAACGGAGACTGACGTGAAAACAAACCGGTAGGTTTAAAATCTGCGCGCGGCCGTAGCTCCGCCTCTTGGTTTTAAGCGCCGGTGTGAGGGTGGAGGCGCGCGCCTCACCTCAGCCAATCCCCGTCATCCATCAGGCATCTGCGCAGGTAGGGTCAGTCACGTGTCACATTTTAACACAAAAAAAAAAATCGAAATTAAGAAAGGAAAATAAACCCAACTTGATCAGTTTAATTCAAGTTCCAATAGTTTCAGTTAAATTTGATAATTAGATTCCGTTTCTTCTTTGAACTGGATATCAGGTTGCTGCTCAAAAAGTGCTAAACAACTCTTTATGACCTCTATTTGTTTCATTCTAACTTACATTAGATATTATATCTGTAAATGTTACTTTGAATAACAAAATTCAGTTTTCTCTTATTTTTGTCTGTGTTTCTAAATTAATTTCTAACATTTAAATTCATTTATTTCCACACTGCAAACACTGACTCGTGAAACTTACAGCAACACAAAAGTTTACCTCCTCTTTTGTCCTGAGCCGTTAAAATATTGACCACAGTTTCTTTTGTCCTCACAATTTTATCTCGTAAAATAATTGTTTAGGTTTTGTAGATACTATTTGGGGTTAGACTTTTTAAAAACCTGCATCTGCAGGGAGGTTTTAACTCCTCCCTGCAGCATCTCCCCAAACAAACAGATCTTCCAGGTTGCTCCTGGACATGTTTACAGGAACTTTGCTTGGCCCTTGTCTTTGTGTCTTTTCACAAAGATGATTCAGATTAGCTTGTGTGTGTTGTCCTCCTGAGCTTGTTTTCCTTTCTCCTGGCCTACATTGGTGTGATAATGACTCTGTTAGTGGTGAATTGATGTGAAGAGTGATCTTATTGGGGACATTTGCATCCCTAAGTGTTGTTTGGTCTTGCAGGGTTTGTTTGATGCAGTACGAGCTGGTGGGGCGGTGCAGGTGTGCCATGGATTAGCATAGGTATGTGGTGAGAGGATGTCTTTGATGACCAGCTGGGCTGTTTTTTTTTTTTAGGGGAAGTTATACCAGGAAATTTGTCTCTGCACTAGAAGTTGCAGATGTAAATTAGCATCATCCTATGTTTTTTTTGGAGAATTTTCATATTTGTTTTCTTTTTAAAAGTTCATAAAATGTTAACTTTAACTTTCTTCAAGTTAACTTTTTCCATCATGGAGTTTGTAAAAATGTAAGTGGACTAATATGTTGTTTTTCTAAAGTAATTGTAAAGGTTACCATTGTTGAAAATGTGAATTATGGACAATAATGTTAAAAATTAATATATAATCTTTTATACTTTTTAGTTAGTCTTAAACCTTTTGTGACTTTTGTAAAATAAGTCAGTCTTCTGTCATTTAACATAATCACATAGTCACATATTTGAGTTTCTGCGTGTGTTATGTACACGTAGAGTAGAATAAACCGACCAGGAGGCCGCCTGTTTGTGAGTGACTGCAGAACAATATTTTTGGTTTTATAAATTGAGAAAATTCACATTTTGAATGATTTTCAAACTGTGCACGTGTGATTCAATGGTAATCTTTTGACTTGCTTGTGGCCGAGCTATTTAGCAGACAACACCAATTTGTGAAATTTGTGAAACAGTAACTAAGTACCTAAATGTGGTTGGTTTTAAAGAAAAAGTATGAAAACTGCAGCTGTGTTAAAAGGTTTCCTGACAAAACAGAAAATTGGCTGCAACCATGAAGATGGTAGACAAGACCATAAACATTGTGTCTTCCGCTCCAGTAGGGGGCTCTGTTTGTTTGGGTCTTGGTAAAAGCTCTAAAATCCGAGGTCCCTTGAACTCAACTCACGTGGACCTGCTGGCCGGTGTTCTGTCCGCGTGCAGACTGGACCAGTCCGAGCCAGAGAGACTGAAGTCTGTCACACCCAAACCCACCGGATAACTACTTCTAACTCCTTTTGCTGCCTCCGTTTCTTCCCTGGTGTCCTGAAGACAAAGGATTAGTTTACATGTTTGACAGTCCTGTGAGCCTCATCGCGGCGGGACAGCTCACTCATCATCGTTAGGTGTTTTTATCAGACGTTAACGCTCCGTTGAGGTTAGCTTAAACCAAGCTTAAGTTGATCGTGTCCCATCAGGATGACAGCGGAACTTGAGCAGCTTCTGTCACAGCTGACACAGCCCGACAATGCTGTCATTCAGCAGGTAACACCTCCAATGACTGGGTTAAAGACATCGACATACTATACGTTAAAGATGACAGCTGCTTGGCTAAACCGTTAGAAAACAACAAGAATCGTTAGCTAACTAAGTTAGTGGACGGCCCTGCTGTTCTGGACGAGTATGAGCTAATGACTGTAAAGGAGATAATGTATTAGTCTGGTTATCTAATTAATAAATACTTCTTTTATTTCAGGCCACAGCGCAGCTGAAACAGGCTTTCAAAGATCCAGCCATCATACCAGCCCTGTGTGCTGTCATGAGTGGCTCTCAAAACCCTCAGGTATGTTGACACTGGGCAGAGCCACCTAAATCCTACTGGATCACTTAATTCCGGAATGATTAAACACTCAAAGTAGTACAAAATAAATAAATAAACCAATCTTTGAGGGTCAAATCCTGTCATTTGTGCAAAACAGTTGACTAAAAACCAATTTTTTTGTGTTTTGTTGACTTTTTTGTAAAGGTCACCACCCAATAAAACACTTACCAAGGAGTCAGGCTGAATGTGTGACAATGGGACATAAATAAGACATTATTATTGTTATTAATAATAAATAGGGTTATTATACGTTTTGAAATTTTAAACTAGGATCAAAACTATGTGTTAATCTCTCTTTGGTCAAATTCAATGAAGGTGTCCAAGCATCTGAAAATGTGTCATTTTGGTTTTATTTATATATTTACTGCATTAAAATCACAAAAAGTCAACCTAATACAGATCTACTGTTATACAGTCCACGGAACAGCTTTTATGAAGTAATTAATAACCCTGAGGTTTCTAACAAACACTTAAATGTATTACATTCGTCATATGAAACAATACTAATGCATATAGCAATATTCTAACTCCTTCAAGCAGTATTTTAATATTTAGGGTCGTAGCTGTGTCTAGCTGAGCTGGGTGCCTCTAAAACATGTTAAATAGTTTTGTGAGTTAATAATTTAGGAGGATGGAGGCGAGGCCTGACTGTAATCTGAGCTCTGCTTTGATTACAGAATGATGATTCTTTAAAAGATTCATGAAGGCGCATTGTCAGCCTTCACACGTTTAAAGGTTTGTTTACTCTTGTTTGTTTACATGCAGATCCGACAGTCTGCTGCAGTGATGCTGAGGTTGAGGGTGAAGAAACACTGGAAGAAGATAAGTCCTGATGACAGAGAGAGGTGTTGAAGACACAAATGTTATTATTAAACACAACTCTTCACTTGTTTAATAACACATTGTTTTGTTTGTTTTCATGTAGCTTAAAGGCAGTGGTGCTGCAGGCCTTCATGCAGGAGACTGAGTAAGTGTTGAGATCTAAATAACAATCACTGTGCTAATGGCTACATTCAGCTGAATATACATACGCGGTGTCCCCTCACCCGTTGCAGACACACTGTGCAGCACTCCCTCTCCCAGCTGTGTGCAGTCATGGTTAAACATGAAACACCGGACCGCTGGCCCGCCCTGCTGCAACTGCTCAATCAGTCCACCAAGAGCACAAACCCTCATGACAGACAGGTTTGTCGATTCTGGAGCAAGTTTATTTTTGTTTTCTTTTACCTTCACTGAACAAGTCTCCTCGTGTGTTCTCTGGGCTTTTTTTTTTTTTTTTTGGGTGGTTCGGTCCTACAGGTGGGCCTCCTGCTGCTCAATAAGGTCATAGAATCCAACCCTGAACCGTTCAAGCCTCACTACTGCCAGCTGCTGCAGCTGTTCAGCTCCGTTCTGCAGGACCACAACAACCCAGCAGCCCTGTACTACTGCATTCTCACTCTCACGGCTATAACTGCTTACACCGGCACAGATGAGATGGTGAGGCAGTCTCACAGCTCATAACAAATCTCAGATGTGATTCTGATTCTGTTGTGTATTTTGCAGAAGCAGATGCAAAACGTCACCCCGAGTCTGATCGTTGCTCTAAAACACCTGATCAAGGCAGACCAGGTGTGTGTTGTAACTGTCCTGCTGGGGGTCGGGTTTCTGGCTGCGCCAGATGTTCTAATTTACATCTGCACAGGTCCAAGCCTGTGAAGCCATGGAGGTTTTCATTGAGCTGATGGAGATCGAGGTGTCCATTATAGTTCCGCATGTCTCTGACATCGTTTGCTTCTGCCTGGAGGTGAGAATGAAGACTTGTTAGGTTTGGTTGTTAGAATGACTGAAGAGTCTTAAGGTTTTGTGTTTTAGGTGAGCAGTGACAAAACTCTGAGCGAGTCCCTGAGAGTGAAAGCCCTCTCCTGCATCACTTTCCTCATTAAGCTGAAGAGTAAGGTAAGTCAGCCAAATGATGAATTATGTGATCAGTGACGAGCTGTTAGGGCTCCATTTCCTCCGTCACAAAGCTGAGAAGGCTGTCTTTAGTAATCAAACGCCAGATTTATCGTCACCAATCATGTTTTCTGCTTGCTAGACGGTGCTCAAGCTGAAGCTGCTGAACCCCATCCTGCAAGCGGTGTTCCCCATTCTGACTGCAGCGCCCCCACCTGGTGAACAGGACCCAGACGATGAAGACGAGGAGGACAGCTCAGACAGCGATAATCCGAAACACTGTGCTGCTCAGGTAGAGATGAGTGTGTGTGAATTTCTGCCTCGTACACTCTGATTGTGTGAATATTAAAATGAGTCGATCTGTTTTTAGCTGATCGACACCATGGCTCTCCACATGCCACCAGAGAAGCTGTTTCATCATCTGGTAGGTCCTCTGAAGCTGGAGCTTCACCGAGTCGAAGTTTTCTGACGTTGTGTTTGTGTGTCTAGATCCCTCTGACCCAGGCCTGCCTGACCAGTGAAAACACATATGAGAAGAAAGGAGGTCTCCTGTGTCTGGCTGTGCTGGCTGAAGGATGCGCCGACCACATCCGCACCAAGTACATGCACCTCCTTAGCTTCCTCTTTTTGTTACAGACTTTAAGATACATGCTCACACTTTCGTGTGTGTGTGTGTGTTGCAGGATGCTGTCATCTGTGCTGCAGACGGTTTGCCAGAGTCTCTCAGACAGTAACCAGGTGGTGCGCGGCGCGGCTCTTTTTGCTCTTGGACAGTTCTCTGAACACTTGCAGGTGAGTCTGGAAGCATCACCTGACCTTCTCTGTGATGCAGTGAGATTATTGTTGTGTCCTCCTCTCCTCCTCAGCCTGAAATAAGCAAGTACTGCTCAGAGCTGATGCCCCTGCTGCTGGGATACATCTCTTCCCTGAACGAGGCCAAAGTCGGCCACGTCACTAAAGCGTTCTACGCTCTGGAGAACTTCATGGAGAACCTGGGTGAGCAGAAGGAACAAGAACCTTCTCTAGGATGGACTGGTTTCCCTGAGGTTCTAACCATGTGGTGTGTCTTTGACAGGAGCTGATATTGAGCCCTACTTGCCCACCTTGATGGAGACCATGCTGTCTGCTCTGAACAGCACAGAAAACCTGAAGATCAAAGAGCTGGTGGTGTCTGCCATAGGCGCCATAGGTGAGGGTTGATCTCAGGAATACGGACTCGTTATGAGTCCCGAGCTGACGGTTTTCTCTCTGTAAACCTTTTGCTCCAAACCCCCCTCCAGCCAACGCTGCCAAGGAGTTGCTGGTTCCATTCTTCCCCCCAGTTATTGAGAGCCTGAAAGGTTTCCTGACTGCCACCACGGAGGAGATGAGGCCTCTTCAGACTCAGTCTCTGGGTAGAAGACCGACCTTCATCCGCCTGATTCACTTCCTGTTAATGTTAGAACGGCTGACCTCAAAGTAAACCAGCTAATAACGAGTTGTTTGTCTCAGACACTCTGTCCGTCCTGGCTCGTACGATTGGCAAAGACGTCTTCAGTCCTCTGGCTGCGGAGTGCATCCGTCTGGGCCTCAACCTGACCGACGCCATCGATGACCCTGACTTGAGGCGCTGCACGTGTGTCACCATCTGCTTTTCCTTTGATGTAGTTATGAACTCTGACTAATGGATCTTTAATAACCACGAGTCTTCTTTAATCAGGTACAGCCTGTACTCGGCAGTTTCCACAGTCTGCCCTGAAACTCTGACCCCCCACCTTCCTGCCATAACAACCGTGATGCTGCTCGCCTTGAAGTCCAACGAAGGCATCATGGTGAGTGGGACGCAGGGAGCCGTAAAGCATCCGGGCTGTAAGCTGTTTACATTCATTATCTTATAGGCACACCTGGAAGAGGACAAGACGTTCGTCCTCCTTGACGACGACGATGATGATGAAGAAGAAGAAGAGGGAAAAGACAGTGAAGACTTTTTGGAGAATGAGTCAGAGACGGATGTCCCTGATGCTGCGGGGTAGGACGTCTCACATCTGTGTGTGTCCTGTCCGTGTCGGCACTTGTCTGACTCCTCTGGATGTTTCAGGTTCAGCGTGGAAAACGCCTTCATCGATGAGAAGGAGGATGCTTGTGACGCTCTGGGAGAGATCGCCTTCAGCACAGGGTAACGCTGCCTACCTCAGACCTGGACGAAGCCTTCAGACATCATTTATACACCTGCTCTGTTTCCCTTCACAGCGTTGCCTTCCAGCCCTTCCTGGAGTCCAGCTTCCAGCAGGTCTTTGAGTTAAAAGATGTGAGTTAGTGTGGTTGTTCAGCCGGGTGTGTGTGGCCTTATGTGGAATGTGTGTGTGTGTCCATCTACCCTGTCTCAGCAGTTTTGTGTTTGGTTATAAAGGGACAGAGCTGTAGGGGGATTAAAGTCAGCGTTATCACTTCCTGCTTCATTCTGGTCCAATTCAGGGTTGGAGCGGGTAACAATGGAGGCTAATGCATGATACACACACACACACACACACTCGCTGCTTTCTCCTCCCATTGAGCAGCAGTGGCGAGAGCTCCATGCGGAGATGTTTGCTGCTCAGAGGACACACACATGGCTCTTTTGTCCCTTTCCCACTGAGCGAGATCGCCAATCAGAGGTGGTAGGCATGAATTTCAGCCAGCCAATCAGTCTGTGGTGTCACCTCGGTCCCAGTCGGACCTGGGAAACAGTCACCTCAGATCAGATAACTCATATCTGACCCAGGGATGAAACCAAATTCTGGTCCAATACCCACCGTACTGACCCAGATGTGTAAGCGCCGATATTTTCTGTTAACACACATAACATATTATTACCACATGTCTGACTTAAAGACAGATAAACATATCAACACATGTTCTGGTGATAATTTTATTATTATTGTGGACGAGAGGAGGATTGTTTTCAAATCGTACTTCTCACACACTTTTCTTTTTTTTTTAATCTCCAGTTCAGTAGCATAAACGGGAGGGGGGGGGGGGGGGGGGGGGGGGGGGAACACGACAGAACACTGGCCAGTTTGTGTTTACCAGGCTTGTCTGGTGTTATGGGTCTGACTCACCAGCAGGTGGTGCTGCTCCCTTCACCCAGGCCTCCTTGACACAGTAGCCTGGCCTGCCAGACTCATCCTCTGTTTATTCTGCACAGAGAATGAGTCTGGTAACTCACAGGCAGAGAGGCACTTGAGGGGCGGGACTAGGCAGCTCAAAAATGACCAATCAGAAAAAAGATGGAAATCCTGACTACCCGCACGACGCAGTAGATTTCTAGTTGTAGTATAAAAATAGGGTCTGGCGACAGCACAAACATCTTTGTTTAGAAGAAATGCTTTTAGCGTTTCTACTTGTTGTGGTTTTATAGACATTTTCAAATCATTTAGAACAAAGGAAAGAGCCGCAGCATACTCCACTTCAGTCACCATGTTTGTGACAAACTCAGAGTGGCGGTGTGTGACGTACGATACTCAGCGCTGATTGGCTCGGTTAGAATTCCCACGGGGCGGGGTTATTTGAATAGGAGAGTTCCCAGACTCTTTCTCTGTGCAGAATTAAACAGAGGAGGGGTCTGGCAGGCCAGGCTACTGACACAGCACCACAATATCAACATCTAAGGAAATGTAGAAGCTCACTGCATCAACATCAAAGACATTCATGTCTGTGAAACTCGTATAACATTAGACTCTCAGCCTATGTGAGCACACCTGAACCTGAAATCATTACCGTGACCCTTTACCGCTGGCTCTAGTTGGACTGGGTTAGTTTAATATTTTAGCTGAGGCTTTAAGCTTCATCTATTAGTTATCTGTTAATGATCTTCTCAGGACTAAAGACTAGAGTCTAATGTGCAGTTCTGCGTTATTAATTGGTACATTTCTTAAACCAAACTCTTCTGGCCCCGGTAACCTGAAGTTTGTCTGCAAGTGTCCATGTGAGGTTTCTCTACAAATTATAGAAAAATGGTTCCTCTTCTGCCTCCCCAGTTCCCCCATGAGGACGTCCGCAGGGCAGCTCTGGAAGCCATGGGCCAGTTTTGTCGAGCTCAGCACAAAGTGTGGACTGAAAATCCCTCTGAAGTCAACCAGCAGGGTAAAACATTGTTAGTTTGTTGGAACTGTGGTCTTTTAAAAAGGAGGAGCTAATTGTAATCCCCCCTGTTCATCCAACCTTCAGCCCTGCAGAAGTTACTGGACATTGTCGTTCCTTGTTTGGTGGAGACGGTGAGGACGGAGCGAGAGCGACAGGTGGTGATGGGCGTCCTGGAGACCATGAACAATGTGATCAAGTCCTGTAAGGAGGGAACCTTCAGAAACCCTTCGTTCCTCAAGGAGATCAGCGACGTCATCCGTGACGTGCTCAAGAAGAAGGTCGGAGAGGAGGCCGCTGGTTTTGTTAGTCTGACCTCAGAGAGAACTCGACATTTAAATGTTTTCTGTCTAATCAGACGGCGTGTCAGGACGGTGGCATCGATGATGATGATGAAGACCAACAGGTACCGCTCCTGTTCTTATTTAACTCTCCTGTTGTGTCATAAATTAAGTCATGCTCTTGAGTTTTCTCATCCCGTTACGGGGTTCTGCTGTGCTGCAGGCGGAGTATGACGCCATGCTGCAGGAGTTTGCAGGAGAGGGAATTCCTCTCCTGGTTTCCAGTGTTCCTGCAGACAAGTTCACACCTTTCCTCAATGATCTCCTGCCTTTCATCATCAACAAAGCCGTGAGTCTGAGCTCGCTGATGCAGACTCCCGCCATAATTAATCTAGGTGCTTCCTCACAACGATGCTTTCCGCTCTCTAAGAAATCCTCGTGCACGGTGGCAGAGCGGTCCTTTTCCATGGGAACGATCGCAGAAATCCTCCAAGCTCTCGTCAGCGTGCAGGGCGGTCGGGGAGCTGCAGGACGACTGTCCAACCGTTTGCTTCCTGTCCTGGTGGCTGGAGTGAGGGACAGTGATTCAGAGGTTCGCAACAACGCTGTGTTTGGGTTAGGATGCCTGGCTCAGGCAGCTGGACCCATCATCATATCGTATCCTTGCAGAAGCTGGCTTGTGTTCAGTAAAAGCAGCCGAACCACATAAAGCTGATCCTTAGCTAAACGCACCTCAGAGACTACCCCATGATGCTCTCTGTCTTCTCCAACCTGCTGACCAAGGAGTCCGACCCCAAAGTGCTGGACAACCTGTGTGCTGCCCTCTGCAGGATGATCATGGGCAACGTGGACGCTGTGCCCCTGGAGCAGGTCTCTGACCCAAGCCGCGTTCTAGTTGTTTCTAGGAAGTGAAGTCTGACGGTGTTCTTCTCACTGCCAGGTCGTCCCTGCTCTGGTGAAACATCTCCCTCTGAAAGAGGACCAGGAGGAGAACAAGACGGTGTTCACCTGCCTGGCTCTGCTCCACAGACACAGTCCTGCTCTGGTAAATCATCTCTACGCTTTTTACCAGAAACTTTGGTTGTTTATCTTTCTCCTGAAATCTCCTTCCAGTCGCCGCGGCACAGCGGTCTAATGTCCAACCCATCAGCTGGTGGTGACAAAAATGTCTTGAAACATTCATGAGGGTCAGGTTTCCTGTAAAATCTCAGTAAAGTTTCCCTGAATCAGAGCGACAAATGTAGATAAAACGAGGATAAACTGGGACAGGTCTGAGACCACCAGTAGACCAGCTAGCTCAGGGGTCGGCAACCCGCGGCTCTGGAGCCGCATGCGGCTCTTCCATCCATCTGATGCGGCTCTCTGTGCTTGTAAAATAATGAATGGATATTTAAATAAAATGCTTTATATTTTACTGCATTGATTTTACATCTGTATGCCAATTCTAAATGTAAAGATTGTCTGCGTAAACCTGAACAGTTCTAACCCGGTCGTACTGTGAGACGCTTGTGCGTAATCATATCGGCGCTTTCTGAGCTGAAGAGGATGTGAGATTCTGGGATTCTCCTCAGACGGCTCCTGGATGTGTCGCCACATTGGAGACAGGAACAAGCGCTATTCAGCCAAAGTTTCATAATCAGGGAATATTTTCTAAGTGACAAGTCTCGCTTCAGTCAGAGGAATCTTCCTGCATGCGCTCTGGTTCTGCAACGCCCTCCAAGCCCCTCTCCACATCTTCAGCTCACTGTGGACCTTATGTAGTACACGCTGACAGTGAGCTGCGCTGAGCAGTGTCCAGCTCAGATGTTCAGATGGGAATCTTTTCTTGAGTGATTTAGCTACATCTGCGATTTGCGTAGAATAAAATGTCAGTTTGTCTGCATGCGTCGGGGTAATTCTTTCTATTCTTTCTCTGTCAAAATAAACGGTCAAATACGGGAACTGTCCGGTCAACACAACACAAGCCCTGCTTTTAACCGTTTTGTTTTCTTGTGAAAATAGTTAAATTTAACTTGAACACCAGAGCCAGGTGCACTGCACCGTTATCTCCGTCACTGTAAATGAGGGAATAACAAAATGATCGGATCCTTTTCTGACCTTCCCCACCTACAAAGTTTAATGACAACAGTCAAACGTGACAGCCTGGATTTGTATTCTGAACAGTCTAAACATGTTTTAAAAAGAAACGTATGACAAAAGTGGCATCTGCTCAGTAAAACCACCAACAGGGTGAAAAATATCAAAATATTGTAGGCAGAGATGGGCTACAACTTCTGGATCCACTTTATATAAATCGTTTTATTGATTATTGTCTTATGAAAGATAACTCTGACGTACACGAGCGACCGGTACTGGCTGCTGTCACCTGTTGTGATTGGTTAAAGCAGCTCTCTGCTGTCTGAGGGTAGGCCCCGCCCACAACGCCGCGGCTGCTGTGGCTCCCAGTGTTTTCTTTACTGTGGGAAACTGGTAATAATGGCTCTTTGATGGGAACAGGTTGCCGACCCCTGAGCTAGTTAGTAGTCTAATGGAACCAGTGAGGTGGGCCACACCTCTTCAATCAATCATCAATCAATCAATCAATCAATCAATCAATCAAAGCTTTATTTATAAAGCGCCTTCCGCAACCCTGTCAGGAAGCCCAAGGCGCTGAACATGGTACAGTAGAAGGTAAATATATTGAATAAATCAAAAATAAAAGCAATTCAAATGACAAAATACAAATTACAAAATAGGTGAAACATTCTGGTACAGGACAAATGTGTAAAACAAGGGATAGAGTAAACCAATGAAAACGGGGAAATAAATTCAACATAAAAGAGGACCAAAATCAAACATGTTCAGGAAACGCCAAGCAGAGGAGGTGTGTTTTTAGGCGACTCTTAAAGGCTGGCAGAGATGGGGACAGCCTAACTGAGGGTGGCAACTGGTTCCAGAGTGACGGTGCTAGGACTGAGAAAGCCCGGACCTCGCGAGTACGACACCTAGAACGAGGCACAGTGAGCAGGCCTTGGTCAGAGGAGCGCAGAGCACGTGATGGGGAATGTTTTTTCAGGAGTGTGGCTAGATGGGTGGGCCACCATAATGCCCCACAAATGATAAACAAAGACGAGGATTTTGAATTGTGAGCGATAGCAAACCGGAAGCCAGTGCAGGGAGGCCAGAACCGGACTAATGTGGTCCCGTTTCCTGGTCCCAGTCAGGAACCTGGCTGTGCTGTTCTGCACAACCTGTATGTGACACAGTGATGACTGACACAACCCTTTATAGAGAGAGTTGCAGTAGTCAAGCCTAGAAATTACAAAGGCATGCAGTACCCGCTCCAGGTGGGCTCTCGACAGCATATGCTTGATTTTTGCAAGGCGTCTCAGGTGAAAGAAACTGGACCGGATCACAGAATTGATGTGAGCATCAAATTTAAGTCCAGCATCAAGTTTCGCCCCCAAACTGGTAACAACTGGTTTTGAGTAGGGAGAAAGAGGGCCAAGATCAACATAACGATCCACATTCCTGCTGTTGGGGTGAAAAACAATGAGCTCTGTCTTTCCCTCATTCAGATGTAGAACGTTGGCCATTAGCCAAGACTTCACCTCGTTAAGACAGGACACAAAGGACTGGATAGAGTGACCTTTCTCCTGACACAATGGAGAGTAAATCTGGCAATCGTCAGCATAGAGATGGAATGATAGGCCATGTTTATGAAAGACTGACCCCAGAGGTAGCAGATAAATGGCAAACAAAAGAGGACCAAGGATCGATTCCTGCGGGACCCCCCAGCAGAGCCCCTCCCAAGATGAAAAAACATCACCCAGTTTAACGCAGAATGTCCTGTTGTGGAGATACGATCTAAACCAGTCCAGAGCAGACCCTTTGATCCCAACCCATCGTTCCAAGCGATCGAGTAGAATCGCGTGGTCAACTGTGTCGAAGGCTGCTGTCAGGTCTAACAACAGAAGCAGCACAGATGTACCCTGATCTAGTGATAGATAGATAGATGTCATTTAGGACCCTCAGTAGAGCTGACTCTGTGCTATGGCCAGACCTGAACCCTGATTGAAAAACCTCAAATAGATCAGAGTCAGCTAAATGTGAAACCAGCTGCTGATAAACGACTTTCTCAAGCAGTTTTGATGTAAAAGGCAGGGTAGAGATAGGCCTGTAATTTGCGATCACAGAGACATCAGCACCAGGTTTCTTCAGGGTCGGCTGAATAACTGCTGCTTTCAAAGCTGCTGGGACAACACCTGTGCTGAGGCTCCCATTGATAATCTGACCAAGTGATGGGCCAAGGCATGGAAAGGCAGCCTTCCAGAGGCAAGGCAGCAGAACGTCAAGTGGAGAGCCAGATGGCTTCTGCCTCGCAACAAGATTACTCAGCTCAGAGTATGAAACAGTATTGAGGGAGCTCAGGGTGGGTGGTGATGGAGGAACTGGAACAGGGTCAATAGAGTTACCTTGGCCCCCAAAAATGTCTTGAAACGGCCCTGGGTGTGTGACTGAGTTTTGAAGGTGATCTGAATTGTATCAGATGTATAAATATTACATGTGTGTAACTTATTGTTTTATACAGGTAAAAACGTGTAGTGGAGATAAATTCCCTACATTTTACTTTTCAACACTTTGTTTTGTTTTCTTGTTTTTATTGAATTATTTTCCTGTCCTGTCTGTCTCTCATCTTCCTGCTTCTCCTCTAAACTCTCCAGAAAAACTGCTGCCTGGATTCTTACTTTTTCACCTCATCTGTTACTTTTGAGCAGATCAAAGGGATCTCCTGACCTCAATGCGGAGAGCGCGATTCGATGCTGCGTCAGTGAGGTGAAATCACCGCAGCACAGGTGATGAGCTCTGCAGTAGCAGAGCGTCAGGCACAAATAAGACATAAAGTAGAGAACATGAGCGGACATGAACGATCGTGTGCTAATTATAGTTTTTTGGTTGCGCCACTTTGACAATGGACCGTGCGCTGGAAGCAGCAGCCTGAATCGCTGCGCAACAACGCAGCGCTGTGCCGCTCTCTGTGCTCTCTGCTCAGAAGAGTCCATAAATGAAGTAATATAGGTAGAAAACTTTTTTCCGGCTCCCCTGGATGTGTAGGATATACAGCTCCCCCATAATTCGATCCCTGCTCCTGGATGAAAAGCTGGACATTTTCATCAAAATAAGAACCCCCAGTCCGGACGCCCCGGACAGAGTGAAAAGTGGACACGGTCCATCTCCTTTCCTTTTTGTATTGTTTTCTCTCTGTAAACATGCTGTTAACTTGCTTTGCACATCTTCTAATTGAAATCTGTCTTTATCATATATAAATTATTTTTCATAAGCTTGCGTTTGGTGCCCCTTCCCCGGCGTGGTGCCCTACGCGCTGTGCGTGTGCGGAGCGCCGGCGCTGGTCACAAGGTTCATGACAGGGAGACCAAAAGAGAGAACCAGGTCCAGGGTGTGACCCCTGGCATGAGTTGGGGATGATACCCATTGAGTCAAATTGAATGAATCTAGCAAATTCAAAAAGCCTTTAACAAGCACATTATCAGGACAGCAGATATGGATGTTAAAATCACCAAAAAATAGGACATAATCATATTTTAGGATGCAGTCTGCCACAAGATCACAGAAATCATTAAGGAAATTAGAGTCAGTCTTTGGAGGGTGATAAATAAGCACAACGAGCAGGCGGGGGGAGATGCACAGTTCAGATAAGCATAGTTCAAAGGAAAAAAATGACGTGGTGGGTGTAAGCTGTTTACAAGGAAAGCTGGATTTAAAAACAACAACCAGCCCTCCACCTCTGCCCCGTGATCTAGGGATATTAAAACAGGAGCAGCCAGGTGGTACCAGCTCCAGCAGGGCGCTTGAGTCACCAAACGGGATCCATGACTCACAGATGCAGAGAAAACCCAAGTCATGCTGAATAAAAAAGTCACAAAGAATAAAAGTTTTGTTCAGCACAGACCTGGCATTGACCAGACCAAACCGGGTCTGCGGCGGGGCTGCGGCACCGAGATCGCGCACGGGCACAGTCCCCTCTAACTCTGTGCCTGTAACCGAGCGCAGATTCTCCCAGCAAACCCCAGTCTGGCGAGGTCTTCGAGCCGATTGGCCGTGGCGCAGTGCCAGTTCACCCTCAGAGCCGGCCAAGTTCCCTAGGCAGGGCGCCGAGTAATCTAGGAGACATCTTGGAACCACTGGGTCAGAAGCTGTGCCGAATCGGGCCAGCTGCTTCTTCAGGGATCCAGGCCGACGTCTCACGCGCCGGCTACCTCTCTTTCCCCGTCTTCTCCGATGCTTCCTTCTCGAGCTGGGGTGGACAGAGGGCCGACACATCACGGCTTGGGGGGAGAGAGCACACGGGCAGTCCAACCAGCAGCACCATCCGTGAGGTTCCCAGCGCGCACAACCCGCTACATCAACGGGAGGACGAAGCCTCAGCAGCGCAGCCCGATCGTATGTCACCAGGGAATCCACACCATACAAAAAAGTCATCAGAGACAACAAAAATACATAAAAGCCAATAAAACGCCAATAAAAGCCAGTAAAAAGCAAGGTACCACTGCATAAAGAGGACGAGCAGCTCGCAGCGTGCACCCGCGTGAGCGCCATCTCACTCTCTCTTCTATAATATATGTTCTGAACAGTGTGCTGATGTCACGTTGTTAATGACACCCTGTCTGATTACTGCATTTGACTGCTTGTTTATTTTCAATGGTCTCATCCTTTTAGCTTCTGAAGCTGATGAAGCCCATCGTCGCTGCAGCAGGTCACGCTGCTGGCCACAAGGAGGTCGATGAAGGTGAAAATCTGTTTCCTCACAGCTCTAACTGCTAACGGTGTTTCTATAAAAACACGGGAGCTGCTTTTTCCTCTGGTCTGCAGAGCGATCCTGTGTTCTGTCTGATTTGCTTTCAGCTCTAACTCTCGGTATCTCATCCTCTTTCCAGAAACCAGGAGCACTTTGGGCGCTCTAATGAGAGAATTGGCCCAGAAGCACGCTGCAGACTTCCAAGCAGCTGTAAGCTGCCTTCCTGCAGAGCAGCAAGCCAAGCTCCTCAGCTCCTCGTAACCCAAACGACCCCCCCAGTGAGACGATGAACTTTTATAGTCGGTGGGAAAAGGGGCATCTGTGTTGCTCATAAACACACAAGTTCAGCCACTCTGCTGGGTTTATGACACTCGGCTGTTCTGGTGTCATGAATTACTTTTTCTGGTTCTGCTCCTGTTTTGGTTTTCTGGTCTTCCTGTTGGCTGATGACCTCATAACTCCATCTTCTTTTTGAAGTGAGGCTTTTGTATTCCAGCATTATTACCCCGTTCAGTTATCTCGTCTCTATAGACGGTTCTGCCTTATTTAGAGCTCTCACCTGTGTTGTGTTTGGACGTTTGACTCCAGCAGCAAAGTAAAAATACAAATTACACTAAAGTACTCGTCACTCTTTAATGTTGTTACACACACACACACTAGGTTACTGCACCGCTAATCCTCCTTTGACATTTTTAATTCTGTTAGTGAAACATTTTAGTGTAAAAAACAGAAACTAGGACAGAAGCATGAAAATTTATACAAGTTTGGAGATTGTCACTTAGCTGAGTTTACTTAAGGTTTAACACTTGATTTAGTCTTAAACTGGTCATTTACATAGATTACACCTTCTTTCCCCTCATGCACTGTGGTGGTTGTGTGATTGCTCAGATCTCTCGCTGGTCCTGAGTCTGGGTAAAACCCGGCTGCTGGTTCTCCACGTCTAACATCATGGTCATCTCCACAGGTGCCAGCTCGCCGTTTCCTGCTGCAGAAACAGATTTTAAATCACAAGCGTAGATTTCAGAGCTGAGTCTGACTCGCTTTGTTCTCTGACTCCTCATTCAGCTCCTGCATGAAGCCACGAATCTTAACACCTGGCTGTAACAGCAGTAGACCCCAGAGCATCATGGGTGATGTAGTTCCACACCTGCACACGCCTGTTTCCAGGGCTGAATGCTCATCCCCGTGCGGCAGAAGGAGCAGTCGGTGTGGGCCTCGGTGCTGTATAGGACCTCCTGGAGCTGCTTGTCTCCGGGCTTCTTGGCTTTCACTCTCACCTGAATCAACATGAACACGTGTTTACTTCACTCATTCACTGCCTTCTGTTTGTACTTACTCATTCACACCTCCAGGACGGTGATTTCCTTCTCCTTCAGCTTCCCGGTTTTGTTCGTAACTTGTGTCTTCTTGGTGTCCACCCACACCACCCTCTCCCTTACGTCTGACCTGAACACATATAAACACACACATTTGTTCATGAGTTTCTACCTGGATGCACACTCTTACCCGACCACAGCAGACTCACTCTTGGATGCCTAGATCGGCCAGCGTTGTGTCCAGAAAAGGGAATGGCTGGAGTGCCGGGTCGGGCTGCACCTCGATGGGCAATGCCACCGACATGGGAACCTCCTGCTCCACCTCCACTCGCACCATCACACCATTCGGCTCAGGGAGCCTTCTGCCTCCTGGATCTCCCTCACTGTTGACCTCCGATGAGCCGTGCTTTCTGTCCCCCGCCAGCTTGGATCCCTAACACACACAACCCTGGTGCTGATGGGTCTTATCTGTCAGCTGTTTCTTATTCAGGACCTGTGCTGCAGTGGCTGATTCAGAGCTCTGCCTCCACTGATGAAGCCCTCAGGAGGGTGTGTGTGTGTGTGTGTGTGTGATGCATGCAGACCCGCACTGCCCTCCAGGTTTAAATAAGCAGCCGTATAAGTGTGAGTTATGTGTCACTGTGGCGCGAGGTTTATTAGACTGTCAGATGGCGGACTGACGGATGGTCGTGTTTGTGTGGATAAACGGTGAAACAGGCCAGAGGACGGTCATCCTGTGGGTTTAAGGGCAGCCGACCTAAGGTTCAGCGTGGATCACAGCTGCAATGACATGATGCTTTTATCTCCTCTGCTCACCAGTTCTACTGTGGTGAAGATGAGTCTTTGAGTTCACCGTCACATTTTTACCTGAAAAATCTCGTCTAGATGTGTCTTCCAAACAAGGAAATGACCCTTCCTTCCAGCAGGGTTCTGGTAGGAAACATGGTGATTCAGCAGCTGAGATGAGCTTTACTGGTTACAGAACAAATGGGATAAAAACACTCCACATTGTTGTTGTGTTTGGATTGAAAACATTACGTAGCTGAGGCCGTTTCTTTGCACCACCATCATTCCAGCGAGCTGATGCAAATGAAGACGTATCTGCTGCCTGACCTGAGATCAGGCCTCAGTCGCAGCGAGGTGCTACATGGATACGGCCCAATCTGACACTTCAGTGCAAACAAAAACACTTCAGCTGAGACAGGAAGTCAAGACGGGCTGAACCTCTGGACCAGAGGGCCGACCTCTGTGGGATGTTCTCATTCTCAGCATTTAGAAGTCAAAATCAAGCCCCAACCCACTAGAGTACAAAACCTTTAATAGCCTTTAAAACATTTATGACACAGAAATAGTCTTTAAACAGTAGGCAATAAAAAAGTTGATTTCTAACAGACTTACTTTTTCCAAATCTCGATAACATTCTGTAAAAGTATCTTTAAAATGGCTTTAGCAATAAAAATGTTCATGTTTCAATATTTAAAATCACAAAATTAACAATTTAAAACCATTAAAAAAGTTAAAACTTGCCCTAAATACATGAAGCAGAGTTGAAGTTTGTTATTAAAAATGTGCTTAAAAACTTTGAACCGTCTACAAAAACTGAAGATCTGTGTTGGATCTGAATAAATCAGAATTCATCCCAACTTGAACCTGAGCTCAGTCCACCACTCTGGGTGCAGCAAGCCTAATGATGATGTCACTGTAGGGATCAGTCTGATGGGCAGTCAGCTGATGAGCTGACAGCATCTCTGGATGGGAGAAATGTTACAGATTAACACGAAGATTATTAATCGGTTTAAATTAAAGTAGATTTCATAAACAATGAAAATGAATGATGAGGAAACAGCTGTTTTCTTCACCCAGCAGTTTGTAGAGCATTTGAGCTGCAGCGGAGCGGTCGGCCTCTGGGGGCAGCACCGAGTCAAAGGTGACCACCTCAAGCCTCTGCAGGATGGAGGAGATCCAGCTGAAGATCAGAGTCAGAAGATGAGGGATTACAAGAGACAGCAGACCAGACTCTAGTTTTACAATATTAATGCAAAGTGTTAAAAAACAAACATTTAATGCTGTCACACAGAATTCTTCAGGACAGAAACTTTCAGATACTCAGATGTTCTTTTACCTCAGAGGCTCGGGGATCACACACCTTTATGTTTCCATATCTGCTGATCTGTAAATACCTGAGTGAGTTTCTGCTCGCCACGTCGGTCTCGGCCTCGGGCATCTCAATGTTCTCCTCGGCTATTGGCTCCATCGATGGATTTGCGTCCACTTGGGGAGACCTACACACACACACACACACACACACACACACACACACACACACACACACACACACACACACACACACAGAGTGACCTGCTGCTTATCCATATACCTGTCTCCTACTACACCAGGAACCCACCATCTGCTAGCAGGAGTGATGACATCACTTCCAGATCTGTCATTTTTAGACATGTCCAGCACCACGTCCATCTCAGCTGTGGACACACACACACACCGTTAGCAGCAGCATGTTTGTTGTTGAGCTGCTGGATGTGAGATGTGGATCACTCACATGGACCCTCTGAGGGCTGCAGCCCCGACTCACTGGAGGTCTGTGATGAAGGACACAAAAACTGGGTTTAAGATCTCAGGACTGAACTGAGCACGCTCAGATCCCATCAGGCCGTGGTTAGGTACCCGACATCCACCTGCTCATCTAAAAATATCCCACTAACCTCCTTCATGCGTGAGTGCCTTCTATTCCTCTCGTCCCTCAGCACTTCCATGTCCTGCTCCGACTCCCCCCCTGCTCCCAGCACTTCCTCACTCTCAGGAAGAATGGCGAGTGAGGCATGCTGTTTCCATAGCAACAGGAGGTCAGGGTGGAGGAGAGCTGCCAAAGGTAAAGTTTTAGGTTGAGTATTAAAGAACATCATTCACAGGAAGTAAGTTGACCCATAGAGAATAAAGCTAATCCTGCTTCTATGTGACTGGGATGAATTAAATGTAATCAAACATTTATGAGTGAACAAAATCAAAGAACTGCTCCGAACACCAACCTAGTTGTTAGAATGAATCTGGGGCAAATCTTGGAAGAAATTATTATGCAAATCAATTTTCCACCTTTTTCTGCCACCGGGCTCTGCTAGACCTTTTTTTATCCAGTAGAAATCTAAATATCACAGAACATCGAGGACAAACGGAAAATCCAGTGAACGCCTGAACATGTGACCTAAGAAAAGTGTTGTTGTTTACGGTCAAGATGCTGAAAACGCTCTCATGTTCTCGCCTTAGCTCTAACACCAGTGTCTGAGTGGGAACTAAGATAAGAGGACGGCGCTGTGCGTGTCCCATCCGTCAGAGGAGACAAGTGGTACTGACGTCCACAGGGGGCGCTGAAGAGCTGAGCGGGAGCGACGTGATGGGTCAGTGAAGACAAGTTCAGCAGCACTTCAAACTGAAGAAGACAAAGAGAAGAACATCAGTGTGACGTCACTCATGTAGAGGACAGAGAAAAGGGACAAACAGGAAATAGACAGGAATAATCGATGAGCTCTGCTTTAGAGGGTTTAGATGTTTATCTGAAACCAGAGCAGCTCAACGCTTCAGCAGCAGTGAAGCGTTATGTTCAGTGACCTCCAGATCAGAATCTAAACCTTAAGCTGCTTTTTGTTCGTGTGTGAAGAAGAAGATGAGGACGTTTACCAGATCGTTGGTCTCAGTTTTCTGATTTACAATCTGCTCCTGCATTTCTTTGTCCGACATCTGGACCTCCAGGTCCACAAAGACCAGCTGACGCCTCCGTCTTCCTCTGTGCTTCTTCACAGGGGGGACTCCAACCTGGTGACAGAGACACAATCAGCTGTTCATGTCCACAACCGTCTTACCGCTGGTGGAAATTCCTGCTTTGGAGTGATAAACAGATCACAAACATGAAAACAAGTCTCACCCCCTCACAGGGACTTTGTCCACCTTCGTCCTCAATGATCTCGCTTGGCATGGCTACATGGGGAGGTGTCCTCTCCATGGAGATGGCTTTCAGAGGAAGCTCCACAGGCTGACCCGTCTCCTCGTCCTGCAGCCTCTCGCTGTCCTGCTCCGCTCCCACCATCGTCTCCTTCAGCCTGGACGCACGCACAAACCTTTCTGAGTAAATCATCAGTCTTCTGGATTTTTTTTTAACAAACTGGAACATCTAACAGATCACTCTAATATGCAGAAAAAGGCCAGTTTTAAAACGTTCTAGTCTCACGGGTTGATAGAAGAAACGAGTCCCTGCTCTCCGGTCCCGTCTGCCTTCTCTCCGTCCTCTTCTATTAATATAAAAAAGCACCAAGCAGAAACGCTCCTTAAACACTTGATGTTCTTTAATTCAACAAACGTTCTTGTAAAAATGTTAAACACAAAACTATTCAAGTTGCCTAAATTTACCTACGCTGTGGAAAATTCTGATTTAGATGAATTCCTTCCAAACAAATCTTTAGTTTTTTATTCACACAAGTTATTAAAAAAAAAACACTAAATTATTCTTTAATTTTGGTGTGATTTTTGTCTCTTTTCAGATAAATATCTTAGAACAAGAAGCACTTGTGTTGCTAACGGGAACACACACCTCTACGGAAGGGATCCGGCTGATCCATCAATAGATCGATGTCTCTGGCGGTGACTTCCGGAAGGTCATCTCCCTCGAAACACTGACACAAGTGAAGAAAACACCAAATTTGAGATGTAAACACAAAAAAAACTCAAAGCGTTTAGGTGGTTTGACACCCCTGGGCAAACATTTAAAACCAGCAAACATACAGACGTGATGACATCACGTTGTTTAGGCTGCAAAGTAAAAAATAACGCTAAGAGACAAGCGGGCAGGGCCAGAGGTCAGATGAAACGTGAGCAACCCCGACTGATGTAATTAAGTCGGATGTTATTAGGCAGGAAGGACTTGAGCAGCTGGTGGTCCTTCAGGAGAACGGTCTGGCTCTGAGTGACAGAATGGGGAGAAACGGGCGAGAGAGACTTGTTATGCAGCTTTATGCTTAAGAGACTAACTGTTTACTCTTAATATTTTCTGTTCAAGCAAAACAAAAACAAACACGGAACGTCACACTGTTGCCTAGAAAAGCACGGAGGACGAGTTTTAATGACACGTAAAAGGAGGCTGATGGCAGCATAAGCATCTGACGAGGGACAAAGACACTAAGCAGAGACGAGGCTTGGACATCCCGGCTCAGTGATTCACCAGGACGTCTGCCGTGTCTAAAAACGATGACGCCGCCCGTTCCTGATTCTGAACTCTGACAGAGCGTTTACCTCAGCAGCGTTGATGACAAACGGCTCCTGTTCTTTCAGGGTGATGGCTGCCGCGGGCGAACTCAGACCTGAGACACAACAGGGACAATCAGAGGCAGGAAAACGCTGTGAGACACGGACAAATAACCAATCCCAACTGGGAAATGAGCGGGACGCCAGCTGGTACTTAAAGTGACGTTTCAGCTATTTTTAAGTGTTTCTGAGTAAAAGTTATAAATAAATCCAACCTTACCTGTTTAGGTAAGGAGACAAAGTCCTTCAGGACCGATGATGGTGGTGTGAAGGTTCTCACGTCTTTCCCCAAATCAAATTCAAACACTTCTCAAACACTCTGAAGGTGAGTTAAACTGATGAGTGTTTTAAACATTCTAGTAATTCACAACTTTGACACAAAACACATAAAAACGGCTGAAATATCCCTTTAACTACAACAGCTACACATCTGTTGTGATGTTTAAAATTAGAAGTGTAATTTAACTCATAATTCATGTTGTTTTTTATAACATAAGAAAAAAGCTGTGTCCCCTTCAGGTGACAGGACAAACCTCTCCCCAAAACAAATAACATCTTTGGGCAGGAAGATTTATGATCTGAAAAAACTAACCAAATCCTGACACTAATCAGGTTTCTGCTCCCAAAACAAACCAGGAGTTAAAACAAAAAGCTCACTCTGGTTGCTGGATGTCATGTGGGGACCGGGCACCAGAGAGTGCTGCAGGTCGCACATCTCAACCTCCACCTGGAAATAAATAATAAAGGTTTTAGGCAGCGAGCACACGTATGATGCAGCTGCTCCACAGCAGGAGTGACATCAGAGATAAAGGACTCTTTCTTTTTCTAACCTCTGTGTTTATAAAAGAAGAAAAACATTTCTTTTATAGAAATCTGCATAGCGATCATCATATAATGACTCAGACTTCTGGGATTATTTAAATAACAAATGCAAATCGTTTAAAATATCTATAAACAGTTTTTAGACGACTGGCCAAAATAACCAGAGCTTTTTTTTTAGCATGAACATAAAAACTCCAGACTGATTAAACGACAAATCAAACGCTAACAAATACCAGAAGTAGCTTTGTTAATTTATATTTAATAAATACTGATAATTTAAGTCTGTGCATAAACAGAAAGCAGGTGACGTTTAGTGAACAGATTCTACAGGTAAAAGTGTTGCAACATTCCAGGAAGGGCAAAGGTCAATCCTGTATGCCACATTTGCACAAAACAGAATGAGTTTTCTCTGCGGTGGGTTCCTTCAGACTGAAGAGGGACACAAAAAAACAAAACGCTGTTTCCTTTAAAGTCGTGTGTGTTATCTCTGGGACACGGCTCGTGTGCGTCAGGTGTGTAAAAGCAGTCAGAGTATCTCAGTTTTTATAGGAGGTTTCATTATTTATTAGTTTAAGTAGAAGAGCTGAACAGATGAGACTAAAACTGTCGTTACTTGGTAAATATTTGATTTGAAGAGCAAGCTTCGGATGTTAGCGCTCCGCTACTGCTAAAGTCAATAGTCAACACACTGTATGATGTCCACCTGTGGTGGAGAATTACCTGGTGGAGTTTATTGGGACTAGGGAGTTCATGAGACTCCATGAGACCAAAGAAAGGGTCCTGAGCACTTTCAGCCTCCTCCATCCCATTCAGGCAGTCGACGAGGTCCATCACCATCCTGCCAGATCAACACATGAAGCACTGGGTCTGTTTTACCTTCTCGTTTTGATTCAAAGAGTTTAGAAGACAGGAAAATGTCACTGGAATGAAATTCACCTGCAGCACCTTAGAGGAGCCAAATGTGGAAAGTTATGTAGCAGACACGGGAGCTTATTTGTTGCTTCTGCTCCATAATGTGGCTTATCAAGTATTTATGGGACTATTCACATTAGTAGCTGACTTAGTCTTCTGTTTCAGTCCAGTCTTCGCTCCTTCAGACAATCAATCTCATAAATATTCCACAAAAGACCTCAAAGCTAAGACTTGCTCAGATACGTCACAAGTTAGAATTTGTTCAAAACGAACTCGGTGCACAGACCTGTCAGCGTCAGGCATGTCGATCTGGACATGTGATTTAGAGCGAATCAGGCGGTCGATGATTTGCTGGGTTTCCTCTGGAGAAAAGAGAAAGGGATTAAGAGCGCTGACGTATGTGATGAACAGGATGTTACCCTTTAGTGCCAATTAGCCAAATAACTGCAAGAAGCATCTCTATTTAGATCAAATTCCACCAACAGACGAGATGAAATGCTTCCTCGCTGCTGATGGATCCAGTATTGTGTTGCACTGTTTTTGTCAACCCCCAGGGAAAGCGCTATTGCACATCTCCTGGATGCAATATTAGTGTCACGGTGTGATTTAGAGCTGTTGAGCTGGGTTTGATCTTATTCAGTTGGGCTGGAAATCAGAGTGAGTGAGAAAACACTGAGCTCCTTATTCAGCTACGGCTTCATGTTCATTCAGAATTTCATATTTTCTACTTTTTTGTGTGATTTCTGTTGCATGTAGTGAAATAAAACCAATACCTCTGTACTGAAACACTAAATATTTTACTCAAGATACAATAAAGCCCTTTGATTCATCCCAATGTCCTAATTTTATTTAGATGAGGTACATCAAGAAGGAAGTTACAGTTTTTTTTACATGCACTGTTTTTATCTTTTCTCACCAAGTAAAAAGCCACACTGCTTGTGATAGACCACAACCACTCCATACTGCAGCTGAGATGACAGGTAGAGGGAAAAGCGAGGCTTGGACTGGTTGGGCTGCAGCGAAGGAACTTGGCCTGTCACAAAATCTTGGATTTCCTTGCTGTAAACATTTAACAAAATGAGTGAAAAGACCTCAGGTATTAAGATAAAACCCGCAAAACATTTACATTTATCTCAACACAACAAGTTTCTTATGATTAATGCATTAATCACTAGTTGTAGGTAAATAAGCCCAAATCATAAACTGATGAAGGGAGTAAACAATTGACCCGTTGCACGTGACGTCACGCCATTCATGTGACAGCCCCCTTCCCCATAATGGGGCAAAAAGACCGTTTACACCCATTGAAACTCCAGTGAAGGTAGTCAAAACAACCCAGTTTGCAGCCTTTTATGGCTTTTATTTAGTTGATTTGACAATAAAATGGTTTTAGCGTGCTGAGTGGTTGGCTGCACTAACAGACAAGGATGTAAACTCAACTCGTTTTGTTTTTTTTAATAACTTTGATGGAGACTGAGGACAGAGATGAACTGCAGCGATCAATCAAGCGGACTAGCAGCCCTCAGATTTGCAGCGAACATGTTTTTACCGGGTAAGATTAACGTTCATTTATTTCACGAGGAAGACAGGGATAAATGTGATGCGTTTACACTAGTTATTGATAATCCTGATGGATGGGTATTTCACCATGGAGGCTAATTATTAACTATATTAAAGCTGCGATGTATAATTACGTGTGTTAAAATTACGTTATTTATTTATATGAGCGTCGCCGTTCAGAGATCTTCTCATTCTGGTGAGAGCAGCAGCTGAAACAGGTGTTCTGGGAATTTCTATGAGCCCCTGCTAGATGCGCTACTTCTTCTGATAACTGAACTGGGCATGAACTAGTTGAAGGAATGCTGGAGGACTTTTGTTTTGGTTTCGATCGCAAAAACAATTTCAGGCTCTACTTATCCCTTTGTTTAGTACTTGTGTCGCTCACTGTTTGCATGCTTTTGCCGTCCAGCTTGGTGGACACACGTGATTAGGTGACGTCGGTGCAAAGGGTCAAGAGTTTTATAATTGAAATTGTAAATTAAATAGGTTGAATGTTTTGATAACATTTTACATGAATCAGCTAAAAATGCAAATAATTATGAATAAAATTACTATATACACAATCATTTACTTTTTCTTTTGCTCTAAAAAACTACGTTTCTACTGATAAAAAAAGGCTAAGTGTTTTGGCTGCTTGGTCTCTTGCTTTGGGAGTCTGTCAAAAAGCTACCATCAGCCATTGTTTTATGCCATAAATTGAACTTGTTAGCTTTGCTATGAACAAAAGGACATAAAAACCTGTAAATCTTACCAAGTTCGCTTTACATTGACTTTGAGGAACTCCCTGCGAGTGATACGGATGCCCCTGGTGGCCGCTAGCCTAAATAAAGAACACTCACAAAACTATAAAGTCAAAATCTAGTCAGCTCTGAAACGTATAAGCTAGCCATACAGCTAATGGTTGACTAGCTTCTGCTAACCTAACAGTTCTACGCAACTTGGTTTAAAAACTTTAATAAAATAACACTCACCAAATTGTGGAAAAGCACCCAGTATGGTGTTGGAGAACAGTTTGGTAGTAAAACATTTCGCTTTATGCGTTGAAGTCACCTCTCAAAGCTTAGAAATTATGCTAATAAAAATGACGAAACCTTAATAGCTGGGGTTTTCCCGCGTCAACTCGCGCACGACCAATCAGATCGCTTGTGATGCCTTCACGGGCTACTAAGATATGCAAGAGTTCGAGCTGCCTGTTGATCATCGACACATAAAAAAATAGGTGTTGATCGTATTTATATGTCGATGGTGTTGATCCAAAAATAATTGAAACACCAATAATAAACTCTTCTTCTAACTAATTAGTTTTATTCAGCTGTTGCATAACTTCATTGCTGGTACACACGGATGTTTTGTATTCTGAAATGAAATTAAACAACTCAAATGATGAGACTTTCATGTGATGGCGTGACCCAGATTCATAGCTGGGATAAAACAGAGATGCATTTAACTTTTTTAACAAGTATTTTTCTTGTAAAGATTTTCATCACATATATATCTTATAATAATAATTTCAGTGGGTGAAAACTGTCAAAACAAAATACTTTGGATTCCAACAGAATTGTAAATCATGTTGCTTTTTGTAAATGGACACACATGATTAAAATGTAAAGCAATAATAGGATATCTATCTATCTATCTATCTATCTATCTATCTATCTATCTATCTATCTATCTATCTATACACGCGCACACACACACACACACACACACACACACACACACACACACACACACACACACACACACACACATATATATATATATATATATATATATGTGTGTGTGTGTGTGTGTGTGTGTGTGTGTGTGTGTGTGTGTGTGTGTGTGTGTGTGTATGTATGTATGTATGTATGTATAAATAGTAGGGCTGGGCAATAAATCAAAAATTTATTGTAATCAAAATTTCTGACTCGTGATAATTTTTCCCATGTCAATAAATTTGATAATAAAAAATGAAAAGATGTGTGTAGGTTGGCAGCGTTCATGTCCATGAAGCTGTATCACTGTCACGTAAAAATGTTCCTCAATGTAATACATGTGGCAGCCCCATCTATTGGACAACTTTTGTTTCTGCGCATATCTGTAGTTATCGTCCAATTATCGTTATTGAGGTGAAATCCTCAATATATTGTGATATTAATTTTAGGCCATATTGCCCAGCCCTAATATATTGGTATGTCAGCTCAAATTTTTCCATTCCAACAGACCAAATCGGCACTCTGAATTTGCAAATGCGGTATGCGGCCACAGAGGGCAGTAGGGGTCTGAGAATGACATGATTGTAAAGGGTCATTTTAGCACATACTGGCTCAAGTAAATGAAAAATTTGCATGGTGTACCTTTACGTTTACTTAGAAAACGGACGTGTTTACATCTTCTTTTACTTTCAGATTTATTTGCCAGTAATAACTGGGGTCAGAAAAAACTTTTATTGGTCCATAGACTTCCATTCTTATTTATTTATTTTTTTCTTTTGCAATAAGGAATCCAGATGGGCGTGACTTAGGCTCCATATCAATTGGCTGCTGAGTAATGGCCATCATAATTCAGTTCTATTCATAAATTGAACATCACAGACTACTACTGCTACCACTTTTTGTCAGTTCATGTTAGCCTCACATATGATGCACTTCGAGTCTTTTACATTCTCCAAAATACAAATATTTGTTAACAAATTTGAAAAATTTAATGCATTATTTTTAACCAATTGAAATAAAAATTGGACCATGACGTAACGCATGGTGAATGACAAGCCACGCCCCCGTGCGCGCGGAGGAGGCAGGCATTTTTAAGGTCGGGTGGTGAAGTGTGAGTGAAGCAGCTGAGAGAAACTACAGCCGCAGCAGAAAAAGGACAGTCGGTGTACTTGTTTGTAGTTTTATTCCAGGACGGAGCACACCTTTTTATCTTTAAAACATGGCGTATCACAGTCCGTACAGAGCTCACCCGCAAGGCAACCCTCCTGTGGACCAGAGTTTCCTGTGGAATATCTTCCAGAGGTGAGTGCGGGGAAGGCGGGTTTGTTTCGCCCCGCAGTGAAAACTGCTGTCGTGAGAAGCGCGAAGAGGAAGAGGAAGAGGAAGGCAGCGGGGCTGGGTGGTGTTGCAACAAATATTCCTGACAGCTCAGCCTTTGTCTCTGACAGCTGAGTCTTTGTCTCTTATTCTCGTGTCCTTTTAACTGCTTTAGGCTCGGAACACAGGTCCGCAGTGCTGTTTGTGACACGAGAGAGGAAATACCAGCGTTTCCTCCAGCGTCTCTCAACCCCTCACCTTCCTAGTCTTTTGTGTTGCAACTGTAAAAGTGGCGCAAAGGCTTTAGATTGTGTTCTTCTGAATCAGCTGATCGCTTTTGAGCCACGGAAGTTCTAAAATCTAAATACAAGGACCTCCACTAGTCCTTGAAGGCGTCACGTTTTCACAGAATTCACTTTACCCAGACTTGTGAACTTATTTATGCCTAACACCAGACAAAAATCTCATCATAAATGAAAGGATCTAAACTGAGAGTGTTTCACTAACAGGCTTCAGGTATGTGTCACGGGCTGTGACAGTCAGTGAGGGACATGTTGATTTGGCCCCTGCACATTAAGCCCAATATAGTTATGCAATACTGCAGAGGATCCATTTCTATCACCACCGAGATGCTGCAGGCGTTCAGATGCTTCAACCATTATTAACAAATTATTTATGTGAAGCAACAACCTCAGATGTACAGATGTGTGCCGGCTGTTGCCCTCTGTTTCATCCCCACACGCTTGTCATTTTGTTTCGCTGTCACAGGAACAGCCTTCCTCATCACCGTCTTCACACATAAAGTCATCTTCAGCGTAAATGTCAAACAAACACAAGCGATATGACAGTCCTGAGTGTAGGGAGAGTCTCTGACGCACACGCACACACACGCACACACACGCACACACGCACACGCACACACACACAGCCTCATCTGTGTTTGTGTGTAAATCTGGCAGAGCTGTACTGGAATTCCCTTGGTCATGTGATCAGAGGCAGGTTTTTGACACACACACACACTTATCTATGACTCACAGTGGGATAGTTGTTAGAAATCTATTAAATTAAAGCTCTATAACCATATTTTTATCCTTTTTAAATTGAGTGTAATTGGACGACATAAAAGGGAAAGGCTCATTTTTAAAAGAATAATGGTTTTTATTCCTTCTAGTGTACCACTGGACTGCAGTCTATTGATTGGGATTGGTCCCATGAGGTAATGTGGGATGAATCATCTTTCCCTTTCACCTACTTTCCAAACAATGATGATGGTACAACAAAATGTTAAAATTGCCCAACAACACACACGTGTTGCTACAAGAAGCTAATCTGAGCTCAGCTCAGATCTACTTAAACTTAAGAAAAGTTGGAATAAGCCAGTCATCCTTCTGCAACGATGCTGCTTCTATTTTGGGAGTTTTTATGTGGAAAGCGGAGCGGGTGTTTCCCAGCCTCATATTCCGTCCAGACTGTCTAATAGGAAAAAGCGAAACATGGGAAAATCTGACTCTGTCTCGGCTTATTATTTAAAAAAAAAAAACAACTTTATCTCTGTTGTGATGCATTCTAGCTCTGTTTGAGGATGCAAATGCCAGATGGTGTCTCTTGAGCGTGCAAAAAGGAGTTCTAATGATGCTTTCACCATCCTTTTATTTATTTATTTATTTTTGCTTGTGCCTGAGGCAGAGTGTGTTCATGTAAAGAAGACGAGAGGTGGAAGAACAGGAAGTGTAGAGGATTGAGGTAAAGGATGTCCTGTTCACATGTGGAGTTTTACTTCTAGGACGTGAATAAAATGTTGTATTCATTACATTTCACTTAGATTAGTTGGATTTTGAGTCCTTCTGTTGTAGATCTGCTGCTGCTGCATTTGGATTATTGTTCTGTTTTATGACCCAGTTTGGTCCAAACCTCAGCTGTCCTACAGATGGACTCATGCTAGGCTCTTTGGTCTACAGAGGGGTTCATGGTGGACTCAGCCTCAGCCTTTCACCACCGTGCTGGTATGAGCTGTCAGGTTTCCGCCAAACCCAGCTGTGCATTATGGGTAAACCTCTCTACTTTGGTCCGTAGGTCTCATAGTGTCAACATGTTTGGTGGTGTCTGCTGGTCATTTCCTACTGAGTTAAAACCATGAGCTAACCACAATTCCCGCCCAGCGACTCTACTGGTCCTTTTTGTGTACTTACGCCAGTTCAGGTACTCGTATGATCCCTGAAATGGTCAGAAAATGGTTCTTTAGGGCTGGCCAGGTGAAATGGACACTTATGCAGCGAAGGTCCAGTTAAATTAGCCAGAAGCCCTGAAGGTGGAATGAGCCCGATGCTTTTAGAGCAAAGAAATTTTCTACCTGTTGACCTTCTAAACATGGAGTGCTTGTTTCTTTTTTTGTCATTCTCACAGATTTGACCTTGAAAACACTGATTGCATCTATAGGGTCAGTTCAGACTGATGTCTCTCCTCTGCTGCATAGCGTTAACACACACTTGTATGCCCCAGACGAACAAACTGCTCTGACTCATGCTTTAACTGATCCTCAGTGTGTATTAATCAATACATTAGATCAACAGCACCTGGCTGATACGCTTATTGTTTAGGCTGCAGGAGTGTTTTTCTCACCCAGAAATTTCTTTTTGGCTTTATTTTTGTTAAAAAGATGACGACATGGTGACACATCATGTGACTTTTGCACATCTGAGGTCAGATTTGAATAATTTCAAAACCTGGATGGGATCATGTTGAAAGATCAAAAGTTAAAAAAAGGGCACTTTCCTCTACTATGACACACACACACACACACACACACACACACACACACACACACACACACACACACACACACACACACACACACACACACACACACACACACACACACACACACACACACACACACACCCCTTTGACTAAATCAGCTGTGTGTTTGGGAAAGGACGGGTGCTCAACCCAAACCACTCTTCTTAACAATGACAAAAGGTTCATTTACTGAGATTTTTCTGTTTTTTTTCTTCTCTTCATCCAGCAGACCAAGCTGGTTTGTGTTTGTTTTTCCTAATTTAACTTGTAGGAGCGACACACACACACACACACACACACACACATAGCTGATGACTGTATAGAAAAGCCACGTAAGCTTGTGAGATGAGATATCACCGCCCAGTAACGCATCACAGCTGCAGAAACTCAGCCCACATTCAGCTGTGTGTGTGTGTGTGTGTGTGTGTGTGTGTGTGTGTGTGTGTGTGTGTGTGTGTGTGTGTGTGTGTGTGTGTGTGTGTGTGTGTGTGTGTGTGTGTGTGTGTGTGTGTGTGTGTGTGTGTGTGTGTGTGTGTGTGTGTGTGTGTTTTGAGGGCTTCCCCATCTCTGCTGGTATTCACAGAATGTTTGTGGAGTGAGCTGAGTCAACACTGGTTGCTAAGGAGCAACTGAGTCACAAATATCTGACGAATCTGAATTTAAAAGTGTGAGGACTGTTACTTGTGCCTCAGTCTGCCCTCCTCCTGTCAGCACACGTCTTTGTGTCAGCCAGAAAACACTTTGTAACTGTAGTTGTTCTAATAGTCAAAGTATAAACCAATTTAGCATTAATGTGGCTTAATCAGGAGATGCAAAAACGGCTGAAGAGCTCGTTTGTTTGACCATCTTTCCTGGAAATATCCTAGATTGTGTTTTTGTTCTACCAGTCTAGAGAAACAAATCCCAGACTTTTAATAGGTTATACTATAGTGTTATCTTTTCCTTGGTTTCTTGTAGCTTTTAGTTTTTTATTTATTATTATTTTTATTTTTGCAATTTAATGAATTTTTAATCATTAAAATTTTATTAATTTAATCTTAAAACTAATTAGACCAACATTTGAGAGGCTTGAACCAAAGACTGTTTTACTGTTGTTCCAGTGGTTTCTTGTCATAGCCACAGATGATAAAAGTGACAGTTAAATTTTCTGTTCTAAGTCAGTTGTTTGGCTGTAAATATTTATTTAAAACATAAATAAGCCTGTTTATTCTCTACTCTGTTTCAGGAAGTGAAAGTTAAACATAAATCAGTTAGAATAATGAATCGTGACTGCATAAGTGGAGCGTTTATTCTTGCACTGATGAGATAAGGAAAAGGATGTGCAAAAAAACTCAATCATTATAATGTATTGTTGTTGCAAGATGAATAATTTTTGCACAGGTTCTGTAAGTTCTGTATTATTTTAATTGCTGCAATGTTAAAGGGATACTTTGCAACTTTTTCATATTTTAAAGTAATTTTCTTGAGCCAGTATGTGCTAAAATGAACCTTTACATGGTTAATGAAAGGCCATCCACCCCGTCGCCCCCTGTGGCCAGAATACCGCATTTGCAACTTCAGTGTGACAGGTCGCCACCGGTTGGACTGACAACATTTAGCTGACATACCTGGAGGCGACGGTGGCACAGGAGTTAAGTGCTCGCCCCGTAATCGGAAGGTTGCAGGTTCGTGCCCCCCTCAGTCTGTCGCTGTCGTTGTGTCCTTGGGCAAGACACTTAACCCACGTTGCATGCTGGTGGTGGTCTGAGGGACCGGTGGCGCCAGTGCTCGGCAGCCTCGCCTCTGTCAGTGTGCCCCAGGGCAGCTGTGGCTACATCGTAGCTCATCCCCACCAGTGTGTAAATGTGTGTGTGAATGGGTGAATGACTGATTGTGTTGTAAAGCGCCTTGGGGGGTTCCAGGACTCTAGAAGGCGCTATATCAAATACAGGCCATTTACCTGGTGCTGCAGTCTGCTTCCAGCACATTTCCTGCATGTTTTAGATCATGAACACATCTGATCTGTTTGTTTACAAATAGCTATCGTTATTCCTGTTCTTTTTTGTTTCTATTGTTGTTATATTATACACACACACACACACCCACACCATTCGTTCATTCATTTTGTGATGAATCACTCGTCTAGACACTAATGAAAGCTGGGAGACGTTTCAGCTGTTAGATTAAGGTGTTAAAAAGACAAACGCACCGCAAAGAGGTTTTGCTTTCGGTTCTACAAACGGACATTAGGGAATGCTAAAGCAAGCCAAAACTGCCTAGTTTCCCTTTAAAATGTTTTTTTTTACCTTTTCTTAGTCTCATGAGATCATTCAGATCTTCATCAGCTCTAGCATTTCTGAACTCTTTCATGCTACACTCCAGGTTCTCCAACGCGCTCATGTGAGCTGCTTTTGGATTTAATCATCACTTCCTTCAATCTGTTTTACTGTCTGAAACCTGTCAGTTTTCTGTCCTACAAGATCACAATCAAACATTGTATACACACACACACACAGACGCACACAGCTGGTCTGGGTGCTTCCTGATCTTTGACCGTACAATCTGCTTTGTGTGTCCTGATCATAGGATTCTATTCATTCCTACAGGCTGTTGAAATGCTAACACACTCTCAGGGGGGATAAAGTTTCCTCTGGAGTGTGCTGATGCTCTCTGCTTTTGTGTGCTGGAGTGTTTGCGGGTGTGAATTAGTTAAAGCAGGTGATACATAATCTGTCTTTTCCTCTTCAGGGTCGACAAGGACCGCAGTGGAGTGATCTCGGACTCGGAGCTTCAGCAGGCCCTATCCAACGGTTTGAGCTAGCTAATTTCACTCCTATTTATTTTTAATTCACTTTCTCCTCATTTAAATCCCCTCCCGGTCTTTTTTTTTTTTTACCCATTTTCTCTCCATCTCCTTGTAGCAATAAAACTGTCTCTGACACCTTTTGATCAGAGCTACCATCAGATCTTTAGCAGTAAATGAACATGGAGGGATATTTTTAGCCTGGTGCTGCAGATGAATTCACTTATGAAGGAGTTAGATTTATTTTTATTCAGAGGAAAAGAAGAAACGGGTGAAAAGTTTAGCTTCAAACACAAACACCTTGTCCCTGCAGTGACGAGAAGACCTCAGGTGTGAGCTTCGTTTAATAATAGCTCATCTGTGAACGTGGGGCTATAGGATTTCTGCACACAACAAGCTTCATTTATGTTGGGAAGCAGAACTGGCTCCACCTCCTCCTCTGGACCTTGACTCGCAGAGAGGCTGCAGGAAACTTCTCATCCAGATACTCGACCACACGTCGGTGTTGGTTTTTTCATCCCGTAAAGATAAGATGCATTTACCATCGTGTCTGTTTACAGCAGCCAGCCACAGGCCTGAGAAAATCCCATTTCCTTTAGAGGGAGAGAGAAAAAGGAGTGTTGTACCCAGCAGCAGAAGAATCTTTCATCAAGCTGCGCAGTGGCGCTTTCTCGGCATACTGATTAGTGGTTTAGTGTGCATGAATCCACAGATGACGGCCCCTTTAAAAAATTTTGTAGTTAAATTGCCTGTTTTTTTTGTTGGCCATGTATTAAATCCTATTTCCTTGAGAGAGGCCCTTGCAGCGTAAGCAGCAGGCTTCCTTCTCCAGACCCTGCCAGTTCATTACTCTCATTGTGATATGAAAGGAAGCCAGTGAAGCCGAACACACTGCACTGCGTCCTGTCCTGCAGTGCTGCTCTCTGAAGCCACAGATTCTTCCAACGCAGGACTGTCTGTTGCTCTGCATACGCCGCCAGCTTTTTCCTGATCCTCTTGCCTTGCTGTGGGCTCAAACACCTAAAATCACGTTCTTCATCACCTCGTTGCTAATTCGTTCCTTTTCTCTCTCCGGGGTGTGACGTCCCTGATGAGACTCCGGTAATGTTGATATTTGTTTAATTTTTTTATTTTTTGGCTTCTTCCTCTCAGCAGCAAGCTGATGTCACACTGGCCTGCCATCACACTCTCCAGGGCACGCAGATTTATACTCTTCTACTTATTCGAACGTGTACGAACAACCGTGTACTAAAACTGCTGACCGAATGGCAGAACTGGAGGGGCTTGTTCAGCATTGTACACCTTCTAAACTCTGCTCGGCCGTTCTGACCGGTGGGGACGACTCCTTGTGGACTTGTAGTCATTTTTAGCTAACGTTGTGAGTCACCAGGGTTGTTTTTGTCTGGTGTCTTTAAATGTGTCCTGCAGTCATGGGAGAGGAATTGTATAACCCACAAAAACACTGAGCTGCTGACCCACTGCCCTGTGACCATCACCACTGTTGCATGACTCAGCAGTAATGATTCGGCAGATCTGAGTGGTTATTAAGCATCTTCCTGCTGCACAGTTGGACTTGTTTCAGATGTTAGAATGAATATTTCATGGTTGGCCTGGGACATAGATTATTATTATTATTTTTTTACATGAAAGAGAAACTGAGTTTATGGCAATAATTTAATTGGTAACAAAATTAGAGTTCAAGGCCTACCTTTCTTGAAGGAATGCTGCTTTCATACTAGGGCTGGGCGATATGGCCTAAAATCAATATCACGATATATTGAGGATTTCAACTCAAACGATAAATGGATGATGACTACATGCATGCAAAGAAACAAAAGATGGGGCTGTCATGTGTATTACAATGAGGGACGTCTTCACGTGACTTAGTACAACTTCTTAAAGGGACATGAATGTCACCAACCTGCGCACATATTTTCTTTTTTTCTTTTTTATTATTGAATTTATTGCCCAGTCCGTACTTCATACCATTATGCATGATTGTGTGGAATATCGTTTGCCAGATAAGCCATCCTATATATGTAAATATATAATCTGGCCACAAACCAAATAGAGAACTCGGTCGTAGGGGCAAAATTTATGGTCGTCTTTCAAACTGTGTCGGCATGCATTTAGACAGTGCTGGGACCAATCAGAGCAACAAACAACTTGACGTACTCATCGCGATGGAAACCCATTAAAAGGGCAGTCTGCCATACACCACAGAAGAATTACCTCTGTGTGCTCTCGTCTCAAAGAAAAGTCTTCTAAAGTCGTCCAAACCCTTATGCCAAAGCTGTTGCAAATGAACGTCGTTCCTGAGCTGATGTCATTGTTGTTGCAGCTCTGTAATGGCACTAAACCCTCCCGACATCTCTTTACAAATGTGGAGCGCTGTGATCTTTCCTAGTCAAAACTTAGCCAAGCCAATGGCAGATCTGCTGAGGCTACAATGCACTAGAACAGTGAACCTCAACTGGTGGCCCGCAGGCCACATCCGACCTGCCAGACCTTTCGGCCCAGCCCCCCAACCCTTTGGGCCCTAACATCCCCCAGTTGGAGGACTTTGAAGTTTAGCAGCAAAATTCATGCGCCATAAATCAATAATTGCAGTCGTGGCATGGAGCGTTTATAGACATACCATTGTCGTAATATTACGCTGATTTGCCGGCATGGTCTATAAAAGAGGCTATAGTGTCTGGTGGAAAAAAGACCCCTGCAGTAGACCAACCTGCAGTAGCAAAATGCTTTGCTATTTCTATGGTTTGTCTAGATTTCCACATCTAGAAGAGCCGGTTGAGGTGGCTCGGCCATCTGGTCAGGATGCCAGCTGGACGCCTCCCTGGTGAGGTTTTCCGGGCATGTCCAACTGGGAGGAGACCCAAGGGAAGACCCATGGACACGCTGGAGGGACTAAGTCTCTCACCTGGCCAGGAAACCCCTTGGGATTCCCCCGAAAGAGCTGGCCCAAGTAGCTGAGGAGAGGAAAGTCTGGGTGTCTCGGCTTAGGCTGCTGCCCCCACGACCCAACTCTGGATAAGCAGCTGAAAATGGATGGATGAATGTATAGATTTCCAAGCTAGAATATCGTGACCTCTTGCATGACGTACATGCCCTCTGAATATGTACATGGGTAGCTAAAGTAAGCTTCTTTTATCGAGTCAAACAATTTGTGGACCTACATCTAAGGTGAATTTAGAGTTTGATCAAAATCTGTGTGATGGTTCATGATATTTTTCTGTCAAACAGTGTCAAAGTATGTAAGACTTGATATATTTTTATAAATAGTAAATGTAATTTAAAATCCAAAAAAACATACTGAATTCTAGACATTTCTGTGGTCTGTGAGGTACACTAGCTGGTGGTGATGATCTTAACCTGGCACTTAAGTTTACATCCAATGATCACTTTCAGAAAGTTAAAATTTAAATCAATCAGTAGTTCATGTAATATTTTGCAGACAGGTTGACTAAAAGGTTGACTTGATAAAATCTGAGACAAAGATCTCTTGTGAGCTGACAAAACCCAGCTCTATGTGTTGAGTCTACCTACACACCAAATATTTGCTCTATTCCAGGAAAGTTGACGGATTTCTAGCAAAAATAGGTTATACTTTTGATTTTAAGTTGCATCTTTCTCATGCTCAGACATCTACCTGCTTCTGACGGGATGTGGTGGATTATTTGGGTTCTTCTCTGTGAGGTCTGTAGCTAAACGTTGATTATGTGATTCGAAAAGTTCATATCAGTGTGTGCTTGCTTATGCAAAGTGTGTAAGTACAAGTGTCTCACTGAAGCGGCTGTTATGTTTGTGGACACACTTTGGTCAGAACACTGTTTTTCCATCACCCCGCCTTGTTACTCGCTCCCTCCCTCCACCCCACCACAGGCTGCTGGGTTCTTTCCAGAGAGGGAGCTCAGTGTATGAATGGGACAGAGGCCATATTGTCCCAGTTTGCTTTGGAAGCACCCACTAACTGAGCCCCTCAAACTGGTCAAGCCACAGTCCACCTGATGAGCGTCGGTGACCTCACAGCGAGCTCCTGGTGTGAAACGTTTTTACGCTCGGTTTTTGTGAACTGAAGAGTCGCTGTAGCTGGACAGGTCACAGTTTGCTCTTTGTGGCGCCCTTTACACATTTCTCTGCTCCATCACTGAAGCAACACTGCTTCATTCTGCTTATTTGAAATACATTTTTCATGAGGCACTTTAAAGATGAAGATTGGGATGAGAGGCAGATTTCATGATGGAGATCTGAGCCAGACAGAGCTAATCGATAAGCTGTGGTACATAGTTTAAAAATCCTACTATAACATATTTTAGCCACATCAGTATAATTAACTAATTACGACCTTTTTGTGTTTGACAGTGTTTATTTTCTATGGCGGCCATCTTGAATTGGGCTAACGGCAAGGCCCGATCCCGATACTCACACTTCTGCACCCTTCAGCTGTGCGTTTCTGGCCAGGGTTGCAAGTGCGTAGGGTGTCCTGATTCTCCGTTCTTTTGCACCCTTGATCCGCATTTAGCCAAAGTCTGCATTGATGCAGTGTCTGAGCAAGTGTATTACCCACAATCCATTGCTGCGTGGGAATTTTGAGATGGTTATTTTTCTGAAAATATGTATTTTCAAATGAAAGTTCATTTTAAAAAGATTAATAATATTTATTCATGCTCTGAATGTTTTAGACTAAGGTGTAATGTGGACACCAATGAATGTAAATTTGTTTGAAAGTTGTTCATAAAAATTTTATAAAAAGTAGCACAAACAGCGACTGGCATCCCGGCATGCATCGCAGTCGGTGACACAATGCTCCCTGTCCCAATTTGGCACACTTGTGTACTACGCACTCAAATCCTTACTGCACACCTCCTCTAAGTGTACTTCACAGAAGGGCATAGTACGAATATTGGGATTGGGCCCAAAAGTTAGAGTAGGGGTACATGGTTACATTATTTAAAAGTAACTTAAAATGCTTACGTTACTATCTGACCCTGTTCTATGATGATATAAGGTCATTTTTCATAATTTATATTTCCTCCTAGTCACTCCTTGGTCTCTATACCAAAGCAAATAATTTACGTGAGCCTAGAGCGTTGACCTGGTATGCAGCCACAAGACGAAGCTGTCAATGAACAAAAATGCACCCCGGTTCCCACCATGCTCTATGGCAGGGGTGTCAAACTCAAACTCACACCGGGCCGAAATGAAAATCTGGGACGGAGTCGAGGGCCAAACTTAATATTTTTTGAAAAAGTGACGTCAAATTTGCACATTTTCTTTATCAACATATATGCCATTTTGAACCTTTAAATTTGGAAACAAACTTATTTCTTCATTAACACTGAATGTGGAATAACCAAATTACACACAAGCAAGTCAGTTTTAAGTAAAAGGCATCAGTGGTATTTATTACTTGTGGTATAATCAGCATTTTTAAAATCTATTCAGGATTTATGTTTTCTTGTTTATTCATTTTTCTTATTTTTTATTCTCCTTTTTTTCTCCTGTAATAAGTGTCATCGCTGCTGTGACGTCTAGCTTTCCCCACTGAGGAACAATAAAGGGATTTTCTATTCTATTCATCTATCTGCAGCCTTTCCACTTCCTGTTTACTGTAGGTTAAATCTTTTCTCACGGGCCAACAACAACATAAAATATTTTATCTTAAATGAAAATGCAATATCTCACCTGTTAACTTTCTTGTTTTGGAGCAGAAAAAACCAACATATTTAAAGCTCAGTTTGCTCCACTGGTTTACTGTGATGCTCACCTGTTCCAGCCAGATACCTGCATCATGGGGTTGATCTGAGCTGAGGAGGAGACTCCTGTTGTTTTGTTCATCTTCATCATAATAATGACAACATTAGATGACAACAGGTGCTCACATAGGTTTGTGCTGATGAACATGTCTGAGCAGCTTGACCACGTTGGTGTGCGTCGGGGAGGAAACACGACAGCAGCCACAGAGTCATGCTGATTTGAGCGTGTCGCTGCTCGCTGGAGTTATATCAGCTCTGTCTGGACGTTAGTTGGAAAACTTTCTCTTTCAGTCGTGAACACATTACTGAGCGGCTAGAATCTCCGTTTCTGGGCTTCAACGTCAGAAAATAGCTGAGTGAACTCGGCGCTGAGTGAGAGGAGTGTTTAGTTTGTCCGAAACAGCGGAGCTGCAGACATCGGCAGCAGACGTAGGAAAAAACACAAAGGAGGGGGCGCGTCGGCTCCGCGCTAACGTCGCAAAGCATCATGGGAGTTGAAGTCTTTGCGGTAAAATCGGCCAGCGGGCCAGTTTTAATATATTTTTGATATTTATCTCGCGGTCCACATAAAAATGCTCCGCGGGCCAGATGCGGCCCGCGGGCCTTGTGTCTGACATATGTGCTCTACGAGATGACCACATTCAGCTTAGCACACAAACCTAACTTGAACTCAACCTGCTTTGAATCTTTGTCAGTCTGTAAACTTCGAGCTAACTGTGGAAGTAGAGGAAGGGGAACGAAAAGGGGTTTATCTTTTGTGTGCTGGAGCTACGTTTATTGTAGCATTCAGTCTTGCGCTACATCAGACTTGTTTTCGCATTGTAGCGTTGGCAGGCATGTGGTAACATTGGCAAGCATGTGCTACCATTGCGAGAGCAGAATTCTTGCCGGTTTGAGATTTATCCCTGCTTGACCTCTGCAAATCTGATTTAAAATGAGCGATCAGCATCTCCTGCAGAACCTGATGAAGGCTGAGGAGATAATTCAGAAGTTAGACTCGGGTGAGGAGGAACATATAGAACATTACTTTTCCGTTAGCGATACAAGGCTGTTTGCTTGTGTCTGCGGCATATGATGTGTAGCTTTTAGCTCCTTCTAGAAGGGGACGGGGACCACAGCTTTATGTAATGGCGTTTATTGGTGGGTGGGCCAAATTTGGACATTTTAACAGATAAAATGAAGGTGAACGTTTAGCTGTGCTTCAAACCTTTTTTATTCACACAAGATCCTCATCTCTCGCTCAGACCAGCTGGTTCTTGCCATAACTAAACTGAGCAGTGGAGTGTGAAAAGGCTTTTACAATACCGGCAAGATGTTAGACTTAGTGCTGCTTCAGGATCTGCAGGTGGAGATGAGAACAATCTGAAGTCAGCAGCTTTTATTCAAACGCCTCAAGCTCCCGCAATAAAAACCAATGGGGAAAAATAAAATCATATAGTCTCTTTGTCATTCTTTTTCATATTGAATCCATTTGTTTTGTGTTCTTTTACTTCTGGTGGCGAACTGCCTGCTACAAAGAGCTGCTGACTCAGCAGAGATGGCACTGGCCTGATGATAAAATTCAGCGTGTTGAGAGCTGATGGTGAAACAGGCCATAAAATAAAAACGCCCACCTGAACCAAAGGAGTACGTCTCTCTCTCTCTGACCATAAAAACGACTTTTATGTTCATGTTATAGAAGATGGTCCCTGTTTGACGAAAAGTAACTGTCTGAGGGAAAAGCGATACAAAATGTCCAAAAACTCAACATCTTCAATTGTTGTACTTTTGTCATCGTTTGATTGATCTCTGTGTGTGTTATTTCCATCAGTCACTGAGTGTATATGGTTCATTATCAGGTGCTTTATTTAGAAATGGATGCTGACATCGCTTCCTATACCTCAACAGCGCAAATGGCATCACTCCACGTGACTATAAATGTTGTTCTGTACAGAAAAAGGAAGAGGAAGTGAGATCATGATTTTAAATGGTATCTATCCAATCATTTAGTCTGTCCTGAGAAAAGTTTCAGTAGCAAAAGTCTGTATAATCTCTCTTGGCAAGAAAATAACATTTTTCAGACTTCATTATGACTTAATTTAATGTAGTGTTCTGCTAAAACAAGCTCCTAAAGGAACACCAGTCTGTCATTTACCTTTACTGAACATTTTAAAACTTTCCGAACATGATCTTTTTTTCCCTACATTGCATTTGAACACACAAGCCATCCTATATATGTGAATATATAGTCTGACCGATAGACGGATCTCAGTCGTGGGGCGGGATTTATGATTGTTTTTGAAACTCTCTCTGCGTGCTATTGGACAACAACAAAAAAACGTGGCATTTACCGCTACGGATGTCAATTTAATTACCGTCTTTGTCTTTTTCCAAGCTTTTATTTTGAAATTTTGTTTCATTTTCGTCTGTAAATATATTTTCGTGATGGGAAAAAAAAAGACGAAAATATTTTGTCAACATAATTAACACTGCTTCTCACCTATCTAGGCTGGAGCACTGGCTTGACTGAGCCCACACATCTCATGTATCGGAGCTTCTCAGCTTATAGTAGCCTGAGTGGGTGGTGGGTGGTTGTGGTCAGCTCCAGCTTGTTTTCTTAAAGTGACTGAGCCCTGAAACGGTTTATTGCGCAAAGTACTAAAACTGTCAAGCATAAAACTGCAGAAAATATTTTATGTGAGAGGGATTTAGTACAAAGAACTTCATGAGTATGTTTTTATAGATTTAAGACCACTATATATATATATATATATATATATATAATATATATATATATATATATATATATATATATATATATATATATGACTTCTTTTATCATATATCTCCTTAAGTTTCCTAACATCAGACTAGGTCATTGGTGAGCTTACGTTTTGATTGGACTATTTCTAGGTCAAAAACAGAAGAGTTGTCAAAAAAATAAAGCAATAAAAGGAAGAATGTGATGTAAACAGTTTGAGTTTTTATTATTAATTAATTATATTAGTTTGTAATAAAGATATTCATCAGTGATACTTTATTGGTACAGATGCAAAGCATTGCACATTAGGAGTGGGAACAACAATGAATAAATTATAAAGCGTGTGTGTGTGGGGTTTATTAAAGAAACAAGATGACTCCGACATCCCTGCTTTAGATAATTGTATCATCTCCCTCTGATTTTCAGGCACATGGACTCCTTTCAACCCGGTGACGGTGCGCTCCATCATAGGTAAGATCCTGCTGACTGACGCCTGCTGGTCTGGAGCAGGGTCGAGTTGTTTATTTGTCTCCTCGCCACGACAACATATTAAGTCATTGAGTTGCTAAAGCATAGACAGACGTATCTTTTGTGAGAAAGTGCTGCTTTAGTGAAAACCTGCAGCCTTCAATATGAGGCAAGAAGCTAATCTGTGAGGAAATGGTGGAAACACAAAGAGCAGCTGCCTTGGGCTCCAAATATTGATCTTCGAGAGTCTGCAGCTCCAGGCAACAAACTTTCAGCCCTGCAGTGTAGTTGAGAACAACATTTCTGACCCAAACGACCACACCACTTAAGCATTTCTGTAAAATCTGTTTTCCTGGTGTCGGATGTGTTATTAGCTGTGTGTTGTGACTTGTGAAGAATAAATCCCTGTGAATCCAGCCCCTCCCTTCTGCAGTAAACCCATTGTTTAATAGTCCTGCAGCTAGAAGCACATCCTGTGACAACGGCTCCTTTTGTTAATTGGACTGGTCTGCATGAGAGTTAGAAGAGGAAAATTGGGTTGGAGAGATGTTTTCTTCTCTCCACTTCTCATCGCATATAAAAAGCTGTAATTTGGCTTGTGGACTGTCATTAACTGCCTTTCATGACTAAAAAAGTGTCTCCTCCTACACACCTCTTCCCTCTTCCAGCCATGTTTGACAAGGAAAACAAAGGTGGTGTGAACTTCAATGAGTTCGCTGGCGTGTGGAAGTACATCACGGACTGGCAGAACATCTTCAGGAACTTCGACAGGGACAACTCGGGCTTCATCGACAGAAACGAGCTCAAACAGGCTATGACGGGATTTGGTGAGCAGCAAAGTATGCCCAAGTATTACGTTTTTATCGGCGTGGTGGCGGTCTGCGAGGCTGTGTGGAAGACTCTGGTAGAGCAGCTTTTCACTTTCACCTCCATTTAAACTTGCCACTTATGTATTTATTACATCTTATGCCAAGAATCAATTAGTTTCTTCATTTATCTTCTGTTTACAAGAAATCATTTTAATTCATTTTTAGCCGTGTTGATGCTGAAAGGGAATCTGGATTAATGCAGCTGTTCATCAGTGGCAAATTTAAAGAACGATTCACAAAATTCTGGATTTTCTGTCTTTATCTAGTTTGAGTGTTTTCTGTTCAGGAGCATCTCTAACATCAGTAATGGTACATTATTAATGATCAGAGGGACCGTTTTTTGGGAGACTGAAATAATCAGCTTAGTTTTATACTTTTTTATTATTAAAGAGGGACTGCATACCGTCAGAAAACGTAACTCCATCACTTGTCATTATTTGAAAAATGCTATGAAAGTGGGGGTTGCCAGGAGGCACCCAGTGGCATGGGAGTTTCTATCCTGGGGGGGAGGGGGAGTGGGAGGAGACTGTACCCAGGACGTGAAATTGTACCGGCCCCAGTCTATCACAAATTTAAAATGCAGTAGCTACAGTTTAACCCACAGGGGGCAGCACTGAGGCGTTTTAGACCTACATTCTAGATTTAATCAAGTTTACACAAACATGTCACAAAATGCACAGAAACTGAAAGATTGAGTTCGTAAAGACCCAATCATACAGTTTATAAGCATTAAAAAAGTTATTTTGGGCTTTAGTTACTCTTTAAAGGTCTGCTATTCTGTGAATGCATCATGTCTTCAAAGCAGAAATCGAGTTTTTTTCTCAGAGGGCTCCATCCAGAGGTGGTAAAAATGTACTGCACCTAAGCCCCTCTCCCTACTTGTGCGATTACAGTTTTGAAACACATGCCTCTATCTGAGCAACATAGCTGCAGTTTTGAGTATTTACTGTTGCGTATAGTTGACAGATTTGTTTATGGAGACCAGTGATAATAAAGATTTGAATTATGAGACGAGCAGCTGAGTACGTCTGCTTCTAGAAACGAGAATGTTTTTGTTGCATCTTATCAGACACACGAGGACACTGGCCTTCGTCAGAGCAGTAAGGACAGTTTCACCCTTCATCAGAATATTTTTCTGCTTCACAGTGTGACCAAATTAGTTTGATCTCAACACCTATAGCTTAACATTTATTAACCACTAAGAACATGTTTGTCTGCATCAGCGAGTCTAAAGTAAAGTGTTTTTGTACTTTAGTAAATGATCGGCCACATTTTTAGTATTTAGCTGTTCCGCCTTGCACCACGTTGATGAACCTCTGGAATGTTTGGCTCCTTTGAGGTTCGGTTCTCCTTTCTGGGTGTGTCCAAAGAATGACCAAACTTCTCCATGGTGAAGGTGTGGAGGATTTCTGACTTGTTGATTTTATTGCTGATGTTATACTTGTTGGTGTTTAGGCTATCGTCTATCAGACCAGTTCTACGGCACTCTGATAGAGAAGTTCGACCGCCAGAGGAAGGGACAGGTGGCTTTTGATGACTTCATCCAATGCTGTATTGTATTACAGGTAATAATCATACAGACTTCTATATGATAATGAAAATTACTCCTAAGGACAACAGTCTGGTGTATTTTCTCTTTTGCTGTGAAATCAGAAACTTCTTCCACATTTGGCAACATCAAAGCCTTTTGGTGAAAAGGAGTTTGCAGTCAAATGCCTCATTATTCTTGGCAGGACCATTAATGGTCAGTAAAGTTGAGGAGAGTTTCAAAGGCTCATTTGATTTTCTTTTTTTTTGTTGCTCTCTTTGTTGGCATTATGCTTCCTGCTGGTGTGCATCTTTTAAAAATGGAATACTTTGCTGTTAAATATATTAAAGTGGAAGGATGTGTGGACATAGGTTTGATGACATTGCACAGCTGGGTGTCATCTGTATAGCAATGGAGACTTGGATTTATGAAACATATGACTAGGAGGAAAACAACTGATGATCAATTGGCCCCAGGACAGAGCCCTGGGGGACTCCTGGAGTGACAATTGGACAAGTTGGATCAGAATAAACTGGTTGCAACCAGAGTAAAAGTATCCCGGTTGCTAAACTCCCAGCACCGGGAAACATGGGAAACTTTTCCCACGATGACGTAATTCACAGGGCTTTATTGTCTTATGAAGCGCCATGAAAATCTGAGCTTCTCCTTGTCATTGAACGCCATATTTTACATAACACAGCTGCTCTTGTTCTCTGAATAGATTAAATTATGATATACTTAGACAGAACAAAATCTTTAATGTTACTGTGGATGCTTTTTGGTTCTGATCAGTGACATCACTCCCTGTCAAAGCACCGGCAAAATGCTGAGGTCTGTGCAAAGTCCTGAAAGGGCTGAATTTGAATGGAGAAACAGCTGAGAGGACCAAGCCATCGTATCTCCTGATCAAGTTTCCCCTCCCAGAATTTACCTTGAAGTTCTGCCAATGGAAACACACCTGGACATCTAAATCACAAAAAATACTGTTTTCAGGATATTTTTGCTAATATGTTTAGATTATATGGACTACATTATTTAGGTGGTTTGAAAGCGTGTCTGATGTTTTTGTGTCCTTTTCTACAGAGGTTGACTGATGTGTTCAGGCGGTACGACACAGACCAGGATGGCTGGATCCAGGTTTCATATGAACAGTATCTTTCCATGGTCTTTAACGTCGTATAACACACATGAAGACCACAGAAGAGCACAACTGGACACAACTGTGCCAAAGCTCCTGGCACCCTCCACATGTCTGCCATAGTGGACTCTACAACATTTTCTAAAGCCTACTTTTAGCCCTATTTGGGCAACTTAATATGAATTTATGATTTTGAGGCAAGAAAAAAAATCAAATGCTTGATGTATGTCTTGTAGTGTTTTTTTTAATGAATCTGAACAAAGTCTATGTTGGGGGACTATGGGTTGGCAAAGAACTGGACACATAGTCTTTCTGTCAGTCTTGTCTGTTAATGTTAAAATTTTAATGTCTCAACTATGGAAAGATTTATTTCTGTAGAAAATAAAAATGCTTTGTAAATATGATGGAAAATGCATTGCATGCTTTTCAGGGAAACTTAGCCCCACGTTGAAGCATGTGTTCCCTTTCTCCTGACTTTCTCTGGCCTCTTAACTCAAAGCCATGTTTACAGACACTGTGAAAGCAGGTGCCGCTCTGCTTTGGGATTCACTAACATGCCAGCGTACACGCCATATTTGTTTAAACATATTTTTAACGGCAGGTATTTAAAAATAGAACCTAATCTTTGGTAGAAGGTCAGCATATTGCCTTTAGTTTGGCTTATTTTCTGTGCTTGATGCCTTAACATGTAAAACTGGGGGAAAGAAAAGAAAATCTTGTATTAAAGAGTCACCTGGTGTTGGGATTGCACTCATAAGACAACAGCTTTGACTGGTGGAGAAGTGTTCAAATCTGTTTTATGTTCCAAAAGCCTACAATAAAAACGCTTATTGCAAGTAAATGTTCTTGATAATAAAATGATTAAAGCGGTAGGAAAAAGTCTTTCAAATGTCTGTACTAGCAATATTTACTGTTGCCATATCCCAGATATATGCGATATTTGTTGGTTTGACACTGAATTACCTGATTTTGAGTTATAATTTAATTTTTGAAAAGAAATCTCGTTAAATCTTCCTTACCCTTAGCAACACAAAGCTTTGAGTTGAATGCAGAATAAAATCGATTTAACAATAGTGAACATCGCCCTCTGCTGTTCAGTAACAATTGGTCTGAGTAGGACGCTCTTGATTGGTCTTGCTGCAATGCACCAAGTGAGTGTTCCGTTTTAGTTTCTGCCCGGAAATGTTATTGTGTTACACCAAGAAGGACTCAGCCGGAAGTGCTGTTTTCTAGAGTTTCAAGTTCGACTGTAGTGTTAAAAACCCCTTAGCGCTTACCTAAGCCCTCAGCCCGGATCTTTCTACATTTGAAATTCTGCAGTTTTCTTGTGATAGCGATGGTGCTGAGACATTTTAGTAAGCTGACATCAGTTCTGGGAGCTAAAAGTCAAAGTAAAACGTTTGGTCTGTCAAAGAGAACGAGTCTGATGCCAGTAAAACTCCACAGCGACTCAACGGGAGCTGGAAACGGAGCAGGTAGGAGTCTGCATTAACATCGCTCGGCCAATAGGAGGCAGCAGAGGCTAACGTGGCATTGGTTAGCATAAACATCTGGATAGCTATCTAATCAGAGAGGAAGAAGGAACATCTTTTCTAAAATTCACGAATACATTTAAATGATCGCTAAATGACAAATCCATTTATACTTTATTGTACGTTTCTTTTATTTATTGATTTAATATGGAAATAAATTATGGACATCTAAAAAATATTCACGTTTTTTAGTTTTATTCTTAATATTTATTGTGATTTCAGCAAACGATTACGTGTTTGAGACACATTTAGCTAAAATGTTTCATTACAAATTAATTATTTTAAAATAAACTTATTTTCCGTAGAATTATTAATTTACCAAAACGTTTATGAAAAAAAGAAAACAAGTAAATTGATTCGAGTTGTTGAAGTAGGAGCAACTGGCTCCTAAAAATCCGGTTGGAGTTTGACAGCTGATGGTTTTGTTGTTCTAATCCTTTTTTCCATCAAAAGCCAATGTACAGTTTAACAGTATTTTGTTGCCAAATGTTTAAAAAAACAACAACCAGAACTATGAAGAGTACATTACAGTTAAAGTATTGATGATAATGTGTTTGATAAAAATTTGCATTAATTATGTATAAACATTTATTCACAGTTTTTAAAATAAAAAAATATATTTTACAACATTTGTTGTGTTTGCTTTTATACTTTTGAAAATAGTTTTAGACAGGGCCAGATTAAGACTTCGTTGTGCCCTGGGCAACAATATTCAAGGGCCCCATCATCACGACCCAAGGATCACCATAATATGGTCACATACAGAATATTTTACTGTAATATGCAGTAAATATACTCAGTACTTGAATGCCTGACAACACGTAACCCGCTCAGGATAACCTTTGACCCACCTCGTGTGGACTGACCGATGAGGAGAGGGTCTTAACTTGAGGCCCTCTCTTCATTGGTCAGTCTGCATGAGACTGACTCTCAACTGACGTTCAAAGTCATAGGCAGCGAATCGTCTCTGTGCAGCGCAAAAGCCCGGGTGGACAGTTTGTTTAATATAAGGTGATCATACTTCAATTTCCAAAAAAAGAGGACAGGGATCTGTGCCTATGACATCACACTATGGCAACACCACACAAAACATGTTGTGACCCTTTTTTTTTGTAAGAACTAAATTAATATCAGATTCTGCCAATAAAAGGTCTCTAAAACAATTCATATGTAAATATCTAGCATATTTATTGCAAAATCTCATTTTTCTGCTTCAGTACTGCAACAAGGTTTTGTTAATAAGGAATTATTATACCTTTTGTTTTACTACAGCATCGGTAAGCTTCCTGTGCACAGATTATTAAGGATGCTTGTTTCAGCTGTGAGATTAGATGATAGGATCAATGATAAAATAAGTTGTCACACTGGAAACTTTCAGAGAATCCACAAATAGTGGCTTTCAAATGGTTTTGTTACTTTTAGCAAGTTTAGAAAAGCAGCAGATGAGACAGCATGTCTGATAATTTAGTTTTTCATCTGATAATATTAGAACATGTCAGTGATGTCTGAGGGGCTTTTATAAACACTGTATAACTAATACTCCTGGAGAGGGTATGAATTACACAGAGGCTTCTGGGGAGGCCAGTTATGGGAGAGGAGGAGGAGGAGGAGGGGGGGGGGGGTCATTTAGCCTTGGCCCCCAAAATGCCTTGAAACGGCCCTGGGTGTGTAACTGAGTTTTGAAGGTGATCTGAACTTTATCAGATGTATAAATATTACACGTGTATAACTTATAGCTTTATACAGGTAAAAACGTGTAGTGGAGATAAATCTACGTACATTTTTCTTTTCAACACTTTGTTTTGTTTTCTTGTTTTGATTCAACTATTTTCCTGTCCTGTCTGTCTCTCATCTTCCTGCATCTCATCTAAACTCTCCAGAAAAACTGATGCCTGGATTATTACTTTTTCACCTCATCAGTTACTTCTGAGCAGATCAAAGGGATCTCCTGACCGCAAAGCGGAGAGCGCGTTTCGATGCTGCGTCAGTGAGGTCAAATCCCCGCAGCACAGGTGATGAGCTGCGCAGTAGCAGAGCGCTTCAGGCACAAATAAGACAGAAAGTAGAGAACATGTGCAGACATGAACGATCGTGTGCTAATTATAGTGTTTTGGTTGCGCCACTTTGAGAATGGACAGTGCGCTGGACGCAGCAGCCTGGAGCGCTGTGCAACAACGATCATCGCTCTGCCGCTCTGTTCTCTGCTCAAAAGAGTCCATGAATGATGTAATATAGGTAGAAAACTTTTTTTCCGGCTCCCCTGGATGTGTAGGATGTACAGCTCCCCCATAATTCGATCCCTGCTCCTGGATGAAAAACCGGACATTTTCATCAATGCATGTCTGGGGAAAAGAGGACGTATGGTCACCCTAGTTTAATATAAAGCGGGAGATTACAGATACAGTATTTTACTCGTGCCCTTGCTGCCCTGGGCCTGGGCCCTTTAGAGTTCGTGGGGCCCTGGGCAATTGCCCAGTTGCCCGTATGGTTAATCCGGCCTTGGTTTTAGACAAACTTGTGCTTTAAAGGCATGAAAGGATACCTTACCTAAAAATAATTAAAATACCTAATATTCCTTACTCTGAGTGTTTCCTGGCTCCCCAGCCCTGACTCTAGTAAATCCAGACATCACAGACGTAGTTAGGACGTGGTCCGTGTCTTTGGAACTGACCAGTTCTGTGTAATAATTTGTTTGCAGTGTGATAGTTTAGAAGGTTTACTAAAGATGAAATGTTTTGTTCTCTATCCCTCCCTGTGTTTGGTGAAGAACACCATCTTCTTCAGTGGTTTTTGCTTTTCTGGCTCACTTTTGGGTACAGCTCTCTGTGGGTGGGGTTGCTGGTTGGATTCCCCAGGATGAACCTAAACAATGCCATGTCAACAGTTTGCTGCAACCTCAAGCCACAATCCACGGCTCACACACAGAATCAGTGAGAGCTGAGGTCTTAAACGTCCCTCAGCTCACTCCGTGTCCTGCTGTCTCTCACCGTCTGTCCACATGAGGTGATTTAAGGTCCTCCTCCATCACTGTGAGGTTTAAAGGTCAGAGCCTCTTTCTAAGTGTTGTGGCCTGTTTAGATTTACTTCTGTGCATCCTTGTCGTTCTCTGTCATTAGCTGCAGGTCAGACTGTGGTTTCAGAGCGTAGGGGATCTGTGGTTTCCGTGGTGATAAACCGTCCTGAGGTGCGTAACGCTGTGAACCAGGAAACTGCGAGGCGTCTGCTGGAGGAGCTGCAGGCCTTTGACTCTGACCCAGACTTGAACGTGGCTGTCCTGCACGGGAAAGGTGAGAGAAGTAAACAAACTGTTTTTGAGCAAGTTCACAGAGAAGCATCAGTCTTAGCTGTTTTGATCCATCTTTAGTTTTTTGCAGGGTCTGACCCTGGCTTAAATATTGTGTAGCATCCAGCAATGGTCAGTATAGGTACAGCCTGACCTTTCACCATCTATTCAACATCTGGTCAGAAAGGAGATACAACACTGCATGTGTTCCTTTTAAAATGAGTCTGCCTTCACACCAGCTGGGATTCAGACTCTGCTAGTCTGAAAGATAAACAATAACTTTCTTTCCCAAGGTTTCATCTGTCTGCCTCCACAGAAGACTCCTACTCCAGCTCGAATCAGTTGCTAAATTCAAGAATTATTAAAAAAATCAATATAAACTTCTTCCATGACTTAAAATCTAGATAATCATTAAATACACATTTGTTTATTACTACTTATAATAATTATAGTACAATGAAATACTTCATTAATCTGTGCACACTGAATGGATGTTATATTATGGTGTCTACTAGAACCTTCCATGTGTTCAACATGTTTAGACGACAGGTCCTCACACCTGCATCCACACAATAACAAGTATGGCTAAGTTAAACCCTGACACACAGTATTAACCCAGTCAGAACATCCTGAATCAAGAAGGTGTGTTTCTGAGTTTTCTTGGTAACATCTCTCAAACTTGTCAGCCTTTGATTGGCTGTCCAAGTCATAACAGCTAAACCTTAAAACTAGAGCATTCTGAGAGATTCAACAGTTCTAGAGAATCGCTCAGACCGGCCATCTGTAGCAAAACCTCTAACCATCAAAGATTTTTACACGTCGTCAAAACCTTTTTGCACCTGCAAAGCTGATGAGCAAACAGTTCCTGCAGAAACAAAGCTGATATCGTTAGACTCCTTAAGAGTCCGTCAGACGCACGGTTCCATCCATCTGTTGTGACCCGAGACATGTCTGGACTGAAGAGTCGGTACCTTGGTATTCTACAGCCCTCCGGTGCCAGCGGTCAGCCGACCCCCGTGACTTTCGGATCCACCAAGAGGGTCTCTCTGAAACGGGTAAAGTAGACATGACAGATTGCTTCTGAATGTTCTTCTGATGATAACAACTTTATAGATTAGAGCAAACCAAATTCTTCTCACCAGAACTTAGCTTATTTTGATGAGGAAGCTCTGACTGACATTGCATTCACACATAGGTTTCTTCAGCACGTTTAGTTACACGCACTCACAGTAAATGCTTAGTTAATTAGTCATGTTTTAAATTGTTGTAAAATAAATTCTTACTTTTATAAACTTGACTCTTTCTTGAAGTAACACGAAGTGTGGTTGATCACTGAAAAAAAAGAACCTAAATCTTCTGAATTAAATCCTAGAATCTTCTGATTAATTACAATAAAGGCCTCGCAGGGTAATATTTTATATTTATATAGAAAATTACGTCTTCCTGGTCATAACAGATAAAATCATCAATTTGCCTCCGCTATAATTGTTAATAAACTGCAACATTAGTTTTCTTTTTCAGTCTGGATAAAAAAAATGATTTAAGGGTACAATAAATAAAATGTTACCGTGAAATAATCACAAAACAGTTTAATGTCTCAGTCATGTTGGAAGGAAGATTACATTGAAACAGATTTCCTTTAAGAAGGATGTAGTCTTTGCTTACAATCTCTCCCTCCTACATACTTCCTGGTTTCGGAGCCAATCATATGTGAGCACACGGGGTTGCCAAGTCTGCATCAGCAAATTCTGCTGCGTTAGCATTTGTAATTTAAAAACAGGAGTGACCCAGAAGTTATTTCTTGTTAGCCTGGCCTGCCAGACTCGCCCTCTGTCTATTCTACACAGAGGACAAGTCTGAATACTCAGAGAGAGCATCATGTGTCATGAGTCGGGATGAGTACTCCTGTCGCACATTCCATCTTTGAGTTGTTTTTCAGGAGAGGGAGGCTCCTAGCTGCGTCAGGTTAGCAATCAACGGCACTGGCTTCTTAAGGAGTTGGAGAACACACCTCGACGCGGGATGATTACTACTACCCGTTAGATTCCAGCCTCCTAGTGCATTGTGTTTTCTTGAGCCTCTGGTGATTCTTCTGGATTTATTTTCTTTGTGTTTTTATGCTCACACCTGCTTCAGGAATTTTGGAAAGTCTGTGTTGAAGGAAGTCCTCTGGATTCTCTAAATGTCACAACGTGCCGGTGAGTGAGACGGAGGTGAGGATCCAAGTGCAGGGGAAGAAACAGGTAGGGAGGCAGACAGGAACATTTAAAACACTGATTTATTGGAGGACACGCAGGACAATGAAACAATGAGCCAACCAGACAAAATGGACTAACAGCGTTTAAATACAGGAGGAGCTGGGACCTTGGGTGATTGGGAGACGAGAGGCAGGTGGGAGCAATTAACATGGACACAGGAGTGAACAAAATGGGGAGACAGGACAGGGTGTGACAGTACCCCCCCCCCAAAAAAAAAGGGCGGATTCCAGACGCCCACAGGAACATAGAGCAGGGCGGGAGGAGAGGGACCCGGAGGGAGGGCCGAGAGGGACCGAGGGACCGACGGAGAGGAGGCAGGGATCAGTAGAGTCCGGGGACCTGCGCCTGGGACAGAGGAGGCAACGACGGGCTCTTGGGGGCCCGCACCTGGTGAGGGCAGGACTGGTGGTGACCGGAGGCAGAGACGCCGGAGGACACGTCCTTGACTTCTGGACTGGAGTCGGCGGCGACGACCTCAGGACTGGAGGTGGCGGCGACGACCTCTGGGCTGGAGGCGGCGGCGGCGGCAACAACCTCTGGGCTGGAGGCGGCGTCGTTGACCACTGGGCTGGAGACGGCGTCGTCGACCACTGGGCTGGCTGGAGACGGCGTCGTCGACCACTGGGCTGGAGACGGCGTCGTCAGCCACTGGACTGGAGATGGCGTCGTCGACCACTGGACTGGAGATGGCGTTGTCGACCACTGGACTGGAGAAGGCGTCGACCACAGGACTGGAGACGGCGTCGACCACGGGACTGGAGACGGCGTCGACCACGGGACTGGAGACGGCGTTGACCACGGGACTGGAGACGGCGTCGACCACTGGACTGGAGACGGCGGCGTAGACCACGGGACTGGAGACGGCGTCGACCCCTGGACTGGAGACGGCGTCGACCACGGGACTGGAGACGGCGTCGACCACTGGACTGGAGACGGCGGCGTAGACCACGGGACTGGAGACGGCGTCGACCCCTGGACTGGAGACGGCGGAGACGTTGGACTGGAGGGGACGTCGACCTCTGGACTGGAGAGGACGTTCCAGAGGGGTCGTCGACCTCTGAACTGGAGGGGTCGTCGACCTCTGGACACGAGGGTGCGTCGACCTCTGGACACGAGGGAGCGTCGACCTCTGGACACTAGGGAGCGTCGACCTTAGGACTGGAAGGGGAGTCGACCTCTGTCGACTTCTGGTCCGGGGGCGTCAACTTCTGGACCGTCGACTTCTGGACCGTCGGCTTTTGGACCGCCGTCTTCTGTAGTGGAGGAGGAGCTGCTGCAGACGGGACCACTTCCTTGGCTGAAATCGCCGGACTGGGCTCTAACACCTGGACAGGCCGGCCTGGGGCAAGAGCCTCTTGGGTCACCGCTGGGACTGGAGCTGACTGGACTGATGGTGCCGGTAACTGGGAGAGCAGGGAGGATAGATTGTCCAGCTGGAGCTCCAGGAGACTGAGGCTCTGATGGAGTTGGGCCAGCTCAGCTCGGTGACCGGCAAGCTCTGCTGGGTGGACTGTGGGCTCGATCCTTTGGCCTGGAGATGAGGAAGCTGCTGACTGGACCGAAACCTTCTCCTGGTTCTTCGGGGAGGATAGGGTGTCCAGCTGGAACTCCTGGAGGCTGACAAGCTGACGGATCCGACCAATCTCCGCCTGGAGACCTGCGAGCTCTGTCTGCTGGGTTGTGGGTGTGGTCCCTCCACCTGCAGATGACGGAGGCGCTGACCGGACCGGAGATGGGACCGCTGATCCGACTGGGGGCGGGTCCAAGCTGGTGCGCTGAGCCGGGGCAGCGGGGAGCTCGCGGCTCCGTCCTGGGACACGGGGTTGCGGTGGAGCCCGGTATCCTTCCCCATGCCGTGGGCCAACTCCGGGGGAGCACACCGCCAGTCTGGTGCCCACGTAGCAGGAGCGGTCTGGTAGCGTCTCCCAGTCCAACCTCTCATCTGGCTCCGGGAGGGTGGAGAGGATCGCCGAGGCTGAAGTTCAGTGGCGGCGTCTGCGGCGAGGCGACGCCGGAGGATGAGAAGCCGGCCGGTGGTCTGAGGAGAGAAATTGGAGCAGGCACTCCCAGGGGAGAATCTCCCCGCTGGATCCTTTAGCGGGTTGGCTCATTCTGTCACAACGTGCCGGTGAGTGAGACGGAGGTGAGGATCCAAGTGCAGGGAGGCAGACAGGAACATTTAAAACACTGATTTATTGGAGGACATGCAGGACAATGAAACAATGAGCCAACCAGACAAAATGGACTAACAGGGTTTAAATACAGGAGGAGCTGGGACCTTGGGTGATTGGGAGACGAGAGGTAGGTGGGAGCAATTAACATGGACACAGGACTAAACAGAATGGGGAGACAGGACAGGGTGTGACACTAAACTCATCAGGATACTCACCGCCTCTACATAACCTTCTGGACGCAGCTCCCCAGTGTTCTCCATCTCTCCAGTCACTCCACTCCCCTGCTTCCCCCATGCTCCCTCTCCTGGATATACTCACCTCGACTCACCCAACTCTCGACCTGCCCCTCCCCATTCCTCCTCAGCTCTTTTGCCCAGTAAGTCTTTTCTCTGCACTTCCCTCAGTTAAGACTTACTTCTCAGGACTCACCTTCTTTTTGCTCTCCCCCCCTCAGACGCTGCGTACCGATTTTTCTCCATCCACTGGAAGTTCCAGTGCGCTTTTTGTTCTCATTTTAAAATAAACTCCTTATTTTGATTAAATTACCTGTGAGTGTGTTGATTCTGCATGTC